TCTCGTCTCATAACCTGAGGATGCAAGATGACAGACAAAACTGAGGTCAAATCTCAAATGTCAAGGGAATGCTCGAAGTAATCCTATTAGCACTGTCTGTCGCACACCCAATGTGTCAGCAGTGATTAAGTCAGGGGGGGAAATAATCCATTTAATAGTCTATATCAGGCATGTCAACCTGAGTTTTCAAAAAGAACATAATTTACCCACCAGGAGAGGTGAAGCAGACGAAACATAACACACACCACGAACACAGAGAAAACACGCCAGCGTTACTGGTATGCATTCCTATTAACACATGAGTGCTAGCAAGGTGCCTGTCAGTCTGTTGTTGTTTGTTTAGCCGTTCTGTTGCACCAAGCAATGACGACATACCATTGCAAGCTAGCAGGCTAGTTATAAGCATCAGTTAGCCTCCGTACATCACTCAAAACACACATCCACAATGGAGTGCTGTGTGGCTACGACAGGAAACATTACCACTCTTGGGAGATGTGTCGATGTCACCCGTAACTAAATCAGCAACACAATCCCCCCCGAGTCACGAGTCACCTGTTTAAACCAGATCAACTCTATTCGTCAACTGCCTGCCAGCTAACGTTGCTAATGCTAGCCTTAGCTTGGTTCTGTTGGCTGGTCAGCTGTCACAAGCCTGGGTGTTGATGGATTAGCTAGCTAGCCAATGCTAAAGTTAGCGAGCGTTAGCCACTAATGGCTTCATAAAACTCACCCTATGTTAAGAGTCTCCCTCATGTCTCGGACGATAGCGGAGTCCAAAGGAGGCCTGTGATATTTCTGAAATGGTACGCTGAGGTTTGTCAACGATTTGTTTTTGACTAAATAAGTTATCGTTTCGCATTCCAGCGCCAGGCCCCCGTCGCTGAGCTGCATACGAACAGGCTGTCGCGATAATGTCAGATTTTCCCGGACCAGGAAGTTGTTTAAATCGGCTTGATCCTCGCTGTCAATGGTGCGCATGATCGTGTGGCATCACCTTCTTATGTCTATGGGCAGAACTCCAACCAGTTTTCACTCAATTCTACTGAAAAGCAACAAGTGTCTTCTAGAAAATTGCTTAGTCCCTAATAAATATCGAGTGATTCAACAAACTGGAGCTAAATCTATGCAGCCTATAACAGTTCCCTATCAATAATTAAGATATATTCTAATTATGATAAAGCCTAATTGGCCATATATTGTAATTAGGACATCAAAAATGAATGAAATGCCACACTTTCAACATTTAAATGATAGTTATATTTGTTATTTATAGAGCACTTTTAAAACACAAGTTTCAAAGTGCCTCATAAAAGTCAGAACAATTTAAAAATAAAATCAACAAATTATGAAATCGTTAAATTTTGATAAAAAAAAGATAAAAACTAATTCAATAATTTAGGAGAATAGAAATAAAAATATAATAAAATACATTCAAAAAAATAAAAAAGACAATTCAAGCAAGATCAAATAACTGAAGTCAAATCAAAGATCAGTTATCTGATAAAAGTTTGAAGAAGAGATTCAATTCAGTTTTTAATCTGTTTTTCTCAATAGTTAAGTGATTTTTCCTCGAAAAATAGATTAGGCTGCTCCTGTTAAATACCAATTGCTCTGTTGCAGCTCACGACACATTAAACATTGAAACTAGGTGGCTACAGCATTGTTCAGTTGAAATAAGACAAATGACTCATTCATTTAGATTTCCCTTTAAAATCTGTTATTCAAAAGAGAGCTGGCAGCATAAAAACACTTGTACAGCAAATCAAATATCATAAACAGGCTAGGAGACAACTATCACATGTTAGAAAAGTGTATCCATAAGATGCAAACACAATATAATCAGCTCAGAATTTCTTTATTTTTCTCTATATAGGAGGAGCTAAGGAGCTCTTAGCTTCCTAACATTCCTAATCCTTAGGGTCCATCTTGCTGTGTGTGTCTCCAATCATATCATATGTCATATTCAACATGCTTGTGTGAGTCTACACTCTGCATGAGAAGAGATCAGTGACCTGATCTAAATTTATTTTGCATGACTTGATAATTGGTTCTGGTACGCCGACATCACACAGTAAATATGTGTAAAAATGAACAGAGAGGATAAAACAGGCTTTGTAAGATGGAAGAAGTAGCCATGATGCTTAACATGTATTTATCTTCTTCTTAAGTTAATTATTCAGTTGTTCAGTCTACTTTGGTCTATGGACAGCTTTTTAATTAAAACAATATAAACCGTAAGCCATAAAATATTGAGATTTTTTTTTGATACACAGATTTTGGTTGTTGGCAAAGGGATCAACAGGACATAACAAAATACTGTAACAGCAGTCAGGATTTGTGTCAGATGCATTTGTCTGTGTTTTCACTAGGGGGCAGTGAGAGATCCATGAAGTCTTCACAAGCAATAATAGGAAGGAACTAACCTCTCTGAAGAAAATTGTACATCTTCGTTTAATTGGTTTAACACTTGAGGAGGCAAACACACAAGCATCTTCTCTCCTGATTTCTCCAGATTAAGGCAAAACCAGTAAAAAATAAAACACGTTTCTATATTTGAGGCCAGAGCATGTGACCAAATGTTGAGTGGTGCACAATTATATGTGATTCTTCCACAATACAGTGGTTGGTGTTGTTAAGGGATTGTGGTCAGTCATGGATAACACCACTGTCTCTCTGTGGTTTAGGGTTGTCAACAAGCCAGTAATGCAGAGTTAAGTCTTGCTTATGCCAATGCCTGTTAGCTGAGAGGGCTGACATTAAGTTTTTGAATAGTGCACAGTGGAAGGACACATGCAGGTCATTGGACCATTTCAGACCACATACCTTTGGATACTTTTACTGTCCTCTGCTAAATTACTCTGAAAATACCCTTTTTTTGGGAAAAAAGGGTATTTTCCCTCAGTGTGGTGTGGAGTGTGGTGTGCTCTGTCTACAGGTGGCACCTGTTCTGCGATGGGATTGCGTTTTCTCCTTAGTCAGCAGTCACAGCTGGGAAATTATGAGATGTATTCACTGCAAAAGAGAAAGCATCATGTTGACGCTAAGTTTATCAACAGCCTATATCTGGTTAGCACATGCAAGCCCTCAGCATGAACACAACAGAGAGTTCACAATAAGTGGACTCAGTGAAGCCATGATGATTATGCCTGAGGAATGCATGTTAGACATTAATAAAGAGTATTAAGTAATCGCAGTGGCGTTATGATGTTTTAGTGAGCAGGAAACTGTAGCACCTGATCAGCTTTGTATAAAAGTGAGCAGACTGGGAGGAGTCCAAGAGGATTTCCTCTGATATTTTGATTGTTATGGAGACATGTCAATGGATCATTTGTTGACAATGTGTGCAGTGTGTATGAAAAGTGTACAAAAAAATAGTTATTGTCCACAAATTTAGCAGTCTTTGCGGAGCTTTTTTTGTTTGATATTTCCTAAGGACTGAGACTGTTTTCAGTAGAGATGTGGACAGCTGGCATCGGTGAGTCCATCCAGCAGCACTGATTCAGTTTTGGCCTGCTGAGACAATCCATACTGGGGCTTCAGCAAGGGTGTGTGGGCTGTACCACCATAAACATATTCATAGGGGTGTCAGGGGTGAGCTGCAGCACCCTAGGCAAAGGCCCAGTCTGACTCAGGGTAGCTGTCCTTACAGTGTTGAAAAGTCGCCACAACTGTGGTTCTATTTAAAGCAATCCCCTTGTTGTCCCTGATGCCACGAAGGACTCCGAACAGAGGAGGACGGAGCCCTTTATCCCTTAGAGTTCACAGAACAGACTCATGCCTCTCCAAAACACTAATAAGTCAGTAAGACATAGATATGCCGACCAATTTAATGCAACATAATTTCTTGGAATGCTCATATGTAACTTTAAAAAAAGCCTGATTTACTTTTACTAACAAAATCACCAAATAAAAAAACCGATTTGTGTATAACTCATCAAATATACATACAGTACATAAAGTGGAAGTTCTACGCTAGCTTCCAGGAAATACATTGAGCTCAAAGTACATTAGATAGATAGATATGTACTTTATTCATCCCCAGGGGTAAATTTGTATTAGCTGGAAGTCTACGTATTATATTACAACCAGTCTTGTATTAATTTTGTCCTTAAGTATTAACTTACCTTTAAGTATCTATCTGGTCTTTCATCAAAGGGATCCCCAATGTTTATATTTCTTTCTCTTTCAATGATGCTCTGGCTCTCAGATTTCACTTCTAAGTAGGCTACAGTATTAGCCGGAGCTTTGGCCCTCTTGTTGGGGGTTTCCCAAAGCTTCAACACTCTAATTGGGCAAACTGAGTATTGCTGAAATTATGCAATGTTCGCTGTTCATTCTGAAATTTACCTTTAAACTGTAAAGTAGTGGTTTCACGTTATCTTTTTCAAGAGAACAATGTAATACAGTGTGCCAAACTAGATTTTCAGTGTATTAAAAAATATTATTAGGTAGCACTGAAAAGTATCAGGCATCAAGATCAATAAAGAGGTGTGCCAACTCTCAAAAATCTCTATTACATTCCTAGAATACTTGAATAGGGACTTTACTTGGTGGATTTTCTGCCTGCGGCCTGTTTGGTCAGTGAGTCAGCAGCTGTGCATGGAGCCATTAGAGCAGACAAAATGTGTCTGCTGCAGAGTTTCTATTTACATCCACGAGAGAAATTTCTCGTCTTAAGGAAGACTCACCAGTGTGGTGCAGGCTTATACTCTATGTTTTCTACAACGTGTGATAGGAATGTATGGTCTCTGATTAGACATGACCATATTGAAAAATTGTTTTTGGGAGGTTCTTGGCATGACGATATGAGTTCCAACCGCCATTGCATAGCAGATTGACAGCAACATCTATGTTAGGCAGGACAAACAAAGGACAAGTTGGTGAACCTCTTAACTGATAAGTCAGGAATCTTGGCTCTAACAGGCCAATAAGCAGATAATGATGTCTGTCTGGATTGTAGTCATCCAAAACAGACTTGACCAGAGGAGTGTCCAGTTTCTGTCGTACCACACAATTCAAGACAATTATAACTAAGTAATACAAAAACAGGAAATGACAAACGCACGACAAAGCATGGCAGGTAGGTGAGGAACAACAAAAGCATGGGATAGCCTATTTGAATGACACTTGATTCTGCCTAAAATTTAGGCTCCTGCCCCAAGTTAACCATTAAAACACAATAATAATACCTACGTCTCCGTGCAAAACTGTCAGGGATTTTTTAAGGACAATTATTAACAGTATGTATGCAGCTGCGACTGCAAATGATCTCCATGAGACTGTGTGGGGGTGTGCGCGCGCGCGCACGCACGCACGCACGAGGCAACAGCTGAACCTGCGGCAGCCGCGCACGGAATGCAGTATCCGGTTAGAAAGTAACGGTACTTTTATGGAAACGTCTCACCTACACGCAACCAGCAGCCAGTCGAGTTGGGGGACCCGGTGGTCGCATCTCGGATTGTCCTAAGTTTCACTTCTTCTGGTTTCTGTCGAAGCAAAGGATTTTTTTTCAAAAGTCAAAAACAAGAGGACGTCAGCAAGCTAAAGAGGTAAAATGTCATTTCTAAAAATATATTCTGTAGGAAGAAGAGGTTTGTATAACCATAAGTAGTCTGTTCATCATCCTACAGCAAGGTCAAAGCTATTAGTTTAACAAAAAGTTGCATTAAACAGATCATAGCCTGCATCTTAATTTAGTCATATGGCCTGTAACAGTTATAAGTTATATAGCAACATGTGAACAGACACACAGGAACAGAAACACAATCATTTGATAGGCTGTTGTACAGTAGTTGATAAATACCACATTAATATATCTGTATATATGTCAAACTCATTTTTTATGATACACTGTCATGATGTCTTGTGCCAGCTGAGTACAGAAATAGGACATCACCACCCAAACCTAAAGTTTGTCATGTATCTGGATTTGTTTTGTATAGTGTTGACTTGCCAGATGTGACACTGAGTCAGTCAAGTTTTAGATCAGAAGATTGATGAGTGAGATTTTGTTGTTTCTTTTTTTTATTTATATATATCTATATATAACAGATTCATATGCTATGTTTGCACATCTTCAACATCAGCCCAAATAGAAAGTTGATATCCTTTGAGTCACAAAATACTTCGATAGATAGATTATGTAGTTGTATATTCGGAGTCCGAAATTTGTGTTTATCAATGCACAACAGAAACATTCTTACAGACTGCAGTTTGAAAATGGTAGGTAAGGATTTGAAACAGCTGTCTGTTTGTGCTTCTGTCAGTCTCCTGACATTCGCCTCCTTGTTCCTGGGTTTGAGATTAGAGTTAAAATGACGCTAATTAATAAGAAACCTTTCACAATGAACATTTAACAAAATAATATGAAATCCGATGTACTGGCCTTGTTATTATTCAGATGAAAAAAACCTCATTATGTCCCAATGCATTTAATATATACAATACATAAATATATAATAATATATAAAAATCAATGTGATTTTGATGTGATGGGAAATATAAGATACACTGACTGTGGCACACATTTTACATTTCCATTTTTCATTATTCCACTCAATGCTGAAATGTTCAAGCTCCTAATCAGCGGCATCGTGTCGCTCTATGATCTTCATGCATGGATATAAAAGGTATTTGAGGACAACGTATTAGAGGATGAACAGCAACGGTTTTTAGTGTTGGATGACTAACAGTCCAAACAGCTCTCCTTCATCCAGTTGTCTCACTCTTTGTCTGGCCATTTTGTCGAGGGCCTGAAGGGCGACATATGAGTGCCAACTTGAGCTCTGTCCAACTGCCTATCACTCTTCAGAAATAGCCATGATCACATGTCCTGGACCCACAAGTGGGCTTTAAATAGAGGGCTTCTATTGCACTATTTCTTACTGGGAAATGGAACAGCTTTCCTTGCCCTTAACTTTAATAATTGCCTGTCGCACATTTAAATCCCAGTACCAGACTAGGAAAATAATGACATTACAGAATCAATAATTAATCAAGAAAAGTAGAGGATCTGGCCTTTCAAATGGCTGTAAACTGGTTGTTTTATATCAACAGTTAAAATAGAATAATAGAAAAATAAATAAATAGAAAAGAAGTGAATCATGTGAAAAAGAGTGCCAATATGAAGGCACTGTTCACTAACAAATTCAGGTGACAGCCAATGAACGCTCTTGTTACATTCCGCAGTGAAATAATAAAAACAATGTTAAGTTTATCAGTCAATGTATTTTGCAGATGCAATTATTTGAAATATTGTGCCAATCAATAAAACTTAGCAACGGGTGAAGATACTGTGTTGAAAAAAAATAAATACATCTGATAATTCAATGAAAATGTGATTGTTTATGTCATAACGTCAAAATCCTGTTGCATACTTCACTTGTGCATAATGCAACAAGAAAGTTAACATTTGAACCGTCCTGCTTTGCTTTGCAGGTAACATTGGATCAGAACCTGTTTGTCAACTTTGTCATTGTGGTACAAAAATGACTGAGGTGGCGCAGGTTGCGGCTGTAGTCGCCCACGACATTGATGATGTCACAAACGACAGTGAACTCAACATGAGCGATGCGGAAAACAAGGAAGACGACACGACCCACGAGGAAGATGACGTGGCGGTCGATGAAGACAACGCAGCTGAGGAGAAAAACGAGGAGACGTCACAAATAGAAGACAAGGAGCCTTGCCACATAAACGATGAAGAAAGTAATGAGACTGACAAGACACGCATGAACGGTGTGAATCATAAAGAAAACACGGCCGATGAGGAAAATGAAAGCTCAGAAGCTGTTAATGGTGTAGAACAGGACACAGAGACAAAGGAGGATGCAGACCCTGACACACATAAAGACCAGAGTATTTCTGATGTGACACTCAAGAAAGAGGTGAGTGAGGAAATTAAAGTTTACAAGTGATTAGATCCATTTTTGTGGATGATGTGATTCTTGTCCATATGGATATTGCCCTTCACAGAAACAATTTCCCAATAACGTTATCATCCCTCTCACCGTTAATCCACAGAGACTCCTCCGATCCAGAAAGCTGGTGGCCAGAAGCTACGTGCCAAACTTGAACAAAGAAAAGGGGGACGTGACGGGCAAGTTTGAGGCCATGCAGAAGGCCAGAGAGGAGCGCAGCAGGCAGAGGAACCAAAACGAGCAGCACAAGAGGAAGGAGCAATACATCAAGGAGAGAGAGTGGAGTCGCAGGAAGCAGCAGGTCAAAGACAGATAACCTCACTAATCTCCGACCGAGACCTGCATTGCATGATGAGGCATGACGGGGGGACAAGGCTGCTGGTTTGAGTGAGAATTCACTGTTTTCTATACACCACACAGTTTTATAGAATTAACCAATTAATAATTATCACTTTGCAAAATATGCAACTTTGGTTTGTGCTTGACATCAAAAGATGGTCATTTTTTTTAAAGGTTGTAATTTTAACCCTAATAATGTGCACAAGGAACACTAAAGGTCTGAACCACACTGATTCTCCAACGGATCCTCCATAATTCTAAACGCATGTTGTGCAGCCGAGCATCGTTCATCTCACTGAACTTTATTTTATATTCCACTTCCCAAATTTTACAGACACCAAATATACCAGATGGAATAAGTAAAGTAGTGCTGAAACATATAGTCGAATGACAGAAAATAGGGAACTCCATACTGTGAATGTAAATCAACTTTCATCGTTCATCAGGAATTCAGCAGTGTTGTAGTGCATTGCTAAATTAGTAATGATTTGCTGCTTTTCTCTGTTTTATAATTGCAAACTGAATATCTTTGGACTGTCGGTCAGACAAAACAAGACATTTGAAGACATCACTTTGGGCTCTGTGAAATTATAACGGACATTTTTCACTGTATTCTGGCATTTTATGCACTAATCGATTAATCAACTAATCTTAAAACAATAGACAGATTAATCAATAATAAAAATAATAATTAGCTGCAGCTCTAATATAAAATGATTCTATGTAACATTAAGCATGAAAAAATGGCCCCTTATATTTTCATCGGAAGAAACAGAGAATAAACGTGTATGATATTGACTTACAATATGTAGGAAATATTTTAGTGACGGAGAAGCTATGTGAAAATAAAAGAGGAATTCTAGGTTAAGACAGCTTTTAGATCGACTGTGGTGAAATAAACACAGTGATATGGTGTTATGTGAGTGGATTATCAGTGATACTCAGAGAGAACAGCCTCCCTGTGTACAGCCGTGCCATAGCTGGCCAGGCTCGAGCACCTACGCTCATCTCCTGTCTGTGCAACAATCCCACGGCCCAATCAGAGGCTCTCCTGCAGGTCACATGACTTGGCTATTAGCAGGGATTAGGCCCTTGTTCTTGCTGGGACCAGCATGGATCCTGAGTGGCAAAAGAGATGATCTCGGCTAAACCGTAGCCTCACTACCACTCTTTATCTGATCCGCCACAGATAAAAGAGCTGCTCGCTTCCAGTGATGAGGAAGAAGAGGTGAAGCCAGCAAAGGTAGAAAAATCCTACGTTCCTAAAATCACAGGTAAGAAGTGCAAAGGGTAGGAAGAATGGGTATTCAGCGAGGGATCTGGGAGGAAGACGAGGCTGAAGGCTTGTGCTGTGCTCTGTGAAATCCTCAGGTAGTGTGAAGGGGAAGTTTGCCGAAATGGAAAAACAAAGACAACAAGGGGAAAGGAAGAAAATGGAAGGAGAGAGGAAGAAGAGGGAAACCCAGGACAACATGGAAAAAGCCAAAATAAAGAAAGAGTTGGCTCAGAAAGCAGCTGAGGTAAGTAAACCTGGCCTGAATTCCTTGTGCAGGGTCTCGGTGGGAAGTGGGACAGCATGTCTCGATGGTTCAAGTGCTGCCTTACTGATGGAAATGCGGTAGTTGTATCTGTAATGATTCAGGTAATCCTCAGCTGCCACTCGGATGAGTTATTTTTAAGTGGCACAAACAGTTGGCAGAGGCTGGATATAGGTCTGAAACCAACAGTAGCATTGTTGACATGACCAGCATGTGAACTCATGGTAAATGGGTTATTATAGCTTACTGTCTCAGACGATGTAGTGCAGATCAAATTCATTGCAGAATAGACAGAAGGCCTTCATACCTTCAGACAGTGTATTTCTTGGGAGTGGTTACATAAAGTATTCTTGTGCCAGATAGCCAATTACAGGCAATTACCTGCAACGTCTTTGCCCTAATTCTGCTCTACTAAACGTTAACAAGGCTGTATATGTTCAACAGCTAGACAGAAAAACTTACAGTTGTAACAGTAGGGTTTTTTATTTTGAATATTTCTTTACTACTCTGCCTTCATTTTATGGGGACCTATAACAATCTAATAGTTGCCTTTGACATTAATAATTATAGGAGAAATGGAGTTGTGAGCAGGTATTTAGTTTAGTTGGTTCTCTCTAAATTAAAAGGTAATTATTGTTTTTCTGAGAATTTCCTTTAAAAATAACTGCTTGATTAAAAAAAACAATTGCAGAAAATATATTTGAGAAAATAACTATGGCAAATCCAAACACGGGGGTGGTTGGGCTGAAGACTGATGAGTTCAGTATTTCAAGAATCCTGCCTATACCACCCTGGCAATGATGCAGCAGACAAAAGCACGGAGTGATGATCGCTGTGTGCAACATCATTCCTTACAAATGTTATTCCTTCTAAAAGTGCTTTTATGTTTATTTACTTCATACCTACAGCGAATCACTCGCCCCATTTTTTTTAGGTTGCCCTGTGACTATTTTCTTTGACCATTTTTATGAAGAAAATGAATTATGCTTTAGATCTTTTATCAGAAACGGAGCAATGTCTCAAGATTAAAATGATCCTGTTTGAATATAAGGGAGGACTGACTTGAAGATCTAGAAAGAGCTGCTCACTTGTAGCGCTGCCAGGTGTAGACAGCATATGACTGGCAACTGTTTCCCACACCTCCCAGTGACTAAATTAGCTCTAGACCTCCTCACTGCGACTAAATTAGACTCTGCTATCTTAGACTGACACCCATACCCTAGCCTGCTGCAAATGGCGACATTAGGCCAATAGAGTTGACCCTTATCCACCCACATGCTCTTAGTCTGTTTGTGTGTACTGAGATTGACCTGAATTTGTTTTTCCCTCTACCACTGAATAGTTAGTGTGTCACGTCGTCTAAAAGAGCTCAAGCCTGAGTGGTTGAAAAAGTATTAGGATCCAGTACTTAAGTAAAAGTATCCATATAACGATGTAGAAGAAACTCCATTACAAGTGTACTAGAAGTCATGCATTTAAAAGTATTATCAGCAAATTAAAGTATCCAAGGTAAAAGAAAACATTCTGCAGATTCATTTTGAAATGGAGTAGAAGTACAAAGTAGCATAGAGTTGAATGGAAATACTCAAGTAAAGTACAAGAACCTCAAACCTAAATGTGTGCCTTTGTAATACCTCGTATAATCCTACATTATCAAACATCTTTTAGGATGGAGATGACACAATCCTGATACGGGTGGTTCCAGGAAAGTCATCTCAACCTCCAGGCAGAATCAAGGTGAACTTTGAGGACATGGAGAAGAATCGAGAGGATGAAGTGAAGAAGAAGGTGGAGGAAGAGAAGAAGAGACGGTACGATGAACACAGAGTGTCCTTCAGGGATGCCAAGCGGCGCTCGGTTGTTGAACAGGTAGCGATATGAAGAAATAAACGTTACTGTTTTGGGCTACTTACAACCACCTTAATGATTGTGGATCAGATTTAAACAAAGCATTCTCACTCTCGCTTGGATGTAGGATGAAGAGGAGAAGCCTTCAGAGAGGGTGCAGGTGACTCCTGGAAAGCTGAAGATGACATTTGAGGAGTTGGAGAAGGAGAGACAGGAGCACAGGAAGAAGCAGGCTGAGGAGGAAGCAAAGCGCCGCCTGCTAGACGAGAAGAAAGCTTTCGAGGAGGCCAGGCTGGGAATGGTGAAGCCAACTTCAAAACAAAACATTAATTTCAATGAAATGTTGTATAATTATAATACTTTGTTTGTGTGTTATCAGGGAGAAGATGAGGAGGGCACTCAGCCAGCTCAGGAAGACAAGGAGGAGTTCCGACCTGGAAAACTGAGGCTGAGCTTTGAAGAGGTGGAAAGGCAGAGGGTAGAAGAAGAGCGCAAGAAAGCAGAGGAGGAGTACAAGAGACGAATGGAGGGGGAGAGAAGAGCTTTCGCTGAAGCCAGGAAGAGCATGGTCAGCATGCTTCCCAAGAATAAATACAAAATTCAATACAAAACATGTATAGATTTTAGTGTAAACATACATATTTACATATCTGGTGATAACAGCATTGTACGTTAAATATATGTTAGATCTGAAACGGCCTCGAAGGAATAGTTACACATTTCATTTCTTTCTGGTGGAAAGTGAATCAGAGTTCGATGACAAGATTTATATCACTGTTATACGTATCTACGTATATGCTAAATATAAGGCAGCGGCCAGTTAGCTTAGCTTAGCTTAAACACTGGAAAAAGGTTGGAAACAACTAGCGGTCCCTAGCGACCATTTTATGTACAGTACACAGAGCTTACCTTGCTGTGTTCTGGCTCAGCTTGTGGATGAGGATGACGAGGTGCTGATGGCCTTACTGAACCTGGAGGGCAGTGAGCCTGGGAAGATATGCGCCAGTTTTGAGGACCTGAAACGCCAGAGAAGAGAGGAGGATCAGAAGAAGGCCGAGGAGGATGCCAAGAAGAGACTGGAAGACGAGAAGAGGCACTTTGCTGAGGCCCGCAAGAGCATGGTAAGTCTGCATGACTCAAGGACCAAAATACGTGTGTAGCTTACTGATCATTCACAGAACATGGATCAGGAAAAGTCTGTATATGGAGATGAAACAGTAAGATATTTTTAAATTTCATATGTATATCTTTCACAGAGAAATAAGAAGAAACAACTGTTATTTATACAGTATCCGGCTATGAATATATTCCCTAACATCACAAGGGCAAAAAGGTCTAGAGATGATGATGGGGATGGGATGCATGGTGTTTTTAAATGTTATGAGCAACAATAAGAATGGCTCCTGCTTTGTGTTCGCTGCATTATATAATATTGGGTAAGTAGACATGAAATGTGACGCAATCAGTTACTTCACCTCCATAGAGAAATGTCGTCCTTTGTGTATGCTTGTTTGTATAGGTGCTAGATGAGGAAGGAGAGATGGTGAAGAGTGAATCTCAGGAAGCACTGCACCCCAGAAAACTGGAGATGAACTTTGAAGAGCTACTGAAAGAGAAGGAGGAAGCTGAGAGGAGACGCAAGGCAGAGGAACGCAAAAAGAAAATGGAGCAAGAGAAGCAGGAATTTGAACAACTCAGACAAGAGATGGGCATGGTCAGTTTGGAACAGATGAAAATTCTGTACTGTAGACTATGTTTATCACATTCTGCACGAAAACGTGTACTTACATACACCTTTTGAATTGACATATCGTAATGCAACAACAAATGTGACTTGCTGTTTTTTGTGCCACATTGTTACATTTCCATCATTTACGGTGTTCTCACAACAATGCAAAAAAAATAAATTGGCTTCTGTCTCACAGGATGAAGTGAATGAAAGCTCAGATGTTGTTAGCAAAGAGTATGAAGAACTGACCAAACTCAAGAGGACCGGCTCCATCCAAGCCAAGAACCTCAAGTCCAAATTTGAGAAGATCAAGCAGCTGACTGAAGAGGACATTCAGAAAAAGATTGACATGGAGAGAGCACGGAGGAAGGCCGTTGATGATGAAATTAAAGAGAGAGAAACTGAGCGGTTCCAGGAGGCAAGACATGAATAATTCAAGATGTTTAAATTACCAAAAAATTTTGACCCGCTTGCTATTTTTTTTTATATCAATATATATAATTGCTGTGTTTTTCAGGAGGATGGGGAAGGAGAAACAACTCCAGCAAAGGTCGACGAGTCACCGTTCAAACAGAAGGTGGATATGAAAGCCAGATTTCAACAAATGGCTAAAGCCAGAGAGGACGAGGAGAGGAGGAGGATAGAGGAGCAGAAGCTGCAGAGGATGCAGTTTGAGCAGCAAGAGATTGATGCTGCCCTCCAAAAAGTAAATATTCCATGTTCATGACCACATATGCAAGATCATTCCTTATGACAGCATATTCAGCATTTGGTTTTAAATTGGCTTTGACCCCGGCAAACAGTTTGAGATTTCTTTGTCATCTGTTTGCAGAAGGACGATGATGTGGAGGACGAGGGTAGCATCATCAACGGCTCTGCAGCCTATGAAGATGAGGAGGACCACGCCAGATCGGGGGCTCCGTGGTTTAAAAAGCCCCTTAAAAATCAATCCGTGGTGGACTCGGAGCCAGTTCGGTTCACCGTTAAGATCACAGGGGAGCCCAAGCCGGAGGTGACCTGGTGGTTTGAGGGAGAGATGCTCCAGGACTGTGAGGACTATCAGTATATAGAGAGAGGGGAGACGTCCTGCCTCTACCTGCCGGAGACCTTCCCAGAGGACGAGGGAGAGTACATGTGCAAGGCTGTGAACAGCAGAGGCACAGCAGCGAGTACCTGCATCCTCGCAATAGAAAGTAAGATCACCTTGGTGTGATTGCATGCCTGCATGATGCCTCTTGTGTGGATTTCAACCTCTCTCCATGAAGTGGATCGCATGCTCCTCTTCCTCGTGAACTCAGGCAGATTTGGATAACGGCTTTTCTGTTTCTTTTTTGCAGCCTATGACTACTGATGCCCTTCCATGTTCTGGAAACTTTCCCTGTTGTCTCTCACTCCTTTTGTAAAACTTCATCCCTCGTGGTATGGTCAAACAGCAGAGGGAGGAAAATAGCAGTATGCTTGGCATTCCTAAGGGAGGGATACACAACACACACAGAAATTGCAACATGTTGTTTACGTTTGTAAAGCTGCACTCCCCGTAGAGTAGGATGATACTTGTGCCAAAAACAGACACGATTCTTGTTCCCATGCCAAGGGTTATCTTTGCTGCGAGGCCCTTATGACATTTGTGATACCAGCAATTTTTAAGTATCATAGTACTGTATTGTAAATATCACACTTTTTAGTCCATACATGGAAAACATTATGGTTGAGGCATTGAAATGTAAATGGTAAGATGTTCTTGTGTACTTATCTTAAATAACAAGGTACAGGAATATCAGTAAAACATCTTGCTTCAGTATTTTACTACTGCTCCACAACAGTTTTCTGTACTCTGCCATATTAGTAAATGGTGTTGTGATACTTGCCTGGTATTATATCAAGGAGTAACGTCACTTAATTGGAAATTCACAGTGAAAGGTGTGTTGACAATGATATTGCAGGAACAAAACAATTTGCATGTACATCCCGTCTTTCAAGGAAACTCTTTAGGCCAAGATTAAATGTTTTTAAACTGCAGCATCTAAAAAAACATTAATATGTTGATTTTTCATGTTCGAACCCTCCTTTTTTCTTTTTGAGTTAAATGTAATACTATTGATACAACTGTCATAATTCAGTTGACAATAGGTAACTGTTTTATGCTTTGATAATGGAAAAATAAACATAGGCTAGCCTGAAAGTTTGTCATATATTATAAATAAAAATGTTTTAATAAAGTGAAAGAAAATCGACAGAATTTTTGTGGTGTCTCTTATTGTTGCATTGGGAAGACTTGAAAACGGCTGCCTACTGCCTGATCTGTTGTACATTTTATTTTCTCTGTTTTGGGTGAACTGTTCCTTAAAGGACTAAAGTGAGTACAACCCACGGACCCATCATCATTGTACACACACAAACCTGAAGTGAGTGGTCTGTGTCAAAAATCTACTTTTTGTTGTTGTTTATATTGTGTTCCATTGACGCATTTGCTTGACAAAGTTCTATTTAATCAAATGCTACAAAGTAAAAAGTAGTATGTGTTGCAAAGGAGTATTGGTTGTTCCACTTAGAGGCAATATAGTTCATACTGTATTGAACAGAGGGTGCTGGGTGGGGGACCAATAAGTGGTTACATAAGTTTACCAGTTGTGTTTAATTCAAACAAAAATAGTAATTTTCCCGGCTTCACAATCCATTAGCAAAATGCAAAGAGTATGACACATTCGGACGCTTTTCTATTTTGTTAATCATCATGAGAGCCTTTAGATTTATCTAAAGATTTTTTTTTTGTTCCAGACCACGAGGTTGGGAAGCACTGAATATAACCCTAAACTAAGCACTATTGCAAATATTGCAAAATGTTTAAGTATGGAGGGACTGAAAAAGTTGTGGATGTTACTCAATAAAGTGTGGGAGGTAGGAAGAATCACAGAGACCTGTAAGGAAGCAATAATAATACTGAAAAGGAACCAGGGAAGGATGCCAGTGAGGCAACAAACTATGTACCTATTGCCTTGACATCACACATCTGTAAATTGATGTAACAGATGGGCAATCAGAGGATAATGTATTTCTTGGAGAAAGGAGGTATGGTGGTTACATAATAATGTGGATTCAAGCGAGGAGAGGACACTATGGATCAAGTGTTGTGTCTGCAGGATGAGAGGAGAAAAGCTCAAGTACGAATAAGGAAACAACATATTTCACACAGGCATTCTGGGTAATGATGAAAGAGTAGGCAAACCAGCTAAACGAGCTGATAATAAGACACAAATTAGTCTTTCACAATCAGAAGGAAAGGGCATTATGTTGAAGGAAATTAATAAACAGTAGCTGCAACACTGGGGTCAGGAGATGAGAGGAAGACACTTAAATTCCATAAAAAAGAGAGGAACAAGAAGAAGGAAAAAGACTATCATGCTTGAAAGAACAGGACACAGTAATATGAACAGCACATTTCACATTATATGGAAGCATCCAACCGGTTTTTGTGATCATTAAGGTACCAGAAACGTTAGAGCCGGAGTAAAGAACATACCGGAGTGTGGTGGAAGCGGGGAGTTTGCGTTAACTAACTCCAAAAGATGGCGGTAGTGCAACATTAAGGAGACAACCTACCTTTACAAATATCAAAGAAGAAGACCCACTTGCCCCGTTGCCATGGTTGCCCAACAACAACAACTCTGAAAGACACGCAGTTTCACTGAACTATGAGTTTCACCAAATCTCTAAAAACATATACGGACAGTCTCTGAAAGGTCCAGGTTGTGACGCAGCTCACCCCACAGCCTTGTTCTGGTTCACTAGACGGTTAATAGCTAAAAGCTATACTGCCAGAGCAGCGTCTTGTTGGTTATCTGTGTTTAGAGGAAAGGCCATCACCGCCGTGTGCACGTTCCCACCACTATGACCGTCTCAGCTGAAGAGGTGTCTTCTTCCGTTGTACGGGAATATCTGAGTCGGAAGGTAAGTTAGCTAACGTTAACTCAGGGTGGTGAACGGGCTCAGTGCTGAGCTGCAAAACCGTTACCAGAGCGAGCGAGCTAACGTTAGCCCTCCCCATGTCTAGCAATGCTAACGTTAGCTTAGCTCAGCGTTAACTCAGGTGTTACACTGAAATCTGTGGTTCTGCAGATTCTGTGCCACCAACACCAGAGATTCAGTGTTACATAATACGATGTAAAACGCTCTCGATACGCAGGGGCTCAAGAGGACGATCGCTTGTATGGATGAAGAACATCCACGCACAGAATCCAGTGTCAACAACAGATCACAATTGAGGCAGATCCTCAACATGGAGGGTCTCTATAGAAAGAATAAAGTAAGTCCTGCAGCTGGAGGTTGGCTGCTGTGTTAAAGTGACATTTAAAAAGAAGTCTGTTGCTGACCTCTCTGTCATTGCAGGCTCAGATCTCCCCCCTGAAAACATTACTGGAGATTATTGTGAAGCATCACATTGAGGGCCTTAAGAAGGACCAGATCACCATCAGTAAAAGTGATCCCCTGCAGTCTGCTCCACCTATGAGCCGGATTGCTAATTCTCCTGCAGTAACACCAACAGTGATGAATGACACACAGACAGAGGCTAGCACAGCTTTTGTAATCAGCAAACACATCAAATTAAGGTATTTCTCAAGTGTAGTTTTTTGATACATTATTTTCTGCTGTTTTGACTTTTTGAAAGTTGGTTTGAACATATATGGGATTTATCTCTCTCACAGGTCTGATATAGGAGACATCTGCCCATCTCAACCTATATGTACATCATTATTGCCTGAGTCAGATGGACTGTCCTGTCAAAATCAAACAGGTTTCTGGTCTTGTGACTCAGAAGACCATAAACACCAGCCACGGATGGCTTCCCTCCAGGACAATGAGAGCTTCATCAGAAGAGAACCAGAAAAAAAGACTTCCACCACTACTGAGAGCACCCAGAGGACCAGAATTAATCGAATTAGACGTGGCATGACTGCTGGACCAATAGCTAGCACACATCAGGTACTAGACTACTGATGGAGCTCCTAAAAACGTATTGATTCATTATATTACTCGTATTCGTCGTACTCTGTTGGGTTACTGATGTTTTTCTTTTAAGGAATCAAACAAAAAAAGGCAGAATCGAAGGCTAGAAGTGCCCCAGAAACTGCTCAGAGGAGAGGAAGAAAACAAGCAGTCCAGGGATGGACTTTTAGTGACTGGCGTACATCAAAAAAGCTCAGAGAGCGGCCTGACTGAAATCAACTCAGCTGACCGCTTGGGAGGGCAACGGGAGTTGTGGAGTGCACCAGAACGAGTGCAAACGGAAAACAGCTTTGAAAAAGTGCAACAAGACATACTGAAGACCACAAAGTAAACAGCTTTAAGCTAATACTGCTTTGTCTGTGGCACCCTCGTAGTTTTATACTGTTGAAATGATGTCCTACAGAGTTTCATTCATAAGTTTATGTACATTGTGTTTGTTTCTTAGCGTAAAGTCTTTGACCAGGCCGAGTGTGGCTGATTTGGATGTGGCTGAGATGGTTTTAGGTGAGTATATAGAAAAAAAAGGCTGCATCAATTGGCTTTTTTTTATTGTTTCCTTGTATTTGTCAAAAGCTGATGGTGTATTAATCAATTTCCAGATGATCTTGATGATGATGAGGATCTGCGAGAACTCTCCAAAGTGTCCTTTCAGAGAACCGTCGCAGAGCACAGCTACGCAGGCCGCCCGATGGACCAACACACTGCCATGGTTGGCGATTTACACCGGGGCTCCTTTTTGTTGCTTAATGCTAACAGTTACTGTGGTTGCCAGTGATTTCCTGTTTGTCTTCTGTTCTTGTTTTTCTCTTCAGGAATTGAAAGCGATTCTTATGGGTTGTGGCCTAAATTGTTTCAGTGTTGAGTGGAGGAACCAAGGTTTCACATTCTCAGAAACGCACGACCTGAGATACGGAATTGTGCAGAAAAAGGTTGTCAGTACTGCGCCATCCTTCTGAGATTCTGCAGTGCGTTCACTTCATATCATTAATTGAGCTTCGTGATATCATGTACTGTGTATTTGCTTTATAGGGTGGTCCTTGTGGAGTTCTGGCATCCATCCAAGCCCTTGTTCTAAAGAAACTGCTGTTTGAAAAAGTTGAAAGCAGTAACACGGGCCTTCAGTACGTTATCCTTCAATTCAGAGCTTTGAGCCATATTGTTAACCACTGAGTATTGTAATCACTTGGATGCTTTTTACAGACATTAATTCACATCAAGGCATGCTTTGTAGCCACTGTTAAGTATTGACCTCCGCATTTGGTATTAACTGTATTATTACGCCACACGACCGGCTTTCCACTCAACTGTCACTTTGTTCTCAGGAGGTTAAGACCTTCCAACACAACCAGAAGAAAGTGTCTAGCTTTAGCGGCGGCTGAAATACTGTGGAGGGCTGGCGAGGAAAAACAAGCCACGATTGCAATGTAAGATCATACTTTTATCCACTAAATCCTTTTATATCCAGACCAGTACACAGAACTTCATTACCAGTATTTAAGTAGGTCGAATGCATGTGAATACCTGGCTTAGCTGCTGAGAGTCGGGGTGTGTTCTATTTCAGATGAAGCATTGATTTAAACAATTTGGGTGCTTTTTGTTTTACCTCTATTTTGTTTTTTTTTTTAAACAGAAATTCAGGGAGAAATCATTTCACCCCAACTGGACGCTACAAATCTGAAGGAGTGCTTGAAAAGGTAGAGATGCCGCTGCAGTGCACACACACTCTCTGACATGGGGGTAGTAAAGTTACACTCAAATTGACCAAATGGAGTTCAGTTGGATTTACCAGCATATAGATGAGGAGTTTCATTTCTCCAACTACATCAGACAAACATTCTTCAACAGTATTTTAATGAGCTGTTTTTCATGCGGTTGAAGTTGTGGAATATTAGTATGTCTTAAATGTTATTCTGGATTTGCAAAACGCATTTGCACATTTGTTGTTTTTATTTTAAATGAAATGAATAATGGTGTAATAAACAAAGTGTATCTATATCAATACTATCAATTTACTTTTTACTCGAAAAGAAAATCTGCTGTGGAAGTTTTCTAATCACATTTTGTTTTAGATAACATGTTTCACAGTGGACAACATCAAAGACCTGCAGTTGCTTCTGGAGCGGCATATTGATCAAGCAAGAAACTTATTATTGACTTCTTCAGTTTAATTTTGCCCGTCAAATGTACAATAGATTGCCAACCTTTTGGCTTTAATCTGTTGTTCCACAGTTTGAGACCGGGGTGTTAGGATGCATACTACTCACCATATCTGCAGTTCTCTCTCGATCCATTGAAAAGTATGTTTTTTTTTTTTACCTCAATGGCTGAGCAAGATGTTCTGCATAAACATCACTATTAGTTAGATTGTGAAACTTCACCCTCATTGGCCTTTCTTCTGTCTTTAGAGTAAGAGACGATATGGACGTGCCCACCAACACACTCATCGGAGCCCACGGCTACTGCACTCAGGTTTGTCATGAAACTACAACTTGCAGGCTAAATAGTTTCAGAGCACTTGGTATTGTGTTTGTTTATGATTCAGAATTACACATTTGAATGAATAACGGAAGTGCAGGAATTGGTATTGATGACATTGGTTGAGGGACATAAGTGTCTCTTGGTGCATGCAGGACTTGGAGTAGGTTGCACAATAAAGGGATCTCAGTGTTAGACACAAAACAAGAGTAAGAGTAGCAATACTACGTAATGTTACTGCTGTATACACGAAACATTTTCTGGTTACTAAGATTGCATTTTTGTATTTGTGTACACCAGGAGCTGGTCAACCTGTTGCTCTGCGGCAGAGCTGTTTCTAATGTCTTTGACAATGACTTGGAGTTGGACTCAGGCAACGGCAACATGACTCTACTGAAGGGAGTCAAAGGCCACTGTGACATTGGCCTGCTGTCCTTGTTTGAACACTATAACATCTGTAAGGTGAGGGACAATGGTGGCGGCCTCTCTGCTCACCCAGTGATGTAGAAAACTCATACTTCTGGTCCGTCCTCAGTTGGATGATTAATGGCGCATCTTTGAGATGCACGTTTAATACAACAACAAATCTGCATTCAGAGAAGACTGGGGTACAGCTTGCATAACGAGTAACAGGACATTCACTTAGCTTTATACAGTACATCCCTTGTCATAAAAAATCACGTGTAACCACATCACCCTGGAGGACGCAAAGCGGTATTGTGTGTACCCTTTGGTCCAGAGACACCAGAGTCACCTCAAATATGGCACGCAAAGTGTTAAGGACTCTGAGGATGTTCAAAATATCAAACAGATGACAATGAACAAATAATACATTTCTTCATGACCTCGGGGGGCATTCTTTACTGTAATTATGGGCTTTACCGTAATTACAGGAAAGAATGTTCTTTAGACTATGATGGGATATATACACATACACTGCCTGAATATGTTTATTAAAACTACTTCCCACTCACAAGAGAAGGATAACTGAAGAAAATGGGGAGTAACAGGCTCTCTGGTTATCAAGCTGTAGCATAGCAACAAATCAAATTGACTTTGTGACGTGAAATGTAATTAGTAGGTCAATAAGCACATCATGGAAATTTGGATATGTTTTGATGAGGAACATGGCGTGTTGATCTTGATATAAGAATCTTCCTCACAGCAAACAATGATTAATTGCATATTTTAACCATTAAGCATAAAACTTGCACTAACTCAAAGAAAACAGGTACTTGGTGGTGTTTACCGGAAGCTGAAGCTGAGAGGAAGTAGAGCTATGAACCTTATACAAACTTTAAAGGCAAAGTAAGAAGGTTTTGTCGGTTGCGGTTTGTAAACACAACATTCAAAGTTGGCCCCTCCTCACCGGCTCAACGAGGGTTACGGTGCTCGCCAGCGGGCGAAAGCCAACCTCAGACTCACTCTCGTGTTGGATTGAGATTTGTCTGCTTGACGTTTTCTCCTCGCTAGATTTGTTTTTTTTTGTGGCACCGTGTCCGCCATCATCTTAGCTTCCTCTGGTCTCTATGTTTTTACAGAGGTTGACCCCAGAAACATCCCGAACACACAGCAATATGAAAAGAGAAGAGAAAATACAGGCAGTGGGCAGCCACGCTGCAGATACAGACACCAGCACACACTTCTAGTTAGACATAAGTGATGATTGAGAGGGATTACTGTAATATCTGTCTATACATTGTTTTGTTTTTTAGTAAAATCCTACTCATTATGTCTTTAATTATAGACCTTGCAAAAAATAAATGCTAAATATCTTTAACATTTTCAATTCTACACAATATTAACATACACAGTAAATACCAAAACATGTACAAAATGTATTATTCCGAACAAAATCTTGTTACTCTTACACCCTGGAAAACTGTGTCTCTACTGTCATGCACAACTACCATGACAGTTTTGATTTTACTCCTCTCCCAGTCCTGTAGTAGGTAGCAGCTCAAGATTGTGTGCAAGGCATTTAACACTTTTTGACAAGTTCAAAATAATAAGATTGATGATTGCTGCTTCACCCAGGGGACCTGGTATTTAATAGATTACTGTGTTCTACTTTCCTCTATCTTAGGTAGGAGTTTACCTGAAGACTCCCCGTTACCCCATCTGGGTGGTCTGCAGTGAAAGCCACTTCAGCGTGCTGTTTGGCCTGCAGAGGGAGCTGTTGACCAATCAGGGCCAAAGCCTGGAGTTTGAGCTCTACTATTACGATGGACTGGCCAATCAACAGGAGGAGATCCGCCTCACTGTCTGTATGTAACATCACTTGTTCTGCAGTGCACATGTCCTTTCTTTTTGAGTTGTTTATGTTTCTTGTCATCCTCTCATGCCAGTGAGTGACCACTCAGAAAAATGTGCATTAAGGTATAATGTCTGTGATCATAAGATCTTGTTTTCCTGCAATCTAAATGATCTGGGTCCTTCTCTTGTTGACGCTTGAGTAAGGTTTAGTTATTTTGCTGTTGCCCTAATTAATTAACTGAAAGGCTAATTAAGTGTGTGCATTTTTAGCTGTTGGCGAATCGGCCCTGAGTTGTCAAGATGCCGACACGGATCTCGTTCCTCCACTGGAGCACTGCATCCGAACAAGGTAACGATCGTTTGGCATTTCAAACAGACCAACACCCACGTGCACAGTACTGTCTGAAGATCCTATACACTACCAAAAACTGTGTTGTAGTTCGAATTCCTTGCATGCTCTAAATACAGCTTGAAGATGTAGAAAACCATGCAGAATGTATCCGAGTCAGCTCTCAATGCCTTAAACTGTTTGTTTTGTTTCAGATGGAAAGATGCATTCGTCAATTGGAATGACACAGAGCCTATTCTCTGACCAATCACATGGTTTGATGTTAATTTAACAATGGAACATTAACCGACAAAACATTTGCGTCACCAATATTCAATATTACATACATATTCTTCATATATAACATTGACTATTTACCCATATATTTTAGCATTATCATGTTTTTTTTCTCTTGTTAGTGAGACACAGTGTTGTTGGCCTGGATGTTCTACGTCACACAATGTATGTGCAGCTGGAAGGGTTTGGGCCCAAAGTGGGATATAGAAAGTCACGTCAGCCATAAAGCGTCATGCTGTTGCCTACAAAACAATGTTTGAGATAATGCAATGTACTTTAAAAGTAATAAGCAAAAGGTAACTTTTTCTTAAAATGTACAAGTTTGGAGGGAAACCGAACTTTTGTTACTGATGAAATGTAAATCGCAAAGATGCAGTATGGACCACAGTGGCCTTTTAGTCTTTACTTTTTTACATCAAGATATAACAAATTGTTGTCCATATTTTACACTAATTTATTGAGTTCCCTTGTGATATTTTAATCAAGAACACAAGACTGCTGTGTGTGTGTGTGTGTGTGTGTGTGTGTGTGTGTGTGTGTTAGTCAAAGAGAGGGATTGTTATGATAGACCTCATGTGGAACAGAAAATGGACAAATTAAGATGTATTTATGTAGCGCCAAATCATGTTATCTCATTACACTTTTCATTTACTGTCACAAGTCTAGACTGTATTTTTTTAATTCAGAGTTAAAGAAAATCATTCACACCTCTACCGTCTCCACACAGTGGCGTTTGTTTGTGTCCTTTTTAAATTTTTTATATATAAAGCTGCTTTTAACTGCCAACCAAATAAAGGAAATATTGCGAAACTACAGCTGCGTAACGTAATGGGTAACTTCAGTATTTTCCACATGTTTTTGTGTCCAAGAGATTTATAGGGACAACAATTTTTGAAATTGGCCGAGTATTGAGGGAGAACGCTGCAACTGTCAGCCGCAAACCGAGCTGGGAGGCAAAGTGAGCTGTGTCAATGCAACATTAGTGTATTTTCTAAAAGTCCATGGCCGGCCCTGCTAGAAACATCACTGTGCTTGGTTGTACGCATGCAGGACTACAATTCACTTCCACAAAAAAACACCCCTTTGTGCATTTGAGGAACTCTTTGATAGATGAACATTTATGTAAATGTTACACATTTTTCCAAATAAAGAAACAAACTCTGAACTAATTACGAATTAACTCTTAACTGTGTCACATGTCGGGGGTGAAAATACGAATTCAGCTGAAAGATGCCTTGCGGTTAACGGTGCGTTTAGTCTTTTAGCTATGGCAGGCGTCAGAGCACACACAGTGTGGGGCATGTCGAGTGGGTGGCAGGGAGACCTGTGCCAACACCTCCAGCACATGGGATCAAAGACACTTCAGCTGGCACACAGACAGAGCTGCATTCATTTTCACTTCCCTTCAAACTGTCTTGTGCAAATTGGACCTGAGTCCACATAATATCTTGGAAGTGCAATGTTCAGTGGGGTCAACACGTACACAAAACATCTTTGCAACAACAACACAATGAAACATCATGAGCTGCTCTCTTTATTAAATCTGTCAAGTCAATAATATCCATGACATTTCCATTTTGGTGCGATGAAAATGCTAGAAGAGCTCTGACGATTACAATTCATTCATCTTTCAACTGTCAAATTCCTAATGGGAGCTGTATTATCTGAATCTATATCATTGGTGACTCATGTAGGGATTCATGTATTCGAAAGAAGACAAAGGAAGTCCATGAATTAATCATGAGACATGGAGCGAATCAATGAGCCCGTAACAACAATTTTACAGTCATCAGGACTACTGCAATCACTATAAATAAGATGGCTTGTTGAATGAGGCTTTGGGGTCTAAGAAATTGGATTAAAGTGTTTACTTTTGCCACAAAATTCTTGTGCGGATGGGGGGGAGTTTGATATATGTCATGAGGGAGCCATGCTTAGGTCTTAGGTTATATGCTAGTCATAATCTTCCCTGAATAGTAGAATAGAATATTTTAGTACGTGCCAAAGGGCTAATCAAATTACAAATGTTTGTATGATTGCAAAGTCAATTAAAGCAAGGAATCTGTAAAATCCTTTTACTTGGAGAGCTGGTGTCATCTCAGAGCTGGGTTTTGCTTACAAAGGTCCAAAGTCTGCTGCAAGACTGTTGTTGCTGTCAGTCCAAATCACAGCGAAGGGATAAAAAAGGCTAATCTGTAACTCTGTCTCTTACCCTATCCGTTCCAAAGCACAGTTCACTTGGAGGCGACTAGCTCGTAGTTAAAACATTGAGGTCTGTCTTCTCTCTGCTGCTGAGCTTTGGTGCATCCGGGTGCAGTCTGACAGGAAACAAATGGCCCAGCTTTGGTCTCTATTTACTATTTATCGCACCAGCATTTCTCAGCGGTATCAGAAGAGGGATTTGGTGCTTGTGTGTAATTGTGTTAGAGTCCTCCCACATGCTGTCCCCAGTGCATCTTCTGTCTCCTCTCCTAATCTATGCTGTTTGTCTCCAGATAAGTGATATCCTCCTCAGATTAGGATCCGGTGTCCCTGCCCTGTCCACCTGGAGGGAAAGGGATCCCCAGTGCATCCCTGTGAGGTGAAAGATGTATTTTTAGCTTCCTAATCCTTTTATAGCTCAAGCAGAAAACACCACCCGCTTCCATTAATTGTCAGAGGTAATCATGATACAATATGCCAGACAGGAAGTACTTGTTTTTGCAGGTTTGACAATATTCAGGAATTTGATGGAGATGATCTGTTCTGGTCCTAAAGAGGCTGTGATTTGTGGAAGAAAGGCATGTTGTGTGTTTTATGGTCCTTCAGAGCCAGGCCATCTCATATCAAGCATACATCCTGCATGGATTGAGATTTGCAGATCTAAATTACAGTTCACAGCCTTTTGAAATGACGGCTTCTTCGGAAGCCTTTTAAATGATCTCCCAAAAAGCCACATGTTGTTGATTAACGAATGGTCAAATTTAATAAACTGTTCCTGCTTAGTCTGTAGAGATATGCTGGCGTGGGAACTGAGCTGTTCTAATCTTTGGTTCAGCGGATGTTTCCTTCAGAGTCTTTCAGCATCCCCGTGTGTGCGTGGCTCGATATTTATTTCACTGCCCTAAAAACAATCACTGTGACTATTCCCCAGGGACACGTCTCAATGCAAGATGATACAACATGACAAGAATAATGTTGGATCCTGTTTATTGTGTCAGGACTTTATAGCACTTTGTTACTGTAAGAGTAAATCCCTGCAGAAATGCACAGTGATCGAGAAGAATTGCATTACATAGCAGCTCTGATGCCTTTATCAGAAAGCCACAGTGAGGAAATGATAGCTTTGTTTGTTCAAATCTCTTAAAATTACCTTAAATATCGTCTGTTGGCACTTTTATTGTCTGTTCAGTTGGACATTATGTTCGTCGCATTTCAGATTTCTGCCAATTTACTCGAACATGTCACAAGTGGTCTGAGGTTTGAGGTCAGTCATACCAGCACACTTCATTCACTGGATTATGTTGATTTGAAAAAGGTTTGCTTGACATACTTACGCGTCCCAAACGGGATATGTCAACAAGAAACTCTTGCCAAAGCAATTTCGAAAAGCCAAAGAGAGCATCTCAGAATGACATTGAAATATGGTAAATAATGTAATCTCAGAAGAATACTACAAATGTTTAAATTGCCTTACACGTGTAAGGAGTTTGTTCAGCTTTTAATGAGCTTATCCAAAGTACTGTATATTAGCTTCTATTGACCTTGAATTGCTCAACATCCTGTTGAGTCCCATAGTCCAAGATATAGCCCTAACCATTGCAACAGACTCCCAATAGAGGGAATACAGCAACGGAAAAATAATTTTAGAGGAGCAGGGGCTGCGTCAGTAAGGTGCTGAAAAATATAAGAGAATTTGACAAACCAGAATGTGAGGAGAACAAAGTTCGTAATGAAATCCAGTTTTAGTCAGTGCTTTTTAAATTACACTGAGCGGAGGACAAGACAGAGTCTGGGATAAATGTTGGGTCGTCATTAAAAGACTGCGCACTCTTAATCTGAATCCTCTTTATATTTTCCCTCTTTCCCCTCATCTCCAATAACAGCAAAATATGCTGTGCTTCAATATTATTTATTGTTCAATACTGCAGTGCATAATAATCTCTGTTGTCATTCCACATGTTCTCATTGTCGGCAATCACTCAAGTGCCAAATAAAATGTAATGACAACGAAGGAGCATGACAGATCTTTCAGACCAGTTTGAGAATATAATATCAGCATAATAGTGGAAAAGGAATTCATATACAAGGAGAAAAAGAACTTCCTCTCCATCAGATATGACTTTTATAACCAAAATATGATTTTGAAAGTATTATATACATACCCTTTCAATAAATAGGTGTATTTAATATTAAATTGATATTTCATACAGGTACATTGAAATAAAAAGCACATCCATTTAATAGCCAACAATGTCCATCAGCATTTTCAATAATGACAAGAACAACAAAAATAGAAACGCTATAAACACAACAATGTTTATATGACTGCTGTGGATTTGAAGGCACTTCCTTGGCAACACATTGATCCCTCTTCCATTTTTTTGGGACCTGAAATGAAATAAGAAAAAAGTTAAACATCTTGATTTTCAGCACACTTTGAAGCTGTATTTTAGAGAAAATAAACCTGTCTAGTATTGGCAAAGATGCATCGGCCTTTCTGAGAAAGTTCTGTTGTCAGCTTTTAAAGAATTATTACTGGTCTGCCATTACTGCCATTTCTCGATGTTTTGTCTAAGCTCATTCAGAAATGATCAGGATGACTAAATAATGAATCCCGCTTTCAAAAGCCCCTCGATTGTGATATACGTTTGTCAGATTTCTCAGAACAGGCAGGATGTTATCTGATTCACTTGAGAAACTGAATACCTGAGAATGTGTCAGCCTCTTTATTTTTTATAATCACCAGAAGTCCTATACCACAAAGAACTCAAATTAACCTAAATGGACACTTGTGCAGATGAACTCTCTTGCAGCAATCACTCACCAGGTAGACCTAATTGCGTTCACCGAGAGCACATGCTTTTACTTCATGTTGCATTTAGGACTAGATTGAACCCATCAGACCTGCTGTCATGGAAGATCGCCATTAACAAAAGGGATGACTATGTCCAAAATCACTGCACTGACGATTGTCTTAGTCCTAGCTTTGTCCTGAGAATGTCTATTTTTAGGTTTAGTGTGTTTAATGTTAGCCAAAGAAGCATGTAGCAGTGTTTTTGATTGATAAGAAAGCCACCCTCATCTGTTCATAGTTCTACTTTTCTTACTTTACCCTCAGTGTGCATTATAGTTTTCATAAAATCTTTGTTTTCCACTGATAAGATGTGTAATGTTTACAAAAATCAGAGGAAGTGTTGTTTAATGCGGCAAGGACGAAAAAATGTCAGTTGACCAAAAGATGGCATGACATTGTCAGTGGCACTAAAATACTATAATGTAGTAACTGTAGTGGAAAACTAATGTCCAGTTGAGATTATCAAACTAGCAAATTCTCACAAATATATATTTATCTATATAATCCTAATATCTATATCAAATATATAAAGACACTATCAACCATCAAATGCATCGTTTTATCCATGACTATCCACTTTACATCCAAACAGAATACACATTCATTAATCACAACTGTTTTACAAAGAGCTGGTATTATACGGTTGATAGAAATAGGGCTGAAATGGTTGATTAGTCACTTAGTGACTCGACAGAAATATAGTCATTAACAATTTTAACAATACATTTTGGAGGAAAAACTCTAAACATTCACCGGTTCCATTATAAACTGAATATCTTTGGGTTTGAGCTGTTGGTCAGATTAAATTAGACATTTTAAGACTTATTGGGCTCTGGGAAATTGTGATTGAAATGTTTCACCATTTGTTATTTTTCAGACAAAAAAATAAACAGATTAATCCATAATCTAAATAATCTAAAATAAAAAAATTAGTTGCAGCCCTAAATAGTTTGCAGATTCAGTAAGAAAACATTTGACCACCACAATGTTGTCATATAGGATTTTGGAAAATAACTGCATGAAATCCATTTCTTTCTGTGATTTGTGTGCAACTTCAGCCAACCATCACTAATGCTGAAGAAATAAAGATAATATACATAACAAGACGTGTTTCAACACGAACAACTGCAAGATATTCTATATTCTTAAAGCATACAAATGTTGCAGACAGATGCACTTCAGACATGTTTCTGATGACATGAGCGTCAGTCTTTATGTTTCGGATTCTGTGAGCTCCAGTTTTCTTCAGAATTCCTCCACATCTCGCTGAGAGAATTTATATAAATATATAAACAAAATAGTCTATTTAATTAACCATTTTACTTTGCCACAGGGGATGTTGGCAAGAACTCAGAGTGAATTGAACCCCACCCAAGAAGAGGAAAACACTTTTACTCACATGCAATATCTACGATTGCATGCAGAGTGGACTCATTGCTAATCGTGTTAGCAATCTTGCACATCTTTTGTAATCTGAAAAAAAGAAAGTGGGGAAAAAAAAACAAAAAAAACATGAATATGTTATCATACCATCTTGTATCTAAAAGGCCCAAATATATAATTTGCGTTCCAATTTTCCTATAAACAGTTATACAGGTCAGGTATTTTTTCTCTCTCTGATGTTTAAAAATCATACAACTATCCCACAGTAAGTGAGAAATGTTCGTACCAATGAAAAAGACATGAGGCAGAACTGACGTCAGAGGTGTTGCAATGTAACAGAGCAGCTCTGCATGTAAAGTACACAATCGCTCATGTTTTCTAATATCATCATCAGCAACATTAGCATGAGAGATGAGCCATACATTCAACAATACTCTGCGTCATCCCAATCCAACAGACCGACAAATGAATCCCGATTGTGTCCACAATGTCTCTGTGTCTAGCTTAAACTGCTGTTTAGGACATGTATTCATTGCTTGAAGTCTGACTTGCTTACTTAACTGCATCACAGATGCAAAAGGCAGTACAAGCAGACAGTCTTCTTTCTGTCATTCACTCTGTCCACAATAAAGGCAAGTGTAACTATAACAATAATGATATCCATATGTGACAAGGGAGCATTGTTTGCAATCATTCTCCGATGTCTCCTTAATTCCCAAATGTATACATTCCAGTAAGGATTGCTCCATCCGTTGCAAACTGTGGTTATAGCTCTGGTTGCTTAATTTTTTCCAATTTGGGGTTCGGAACCCTCCATGGGGTCGCAGGGTAAATAGAAGTGGTACATCTAAAGGGGAATATGCTACATTTTTGACTATACAATCTTTTTTACAAAAGGTGTGGAAAAAAAATATCCTAACCTCCATCAGGACTGTGTGGGTGTTTGAAGTGATTGACAGTGGCAAACAGCTCAGCAACTGTTATCAGATTTTGATTCAAATATTGCTAAATCCTGATATAGTGTGGAAGTACGTCAGATCAACCATTTTCAACTAAAACTTAGCAAAAACTTCCACCTCAATTGAAATAATCCAGCGAGGTGTCTGAAAAGAGAAGCCAATACGGAAGTGCCTTAAACTTGCATTCTTTCTAATAGCCAGCAGGGGGAAACTCTTCTGGTTGTGAAAAGAAGTCTGATTGCATAGATGTCTTTGAGAAAATGACTCCTTCTCACTCAATTTATTACCTCAGAAAACACTGTAAACATGAGTTTATGGTCTCAATCGCTATAGTTTCAAGTTGTCTTTAATACAGCATGATATTGATTTAGCAAATTATGGGCCCATTTAGAGTAAAATAGACTATAAAGCAGGGTATGCTTTAGGGCGTGGCTACCTAATGATTGACAGGTCACTGCCATGTTGATGTCTGGTCTGGGATTTGTCCGTGTTATATTCTTAGAACTTTAACCCTTTCAAAGTGAGTTTTCAGTTCATGAAAGTTAATTGTAACATTTTCATTCAACTATAAAATGTCTTTTTCAATGTTCGGTTGTACTAATTTCCACCCTCTCGTGTCACTTCTGGTTGCAAAAAGCCAAGATGGCGACGGCCAAAATGCCAAACTCGAGGCTTCAAAACGGCAGTCAACAAACCAATGGGTGACGTCACAGTAATAACTTCAACTTCTAATATACAATCTATGAATCCAACTCTGGCAACAGTTGTCACTCACAGTAAGAAGCTGGTTGAAAATAAAATAAATGTTCTGGGCCTTTAAAGCACAATACTTGTGATGATGAAGGATGGCACTACAGACATTGAGCACATTATAAAAAGAGCACCATGAGAGGAAAAGGCATACATACATGCTGGTCTTGAGCAATCCCTTGTGTTGTGATAAAGTCTATGAAAGTGTGTTCTGCACTCCGACGAGAACTTGACTGGTCCTGCTTAATAGAAAAGGTCTCATCAGGCAAAATGATCAATATTTCAATTATTCATCAACTTTCTTTTCGGTAAAACTATGAAAACAATATGAGAGGATAACATCTTAAAAATGGCGTTAAACAGCATTATTAGAAACAACAAAGGGGCGGGGCGGGGGGAGAGTAAAACGTCCCACTGACTGTGGTTATTGATACGACAATAGTTTAGAACGTCATAGATGGTATTGCAAACGCCAACTCAGTAGTATCTTGTCCCTCCAAACTGTTAAATTCCCAAGCAAAATCGAAATTGCTAAAGTTACTTGTTAATATAGAGCTGGGAATAGACACCACTTTACAAATTAAAAAAAATACTGAAATTTTGATTTATGTGCAGACAAAATTTTGAGAATTTGCTGCCGGTGATCACAATGGAAATAAGTAAATTACAACGGTGGTTTGACAAATTATAAAATTTCAACAAAACCATGCTTATACTGTTTGTAAATTGTAGGATAAATATTACCATACACGTTATGATAGACAATGTTAACATAGAAAGGGTATTTGAAAATAAATTTCTGGGCGTGATATTAGACCACAAAATCTGCTGGTAACCTCATAAGATATGCAAAGTACCAGCAAAGTAGGAGCATTGCAGCTTTGGGAAAAACAAGGCACGTTCTGGATCATAAAGCGTTACACACTCTGTATTGTTCACTTGTATTACCGTATCTGTAAAAGCCATGAGGATAGTAAACAATGCAGGATATTGCAAAGACATCAACACGCTGTATTTAAAGTCACATGCTTTGAAGTTATGGATCTGGTAGAATTTAGGACAAATTATGTACAAAGCAAGAAATATTGTAGTTTATTATAATTGTTTATAATAGCATTACAAACTCATTTATTGACTTTAACTTACTTACAATAGCATTGTTAAACATTAAGCTTTTGTATTGTTTTATAAAGATTAATACATATCTTATTATGCATTTATAAGCAGTTAACTATGCACTCATAAACACTTAAATAGCCTTAACACAAAATAATGTCAATCAGCATCCTATAAGGACATATAAGGGCCTTTCTACCCATCAACTAATGCTTATTACAAGTACCTTCGTATACAGCGAAAGTGAAAGATAACAGTGCAATACCACAGACATGGTTTAGGAGTCGGGGTTCAGCTGGACTTGGTGAACAGAGGACTTGAGTCTTCAATTATAAATCACTTCTGAGAGTTTCTGCACCAACATTTAAACCTCCAGATTTTCACACCAACAATGAAGTCTCTCACAGGTCCTGAGACAAATAATCAGCTTAACCTTGCACTGCCTTCAACTTAATTCTGTCGGCTTTATACCATGTGCCGTCTCTCTGCACTGCTGCCCTATAGCTAAGCCAGGCAACCCTCTTCTGACCCACAGGAGTGCCAGTGTTCATGAAGCCTCCAAGACTTAAGCATACTGTATGTTGGCTTTCAGGAATGATTTTCTCAAAGGGGTGAAACTAAGAAATTCTTCCGCCAAAGGTCGCATTGAGGACGTAATGCTCCAAAGCATGTCTGGAAAGGAAACTTTGCACTCTTGATGTTTTCTTTGATGGTGACTTTCTTACCTGTGAAATGCTGAATGAATTTGCCTTTCATGTTTACATCTCTAGGAACGATTTCTGGAGAAGAAAAATCACTGTTAGCTTGTCAATCAAAAGTAATTTTACAACAACAGAGATTGACAAAAGTTACACAGTAGTCACGATAAATATGATTGTCATTGTCGAAGTCGTCATCCTCCTCCTGGATAGATTATTGAAATGCAGGGAATTTATTAATGTCACCCTTTTAAGGTCAACATGTGACTGCACTATTATTATTCATGATTAATGTGCTTGATGATTTGGGGCATTAACATTTTTCTACATAAAAACATAATGTCCAACTACAGCAATCTAAACAAACATGATACATCAGAAGAATTGTTTATATGATTTACATTATAATCTCTATGGAGATCTGTATTGTTAGTGGGGCCATTTCATACAGTCTAGATGGGGTAATGGCATCAAGTCCTTTCTAGTCAATGTCCATGCAGACAACACATGGCGGTATCTGATAACACACTGGCAACTCTAACAGGCTAAAGAGATTATTGTATGGGAGTTTAATTCTCATCAGACTAAGTCCATGCAAGTAGTTACCGGGCTAACGTTACATTAGCCCCCAGACACCGGAACATAGAATGCTGTTACTGCAGGAGGATGAAAGATAACAATTAAGCCAATTTGAAAACCAGCAGAGGAAGTCATTTTCAAATCACCCTACCCAGACTGATCAAACACAACTATGTATTTTAATATTCTACAAAGAGTTATGGAAATGTAAGAGCAGACTGTGACCATCAAGCCAAAACCCAAATGTGAAGAGTGAAAATGACAGCCTGGATTACATAAAGCCAGCTAACATGGTTTATACTGCACCAGTGTACTGCATTTCCAAGGCAATAATAAATGCATGTCAACAAAAATGAAAGAAAAGTCTATAGCTGCCAGTCTAAAACTGATTTCTTGTTCCATACATATGAAATTCGAAACTAACGGAGAAAACAGTTGTAAAATAAACACCTTTCCTTAGGTCATGTCTTTCTGCAACATGTGGTCACTCCATGGCTTCTGAGTAACATGCAAAGACAACACACACCCACATCAGTGGGTTTACAGATGTTTCTCCTTCCTCCTCATTGTGTTCAAAACATCTATCCTTGCACGACCATGGATCTTTTGGTAGTGTCACACGCACCATTTGCCAATATGTTGCTTTTAATAACCTCAAAGATAAATTCCATCCACTCAGTGGTCTGAGAAAGGTACTTTTCCAATTGCATAAGCTGGGGCCGACACTTTGAGCTTTACGGCGTCTGTGCAACATCACTACAACATTATCTAACTGACAGTGATCAAAAAATGATCTAATATTGCAGATAAACAACACCATATGTTCACTCTGCTCTTAATAAGACTCCCATTGCACATACTGTACCACTGAGGCACAATCCTACACCAAAACCTCAGGAAGCTTCGTCTGTGATCTCAGATAATTGAAGAGGTATGTATCAAAGATTTAGTTAAAGGGCTTAATTCCAGTCTGAACATAATGCTTCATTTAACCAATAACGGCAAAGATGCACTAAACTCATTCTCCCTTGTCCGACACCTCCGACATGGGTCAACAACCATTCATGTGAGGAGAAATGAACAAGGATCTATTTGAAGGTAATATTTGGAGCTGAAAATCTGTAACCTGGACCGGACTGTTCTTAAACCTCCTCGTATGGACTTATTCCGTAACTACATTCAAAAAAGAGTGAGTGACTTTGATACAATGCAGTAAACTAATGTGACTCAACGACAGCCAGTCCTGTCTCTGCTCTGCCGGATGCGTCTTGTGGAGATGCTTTCGATTGGAGATGCTTTCTGAGACGTCACAGCGCGTTTTGTGTGCGTGCAGGGCGGTCATCATTCATGTTTAAGATTCCACGATGAATCACACTGAATGAATCATTCACAAGTTTGGCACATCGATGCTCCTCCTACATGAGTTCCTAGTACCTATCATGTCTCCGTTCATCGATCAATCGCAGTTTGAATGATGGAGCGATATGTCCAAGACATGGGGTGAAAAAGTATCTCTTAGAAATAACAACACCATGTATGATAAATATAACATAGCTTCTTATAGAGAGTCTATGGATATAGCCCCTTTTCCCTACACATATGAAGTATACCTTCATTATTTATTTTAACTACTTTAAATTGAGTTGGACATCGAGGACAGTGAGATCTGAACGCTGTACCCTTTCTTTTAAGCATATTCTTGCCAAATACCATTTCCATATGTCTTGAATTAATATGCATACACCAAGTTCCATAAGGCTCATAAATAAGGTGTACAGCACAGACCAGACTAATCCCACAGTCTCCCACAGTAAAATGGGGATTATGCTTTCATCAGGACCTAAAAATAAATCATATCAGCTTACCTATGAGTCTACTGTTATCCAGCCTAGGAACATAGAAAGGCTTTTCACGGGAGGAGAACTTCGTGTCTTGGGCGGAGGTGAAGAGTTCACTGCTACAGCGCCTGGAGATGCGTTTGTCCCGTTGCTGGCTGTCTCTGATAACCTGTAAGATTAGATCCAACAGGGTCCTTCTTTCTTTCTGCTTGACGTCCTTGCTGTCCATACACTGGCCCGAGGTGATGAGCAGAAAGAAGATTGTCAACAGAATGTGCCATTTCCTCTCCACCTGCATGACTTCACTGTCTGAGAACATAAGCAAATAAGTTTGTTTTTTTATACACATGCTATTGAGTCTGTTTAATTCTAACAAGTAAAAAGATTGCTGTTCACTTTGCTTCATGCTGAACCCCAATTGCTTGACATTCCCAGAATTACTCTAAAAAGAAATCCGTCAGAGGTAACATACATAACCTCTAAAAGTGGAATAAATCACCAGAATGCACTTCACGCAGCAGTCGCATTTCGTCAATACATGGGTAAAACAAATATAAGTCAATCTAACTTTGGACTTACTTTAGGAGTTAAATGTGCGTATGTCTTGAAACGTGGACACAGTTGTCTTCAGCAATTTCTTCCAGGCGTTGTGGTCCGGATAGGGGAGAGAGAGAGTACAGCCGGCAGATTGTGCTCACCACCGTCTTTCTTGAAATAATGCGTCCCTATTTATACGAGGAGCCACCTTCTTGAAGGTAATACAATCGATTTCGTGTGGGTGGTTAAGCAACGTTGACATCTTTGGTGCAATTTCTTCCGGCGGCATCTGCTCACTTTGCCACGCGCCCCTCCTTTACGCACCAACACATCACTAGTTGTAGTTTTACCGGACAATTCGGCTCCAAAAAAAACAAAACTATCCTTTACAAGCAAAGTAATGGTTAAACGTCTAAAAAAAGGGCGTCACTGAAATTTCCATCGAAAAAAATAAAAACCGATAAAGACAGTGGCGCGGCGGCGCGCAGGAAAGTAGTTTCCCAAATGGACCAACTTGTTGGACGTTGGATGCAGAGAAGAGAAGAATCTGTGGGCCTGTAAGCTTCTAGCAGACCTGTCAGCGTGTCGGTGTTTTTGCTCAACGATGTCCGAGTCTTGTGACCGCTTAAGCGCTGCAGGGAATGAGTCTCCAGGAGTTTTCCATCCTCACTGAGCAGAAAACTATAATTGTGATAGAGCTTTTAAAAAGCAAGAGATTTCAGGGTACATTTAAAAATGTATTTGAAGAGAGTTCAAAAAAAAGTTAGTGGACTTCTGATTCAGCTGTCTGAATTAAAAGCCCAAATTAAAGACAAACGACTTCAATGTACCAAAAAACAATACATTTTATCATGAAAGCTTGAAGTCTGCAAATTGGTTCATATTTGTATCTGTGATTTATAGTCGGAATGTATTCGGCTAAAACTCCCTTTATTTCTCCTGAGATGTAGTTTGGCACAGGCAGCTGGACTTTGCATCCTTTTATATTATACAGGAGTATAGATTTGGACGAAAAACTCTTTACCGAGAGTATTTTACGTGTCTGTAAATCCCAAAGGAAGGACGTCACCTAGTAGTGTCTCACTCACTAATATTACCAAATGTGCAAATTTCCTCGCACATTAGTGATTTATATTGATAAGGTAAGTGGGGAAATATCTAAAGGTTAAATTATCATTCCCATTTCTTCAGTAAAGCATACATGTAAAAGTTTCCCCATGTACCTCCAATCCATTCTTGTAATTCCTCATCTGATACATTTTGAAAAAAATATCAAAAGGCGTCATTCCTCAAATATGAGGATTTCAGAAATGACAGAGGCAGAGCTCGCATGAGGATCTAGAGAAAACCAGAGTTTGACTCAAAAATTTAGATTTAGATATTGAGCAATTGAAAACGACATCGTCGTAAATCAGCTGGCAGATGACCCGATTTGTTGAGCAGTTTCCAACGGCTATTCCGATTATTGAGATTTACTTTCCAGTGCATCAGTTTCACTACTAGAGTTGAAAAAGTGTGAATTGTTCGCTATACATGACTGCCATCTCGTGGCAGCATATGGAATCCCCATTACAACGATGGTGCACATTACAAAAGGATACAATATCAAATTAAATGTATACTGTATACATGGAACAAAATGGAATGAATGCAAATCTAGGTTAGAAGATGATTAAATAGAGATCTCTCTCTCTCTCTCTCTCTCTCTCTCTCTCTCTCTCTCTCTCTCTGGTCGCATTTATATGACAAAGATTGAAAGGTCTCTCAAGGTTCCTTATCCAGTTTACTCTCTTTTCATATCTTACAAAAAAACACAAATATAAACTTAGGCTACATTTGAAAAGTGAATCACATTATTTAAAGAACGCAACCTTGTTAAAAGATGATGTGGCCTACAGGCTATTGACTTTGAGTGGAGCTAAATGGACCCTTTGTAAATAACTGTTATAATCTGCACTTCTACTCTGTCTTGTTTTCCATCTGCTGCATGTCTTTTATTTATGTTTCCCGTTTTATATCATTACCCACCTCTCCTCTCATTTCAGATCACTTCACTTCCTGTCTGTGTGTTTTCCTGCTTAGTTTTGATAACCTTTATTAGTTTCACCTGTTCTCCGTCAGCCCTGACCTGCAGTCACCTGACCTCCCGGTCACCCATGTTCACTCCCCCAATCAGTCCGTCTCCACAAATACCTGCCTCGTTCCTTCGTTTTTTTTGCCGGGGTTTCTTCATCTTTTGTTTGGAGTTCTGTTACCTGTCTGCCCGTAACCTTGCCTGCTGTTTCCTGCCTTGTCGTTCAGCAGGAAAGGACCCAAACGCAGATAAAGGATGAGGCTGCAGAAGGAACAATGCAATGATTTATTGGAGGTGGCTTAAAGGATTTGAGTCCAAACGACAGGCAGGAAACTGAAGGCAAGGTCATCAGCAAAACCAGGTTTTTGTAGAGACAGACTAAATGAGTGAGAACAGGTGAGCAGGAGGTCAGGTGACTGCAGGGCTAAAGAGGGGCAGACGATCCTAACTGGCTGGAAAACACAAAAAGGCAAGTGGTGAAGTCATCGTCTGAAACGAGAGGAAAGGAACAAAATAAAACACAAAACATGAGTGAAAGACATGAAACAGAGGGAAAACATGTGCATTGGAAATAGGTCTTTGTTTCTCAATGACTTTATGGATATAAATATATGGTCTTTTCACCCATTTATTAGATGAATCTGGCAACATTTTACCTTTCTAGAAATTCTGTAGTCGATGAAATTGAATCTCTAGTGCAATTGTAAACAATATGATTTGAAAGCAATTTAAAAATGCACTCTTGTTGCCCCCCTCGTATTTTTTATTTTGTTTACATTTATTTCATTGTGATTATTTTGTTTGTTTGTTTTGTTTTGTTTTGGGGGAAAGATTGTAAGTCTATCGGCTGATCCACACTCCGGAGCAGAAGGTGGCGGTAATGCGCCAATAAGCTGGATGCAAACCGCCGTAAAATCAGAAGAAGAAGAAGACGGTTACTATGGAGACGGGCCAAGCACTACGTCAACTTGTGGAAGCTGAACTCATCTTTGATGCACTGTAGTTGGTTTATATTTACACTGTAAATTGTGCGGTTGTTTTATAAGAAACAGAGACATGTCGCAAAGGTAAGCTTCTTTGTTGTACCGTTAGACTCGGCGGCCACGTAGTTTAACTTTAACTTGTTGAATTAAACTCGAGATAACGTCCGCTAGCTGGTTTATTGCAAACTAGCAATATTTAGCTCGTTAACCAAAGTTGCACTGTTATGCATGTGCATAAAACGTAAAAATACAATACATACAAGGTAGCGTTTAGAAAATAATGCATACAAGTTATGACACTGCAATTTGGAAACGTCAAAAGTAGCTTAACTTAAGACAAGCATCCAACAACACGACAGGAAGCAATGCAGGTAGTAGCAAGCAAGGTATTTTAAAGTATGTAGCAGCAAAGGAGCAGCAGGAAATATGGCAACAATAATGACACGTGCGACACTCACTCCAGTTGTTGCATTTGAGACTCCTGCTGACTAAATGTTTGTTTCTCTTTTATTGACTAAGCAGTCTGGCCATTCTTTACTGCCCTTGTTGTCCTTTACATTCCTAGCTGTGTTGCCCTCAGCGTTTGTAACGTATGACCTTTTATGACACTAATACCACAAAAGACACACAAAGGTACAGTCCAACCAAACATATCTTCCATCTTGGCTTCTTTTTCCTCCTTGTGTTTGTGTTTTTCTATGAATAAGGTTTGGTCTGCATTGATTGTGACGCATTTCTTTTTGACCATCACTCACCTACCATTGATAACCCTTTTCCCAGCCTCAGCTCATCCCATTGTTTACACTATTCCAGGACATACAACCAGCTGTGGGCAGATGCTCAGTTAGAGTTGAGCCGTCTGCTCACTGAGGAACTACCTGCTGAGCCCCGCCGCCCAGAAAAGGACCGGGTAGTGTTCTTCCAGCGTCTGGCCATGCTTTATGTGCGCTACATCCAAATCTTCAGACAGCTTGAGGAGGTCTATGACCAAGTGGTGCACCCTCAAAAGAGAAAAGTTATTCGGGCAACTCTCGAAGGTGTGATTGGGAGGGTGTTGGAGCTGAAGAATGAAATGGTGGAAAAGGAGTTTTCAGAATACCACTACATGGATGATGTCCTTCACGATTTTAAGCTTACACCTGTGAGTTTCTTTCTTTTTTCCGAGCAAATTTAATGAAATTGGATTGCTAAAATCACCTAATTAAAATTATATTGACTTGTTCACAGCTGGCATTGACTTTATCTGGGATGTCCCCTCGATAATGATATTACTCAACAGCTATTTATTTTTTGTTGTCACTCCAGGCAGACCTTGAGATCCCTATCCCTCGCTATTTCAAAGAACTACAAGAACGAAAGACGATGCTGACAGAAATCCTTAAAATGGTGGAGGTTACTGAAAGCCCAGAAGTGAGTTGAAAAGAAGCAACACACGTCTGTTGATATTCTTTTGTTCATTTTATTTTGTTACATACAAAAAGGCATATAGGGATACACAGACACTAAACTTTTTATTCAATAACTGTTATATTTAATTAATAAATGACAAGCATAAAATGTTCCAATTATTTTGTCACGACAGCCTCTAACGAAGGACATGAGTCAAGAGGAGGCCATTAAGGTCATTCAAGTGGCGGAGAGGGCCCGTCAAGGACGCCTGAGGGCCAAGTTGAATCAAGAAAGCAGAAACATGAACAGGATGTACAGCACCAAGGACCCTGGAGCAGCTGCCATTGAGTTGGCCGCAGTCTGCATTCAGAAGGTCCTCTGTTACCAACGCAATCTTGTACTCGCTTCTTTCTCTGCCTCTGTCTTTGGCTTGTGTCATCTTTCGTGCTGAAAGATTTGTTTAAATGTGAATTGCAGGTGTGGAGGGGCTACATACAGAGGAAGAGGGTCAAAATTGCTCGGGAAGAAGAAATGATCTTTCTGGGAATGGTGAGTGAAATGGGCCATCAATTTTACTAATTGCCTTAAAGTGTAAAAATAGATCCACATTTTTTTTACTAAACCAACAGTACTTCTAATGAATTCAATCTAAAAGCTGAATGATATAATTTGTTAATATAGTACTTTGCTCTAGTTGTTTTTTCCCCCTTAAACATTCAATCTTTTCCTTGATTAAAATGTTCCTTTTGATTTTAATGTTATAGGTCATGGATCCAAAATACCAGGTGCCATGCCCTGCAGTAATCACTGCCCAGGCTAGTGAAGCTTGCACACGGATTAAACGGGAGGACCGCAACGCAGATTATCAGAAGTCTGCAGTGGCCGTCACAAACCAACTACAAGATGTAGAGGGTCTTGACATGAGCAAGTCCATGAAAGACCAAATCCGACAGTGGTTCATTGAATGCCGGTGAGGTTTCACAGAGGGACTTGTTATGATTTTTGTTATTTGAGAGCATTTCCACACTTAATAAATCAAATAGCTGCGTTCTTACTGTCTTCCTCTTCTGTTTGAATTTTTTAAATAGTGATGCAACGGGATCGTTTCCAGACTACCCAGATGACGAGGACGGAGGCTCAGCCCTCCTTTTCACCGAAAAGACGCCTACGCAGGTCAAATACACCGTCAAAAGAAGGATTTATTGCATATTTTTACTGTAGTTTGCAGACGGAGAATTACGTTTGGTGCGCATATATTTTTTTCAGTTATTGGAAGAAATTGCTGCAAAGGAAGAGGAGGAAGCCAGCAACAAATCAAAAGGAAAGGACAAGAAGAAGGAGAAGGGGAAAAAGGACAAGAAGAAGGAAAATGAGGAAGTAAGTTGTATTAAATATTTTTTTTATTGGCTGATATAATAGTCAGCAAATTCTGGTGTTAAGAAGAAATTATCTTATTCAAACCAATCCTCGTCAGCGTCACTAAAAATGTTGCAAATTCAGTGACACAATGTAACTTTATTCTGAACCTCAGGAAGAAGAAGCAGGATTGAAGATGCTACCTTCAGCCTTTCTGTCACACTTGGAAGTGGAAAACAAAACCTTTGTTGGTATGTTTACATTGAAAAAGGTCAAAATAATATATTAGTCTTAATATTAAAGTGTAGCCTCTCAACTGAATAAAAGTAAACGCATTCCAAATCCAGTTGAAAAATAGTTTAAGAGTATGTTGTTTAGATGGTAAACTACGAAATGGGAATGAGTGTGCAACATACCTTGAAGGTTTTCTTGTATTTTGGCTTTCACCACCTCTCGGTGTAAAGTATCTGGGGCGGGTCCTCCTGTCATTATGTCCAAGTGTCCTTAAACAAGACACTGAACCCAAAGTTGCTCCCGCTGCAGCTCCGCCACCATCTCTGTTTGAACGTGTGCATGTATGGGTGAATAAGAAGCGGTGTAAATGCAGTATATAGTTACTCATTCACAGAAAGCCTGAACTGAATGTTTGTCATCTTTAGATTTTTGGAAAACCCGCAATGAGTCCAGAAACTTCAACCAAAGGCACGAGGTGGAGCTGATAAAGGAAGAAAAGAGGAAAGTCATTGAGGCAAAGATTCGAGTACAGGTAATGCTGACTACAGGAAATAAAACATTTTAAATTCTCAACATGTGTTAGGAATTTAACAACCAAACTAATAGGAAACCAATGCTGTTGTTGTAACCATTCAGTGTCCATTTCACTGGTGTTTAATACTGATAACAGCGCCACATGCTTCTTGGTCTGTTCTGCTTTCATCAGGTAGATGAGCAGATGAGACAAGAGCTGGCTGAACTGAAGCTAGCTGTGGATAAAGAAAAGGGCGGTAAAACCAAAGCAAATGCCAAGGTAACGAGTGAGAGAAAGATGTCTGGGAGGTTTGGTTGAGATGTGTCCTGATGATATGTATTGTTCTCCACAGAAAAAGAAAGGATCTAAGAGTGGGAAGAAGAAAAAAAAGGAGAAAGATTTGACAGCTGATAGGTGAGGCCACACAGAGGATGCTTTTCATTATAGAATTGATTTGTATGAAGTTAACAAATCAGTAAATACAATTGCTGGAGAAATCGATTACATGATTTATTCACCTCTGCTAGGACTCTTGAGTCTCTGTGTCAGGAGCTGGTGGAACAGGGCTTGTTGAAACTAGCAAATAATGTTAGGCTGCAGGATTACCTGGGTAAGATTTTATATATTGTTTGTATAAACTGTACTGTACGTAACTGTATAGGAATGATGTGCTGCCCTCTTCTGGTTTGTGGTTGCAAAAACACTATGATCACAATGAACAATCTCTAATTGGCACAACCATTTCTGCAGTAAGGAAATAGATTTTAAAGTCCTTTCTTGCAGTTTTCCCAATGCTTCACCGTGCTGATTAATAACTATTGGACTAATAGTTGTTCCCTCTTGTTGCAAGGCGACTATAACTACCTTGGGACCACACTGAGGCAAAACGACATTGAGCCCATGCCGTCATTGTGGGACGTGCGGCAGGTCTTAACTCTGTATGCAATTTTACCATTAGGTGTGAAAGTTATTTTTATTGATATTTTGAATAAATATAGCTGAAAGTATTGTTTCTGGATTGAATAAAAGATGTTGTGTTGTTGCAGGCTCTCAGCCGGTACATGAGAAGGCAACTCTGATAAAGGCCATCCTACTGGCAGGGCCTGCAGGTGTAGGCAAGAAGATGTTGGTCCATGCAATCTGCCAGGAGACAGGTGCCAACCTGTTTGATCTGTCTCCTCTGAACACGGCAGGAAAGTACCCAGGCAAGAGTGGCCTCGCCATGATGCTCCACATGGTGTTTAAGGTAAAACAGTGGTACAGTAATAGACTCGGGTGCCATTGCCATTTAAGTTCGTAATGGTGGCGGTTAAGTTCTTTTAATGACTGCCGGTAAACTATTTGAGTTTTTTTTTTTTTTTTTTTTAAAAGTCCTAATTCTCACCTACACAATTGAAGCATAAATGTAACCCAGCCTATACGTGCAACACTTTATGACTTTTCATGATCACCTTCGCATAGGTTGCAAGATTACTTCAACCTTCAGTAATATGGATTGGAGACGCTGAAAAAATGTTCTACAAGAAAGTTCCCAAGGAAGTAAAAGAGGTATTTCTGGGCAGAAGAAAAGCTGAACAGCATTATCACGTTGTTTAAATGTAGCAGTTTTTGATTTGCATGGTAATTGAAACCACTTTTTTTTGTGTTTGCACAGTTAGATCCCAAACGCTTGAAGAAAGACTTGCCCAAGTCTCTCAAGTTGATCAAAGGGGAGGATCGTGTTCTGATAGTAGGAACAACTAAAGACCCACTAAGTGCTGACATCAAGGCACTGTGTAAAATGTACAGCAAAATCCTCCTCATCCCAAGACCGGCCTACGGCTCAAGATACAGTAAGAATAGACACCGCGGAGAACAATTTTAGTTCGTTTTGGTCGTTGGTATAAAAAATGACCTTTGACTCTGTTTGACTTCAGTCTTGTGGAAGCAACTGATCAGAAAGCAGGGAGGTGATGTAACCAGCGCGCTGGACCTCAGCTCTCTCACGAAGATCTCTGATGGCTACACACCAGGTCACATGGTCCGGGTGATCCGGAGCATTGTCACCAAGCGTCGCATCCTACAGCAGGCAAACAGACCACTGACTGCTGCTGAGTTCATTGCTCCATTAGCGAAGATTTACCCCGTGTTCCAGACAGAAGAAGATGCCCTTAAAGTACAGTAGATGTTTCATTGCATTTTTATGATTGTAACTGCTTTGTTGCATATTCATTTTGTTTTTGTGTATCACCAGAACTGGTACGCAAAGACCCCCCTGGGAAAGAAGAGGACTAAAGCTGCAGCAGAAAAGGAAGAACAGGCACCAGTTAAAAGCAAAGATGCAAAGAAGAAAGCAAAAAAATAAGTTTGTAATCATATTTTTTTTTTTATCACAAGTTGAATGCAGTTATACATTTATTGAAGCTTGTATGTGAATTGCCATCTGATGGCTGTCCAATTTACTCCCTACAAGATAAATCAAATTAAAAGCAGTCCATTTGTGTTTGTTGTGTGTTTTCAATACTGCCGTTGGAGGATGCAACAGAAATGGTGAGCAATGAAATGCTTACACTAGTGTCTGGTGTTAGAAATACAATGTTGAAATCTTCTTGGACCTGTTACTTAGTTGAAGAAGACAAAATACCACAGCTTACATACTTCACATAGGACTTTGCGCAGTCTATAAGGAACGGCGCTAACTCCTGTCTTGTGACCATCCTATGAAGAAGTATTCTGAGTAAGAGGCAATAACAATTTTGTCCAAAGATAGAACATAATTGGTCACTCCATTTCTGCTGTTAGCGATAATCAAATCTCAACATTGTGTTCCATTTCCATGTTTACTTTAAATCTTACATTATCTACTTCCACGTGTAATTTTGTCTGGAGTTCATCCTTAAATTGAGTTACCTCAATAACGTCACCCATCACAGACGCTTATATGCAGCCAACCAAACTACGAGCTATTTAAATATGAATAGAAATAAATTCAGCCTGGCTCGGGTGGACAGACTCCTATGACTATGATACTCAAGGCCACACTGTAGTGAGACATACCAAGACTGTCAAGGGCATAATGTCGTTCTGCTCTATGGCTACCTGGCCATATGGCACAGGGTTATAAGGTTACATATAACACTACATTTGGAATGTGGCTTACAGAAATAACACTAACATCATGGTGTTACACCCAGCATCTGGGTCATCTAGTCTGGGCTCATGATCAGATGTCATCTGTCGACACATTTGTGATCAAATGTATGTATTGAACCTTTCTATATTCCTGTACTATGACCGCTGTCAGGTGTAGAGAGTCTGAACCAGAGGATATGTGATCAGCAGGAGGGAGGGAGGGGGGTTTCAAGCAGGGGTCCAGAGGCTTAGGTGGAGTGTTCAGCTGTTTTGTCGAGTTCTAAATTCACTCAACACATCCTCACATTGCCTTGGTCCCCTTAACGTCACTCTATTTTTAGCCTATGTGCAGCATCCTATGACGCTGCAGATGAGAAGGCCCACATTTCACGATATCAAGTTGATCCATTGGCTGTTTTCACTGTGACATGATTTGGGGCCTTTTCTTAGATCTGTTTGATCTTGATATGACGTCCTGTTTAGAAATTAGCATTGAAAGCCATGAAATGTCCTGATTTGTAATCCAATATATGTTTTGTTGGGGATTCATAAGCCAAAAGTTGACTGGCCTGCTGGAGATCTGAAAAACGGGAACAGTTTCCCTCTCAGTGACGACAAGTTGTTTTTTGTGCATCAAGAGATTATCTTGTCGAGTTTCACTGGACTTAGAAGTGCTCAGCGGCACATGGAGCTGTCTGTCAAAGTGAGGCAGCACAGTGCTGGGTGGTGCTCGCTTTGTTCTGTCTGGCTGTCTGAATGAGGGAATCCCACTAAATGAAACCTTGTTTTAATGCAAACGAACCCCTCAGCCCAACGTATGTTGGAGATGGAGGAGTTAGAGGAATAAATATCAGCATTGCATGGCTGCTGTGTCACTTTGAATGTTTTAAGTGAATTTTTAGTATCCAGAGCTCCGCCATCATGGTTTGCAAACCACCTTGTCACCTACTCTGATGTCAGTAAATTACATCACACTGGACTGCCGATACATGTGTCTTCATTTATATTGTTTAATGTTTTGTGACCTTTTAACTGCAGCAGTGGTAGAAACCCCCTGTGGGGATCCATGGACTGACCTGAGGTTTAAGACACTGAAAGATATGAGTCAGTATTGTGAAGAGCATGTGATTAATCTGCTTCTGCCTTATAATGTACAGAACGCTCTACTTCTGCCTTGGACCAGTCGTTTAGGTGGAAGATCTAAGTTCACGCAACCTGGTGGTGAATTTGATTGTATGTAAAACAACAGACAGTACACATTATGTAGACGCTCACTTACATCCTGGTGCTACATGAAGGTAACTTAACTTCTGTACTGAGATGCTTTCAAGTCATTTGTACTAAGCTTGTCTGTCACTCACTCATACACACTAGAAAACCATCAAACACACCAAGCCTATTGTATACATTTTGATTGTTTTTGATAGTTCCATTGATGCTGGACGCGAGTTGCCTCAGACCATTGAAGCCAAAGCTATCTTTGCCCTCGTACTGACAGAAGGCTATTTTGGAAGTTAGTATGTGGGGAGAGATGTGTCAGCTGTTCAGCATTATGCTCCATCAAAGCAAGAAAAAAAGAGAAAGCGCTATAGGCTGTCTGCTTTGGGGACAGGGACGCAGCTCGCAAACCTGGGCATGCTCTCCTTTGGCTAATCATTTGTTGTTAATCTTAAAGGCTTTGTGTGAAACAAGACAAGACTCGGACCGAGCCGTTGCCATGGTGGAAGTTTTTATTCTTGTTTTTCAGGTGAAGGCTTTTTGTTTTTTTGTCATCGGTGCAACAAGAGGCCACGCAAGGATTTACTCTCTCTAGAAAACCCTGTTTAAGTTTAAGGTGGGTGCATTGCTGCAGGTGATATATATATATACACGTAAATGTATATATTTTTTCTTGTCATTATTTCTTTGTTTGCATACTTTAATATGAGAGGTCAAAATCTTTAACTCTCGGGTGTTTTAAGTTTGCTCATCTAATTTCAAAGATGTTTTTGTATTTCTATGGTATTTATTCATCTTACATGCCATCTTGGAGAAGAGCTCACTGGATATCATAACTGATCAGGCCTCTAGAGGTTGGTCTAGATAATGGCTGGTAGATTCAGTGTCATTGTGTGACGCATTATGAAATGTCATTTTAACTGTTCGTTAATGAGAACGAATGGCCCTCCTCTTGGAATACTTAGAAAACCTCATAATGATAGTGGGAGGAGGCACCGTCTGAAAAGTGTGTCATGACCTCACATATCATATTCATCAGTTACTGATGGGCAGTTCTCATTTGGCCTCTCCTTTGTTTTTTAAAGCTTCCCCTTCTTCTCAGTTCAGTGCCTGATCACAGCTGAGTCTATATTTGTGGTGCTGAGCTCAGCCAAGCGAGGTGACAGAGATTACTCTGCTCTTCTTAACCGAGGACATGGCATGCCATCGCACCAGAGATCAACCATATCAGAGTGATGTCATGTGTATCCATTTTGATAGGCCAATATTTTGGAAGTGATGGTTTATGTAATTATTAGCCTGAATGTAATTTGTTTGGCATGTAAAATGAAGTGTTGTCCATTCCCTGAAAGAAGCTGCATGGCAGTAAATGTGAATGAGGCGTGAATGAGATGATGCTTTTACAGCCATATTGAGTATCCTTTATAACAATTAAACCGATTATTAGTTTTATTCCGAGCCAGACCGTTACCTGATATATATTTTTCATCATCACCATTATAGTTGTAGCCCTTCTGTGATAACTGTGGTAAAAAGCAAACAAGATTCTCCAATCATACTGAGAGAAGAGCAGGAGGCATGGGAGACAATATACCTGGAGGAATAGTAGCTGCCGCAAGTAAGTTTTCTTCTCACACATCAATTTCGGTGTAGTAGCAAAAGAGCTTTTGAATCTCTAATGCTGTGTGTGTGTTTATGTGCCAGAGAACCGTCTGCTGGTGGTGAAGGGCTTGGAGGATGTGGAGGTGTCCGAGTGTGAGGTTTGCTCCTTTGACGTGACCCTCAACTTGGCCTATATCGAGGGTCTGTGGACCAGAGATGGGATGCCGCTTAAGTCCAAGCCCAACTGTCGCATCAGCAGGCATGGAAAGAAACACTCCCTCCTACTGAACAGGGTGGCTTTAGGAGACGCAGGCCTGTTCTCTTTTCAGGCCAACGGCATTCAGACCTCAGGCAGACTCAGTGTCACAGGTAAGGTGGTTATGTAGACTGTGCCACTTGTAAAAATACTTGTCTTAAAGTCATTACAGGGCTACTAAAAAGCGATACAAGCAGCTTTTATAAAGTTCTGTTTGGTTGCACACAAAATGTAGCCACGGTTTGGTTATCTTCTGCCAGCTAGGGACATCCACATAGTGAAGGAGCTGGAGGATGTCGACACGATGGAGCGTCAACCCGTGAACTTCCTGTGTGAGGTCAACCAGGTGGATTTGGATGGTCGGTGGTACAGAGATGACAGCCGAATTCGACCTGGAGACAATATCAAGATCAGACAACAGGGTGAGAGACCAACAATGGGTTTTACAGAAACTAATAAGCCTAAAGAGTATAAAAACTCCCAGGCCTGTCACTCAATTTTGCTAAGAAGCTGTGTCTGAATGGTCAGTAATTGTTCCTCGTGGTGTAAATATATAAAATAGAAACTATATCCCCTGGTTAATCACAAACATTTTGCTTTGATCTGATTGCAGGTAAAACTCACACCCTGTTCTTCAAGTCAGTCAGGCCAGAGCATGCTGGAGAGATCAGATTCACTGCAGAGCGTGTCTCATCCTACGCAACTCTCACAGTGAAAGGTGAGCCACCAGATACTATTCAACATGGGTTTATGGAGAAAATGATTGAAGGTTTACAGCCTGTGCCTCCCTTCTTCAGAGCTCCCAGTCCAAATAGTGCGTCCTCTAAGGGTCAAGATAGCTATGTATCGCCACCGGGGTCTGCTGGAGTGCCACGTGTCACGGCCTAATGCTCAAGTCAGGTGGTACAAGAACAGGAAGGAGCTCCAGTCCAGTAAGAAGTACCAACTGATCAGCCAAGATGTCTACAGGCAGCTGACCATCGATGACATCTGCTCTTCAGATGAGGACACCTACACCTGTGATGCAGGAGATGACAACACCTCTTGTCAGCTTCTGGTGGAGGGTGAGATGGCTTCTATCACAGTAATAAAATGAAACAAAACAAGGTTTATGGCCGACAGTATGTTTTGCATTCATGTACCCACAACACTTTCATTATGAGTAATGCCTATGTGCACGTTTCTAATGTGCCAACTAGAGTTTTGTTTGTACTCTTACAAGAGTTGGATCAGCACTGGTTAATGTGTATTATGGCTGTACATGCAGAGCAGGCTATCAGAATAGTGCGAGGGATGAGCTCAGTGGAGGTGATGGAGCCAGAGCCAGCCCTGTTCCAGGTGGAGACCAGCTTGAAATCAGGGAGGCCTCCCCGGTGGACCCTGAACGGTGAGGTGCTGGAGCCTTGTGCAGCAGTGAACATCAACAGGGAGGGCACCCTCCACAGCCTCTGTCTCACCTCCACAGAAAGCTCCATGTCTGGGCCCATGGTCTTTGCAGCTGGAAAGAGTCGTTCCACTGCTCAGCTTACTGTCAAAGGTGAGTTGGCTTGGATTTTTGGTAATTTTAGGATTATTGTAATGTTATTATTGTACAGGAACAATGTAAAAGTAAGTAAGAACCACACTTTATGTTAACGTTATTTAACAAAAGCTGCCTCACCTGGTGTGGCTCGGAGCAATCTGTATTCCCCCTAGAATGGTTTGAGTTATTGGACATTGGGGGGACAGAGCTCAAAAATAGCCCAGTGAAATCTCTCTTTTTTTTTGTTTAGTATTAGCACTTCTAAAACTTTCCAAAGTAATTTTGACTTTTAAAAATTCAAAGCTCTCTCTCTCTCTCTCTCTCTCTCTCTCTCTCTCTCTCTCTCTCTCAAAGCTCTGAACTGTGTGTGCTCTCTGTGTTAGCCTTGCAAAGGACTGGCTTTCTGGAGTTTTATCCTACTTTATTCCTGATGTATCCTAAGGAGACCTATATCCTCTGCATGGTCCTGAAATGGTCTAATTTGGTAAAGTGAATGAATTCTTGATTTTGCCGGAGTGTTTCATTAAGTGGCTTTTACATCTCTCCCCTCTAGAACGACCTCTTGAGGTTGCCCGCCACTTGGACGATGTACAGGCGAAGGAGAACAGCTCTGTGACTCTGAGCTGTGCGTTTGCCCCCTCTCCCAGGGTGGTGCGGTGGTTTAAAGGCCGTACGTCTCTGAAGACCTCAAACAAGTACAACATGAAAAGAGACGGGAAACGAGCACAGCTGACCATTCATGGCTTGACAGGGACGGATGCAGGGCAGTACCGCTGCATGGCTGGGGGTTCACAGAGCACAGCTCATGTTAAGGTAGAAGGTAGGCTAAACATGGTTTGGGGGAAATTGAGGTGGAGTAATAACAATTTCTGTATTGGATATTCATACATTTTCAAATGATAATTTTTTTCCCCCTTTTATTGTAGTGCGAATGCTGAAATTGGTTAAACATCTTGAGCCAAAGGAAGTTGAGGAAGATGGCATTGCCACTTTTTCATGTGAGCTCAACTATGTGGTCGCCAACGTGGAGTGGCTCCTCAACAATGTTCGCCTCTATTGCAATGCCATCTACAGGATCCAGCACATGGGCACGATGCACAGTCTCACATTCAAAAAGCTGCGGCCACAGCAGAGCAGGGTCACCTTCAAAACAGGACTTCTCTCTGAGACTACCACTTTAAATGTCAAAGGTCAGCTTGGGGAATAACTGAAGTGTATGATTAGGATTTTTTTTTCTTGCATTTCCATTTATTGATTTCTGAGAAACATGCACACTTACGTATGATGATCTTGGTTCCAGAGCGCCCGGTAGTGTTCCTGAGGTCTCTGGAGGATGCAGTAGGAGAAGAGCAGGGGGACGTCTGCCTGCAGTGTGAAATTTCCAAAGAGACGGTGACCCCTGTTTGGAGGAAGGATGGTATGGTCCTGACCGCTGATGATAAACACGAGTTACTCCAGTTTGGGAAGTCCATGGTACTGATCGTCCATTCCCTGAGCAAGGATGACGCTGGACAGTACACCTGTGACCTGGGCACCAGCCAAACAAAGGCCAAAGTTACTGTACATGGTGAGTAGTGCTAACATGTTGGTTATTTGGGAAAAGCTCTACACCTTGAAAATCAAGTGTTGTGGTCAAATAGATCTGTCTGTCTTTTGACAACAGTGCCACTAAATGATTGATAGAATGATAGCGGGAACTATGTTGTATTCTTGAATTGTTCACAGAAACTAAAGCACTCACAAATTAGAATGAAGAGACAATTGGTCATTCTGTCACAAAGCTGTTCAATGACTTAGTACATTTTTCTGTCTGTAACGATATATTTACTGTAATAAGGCTGTTTTGTTATTATATTTGCCGACAGACTTACACATCACTATTGTGCAACGTATGAAGACAACATCTGTTCTGGAAGGCGAAAGCTGCACTTTTGATTGTCACCTCTCTCATGACGTTGATGATGAACCTTCCTGGATCATCAATGGCCAGGTGGTGGTCACCAATAGCCATATTCAGGTTATCAACAATGGCCGTAACTATAAGATGAACATCAGAGATGCTATACTGACCGACGCTGGAGACGTGGTCTTCACAATTAAAGACCTAAGCTGTAGGACCATGCTCTTTGTTAAAGGTATAAACCTGGTTGTCTCAGATAAAATGAGCCACAATATTTTGTTTATGTAGGGGGAACTTGTCTCTGTGTTTTATTTTGAAATATGTCTCCTTTAGAGAAGCCAGTGCACATCTTCAGGGAGCTATTGAATGTCAAGGCGGTCCCGGGCGAGGACGCAGAGCTGAGCTGTGAGATCACCAAAACAAAAACCACCATCCGTTGGCTGAAAAATGGCCACTTAATCAGACAGAGCTCCAAGTATGAGATGAGTGTGGATAAGAACCTGGCGCGATTGGTCATCAAGAATACCACCATCAGAGACTCTGGAGAGTACTGCTGTGAGGCTGATGGCATTGCCTCACGTGCCAAGCTAGATATCAGAGGTAGGTGAGGGCTTTTAAAAATAAATGTTGATGATGATTATTAATCGTCGTGCAATACTATCCTCAAGTGATTTGTCCCATTTTGCAATGTGGATCGGCGACTAGTGTAGTAAATCTGAAGCTCGACTCACTTTTCATTCTTCATTATTCCTTTCAGAACTTCAGCACACATTTGCAATCGAGTTAAGGGACACGCGAGCAGAGGAAAAGGGTAAAGTTACCCTGGAGTGTGAGACCAGGCGGCCAGCCAAGCGGGTGACCTGGCTGAAGGGCATGGTGGAGCTGAGGTCTGGTAGGAAGTATGTCATCAGGCAGAAGGGTGTGGTGCTGTCCCTGACCATCACCTGTCTGGACAAATCAGACACAGATGTTTACACGTGTGATGTCGGTACCATGCGGAGCCGGGCCCAGCTGAATGTGCACGGTGAGAACATAGTAAAGGGAACACTGGGCATTGCATCGCTGTGGTTCAGGGTCACGGTAGTTGGGCTAAAGGTACTGTATGTGGGCCACATCAGGACGAATACTGTATGTCAGCTAAAAAGTATATCTTTACTGTGGTTTTAAATGCTAAGCTAAAATGACCCTTAAAAATATATTGTGTTATTATTAAAGGAGCTGTATTTAAAATTCTGAACATTAATATGGCAGCAAAGAACTATTTGCTATGAACAGATATAGTTGAGTAATATCTACCCGAGCAGAGAATGAAGATGCTCTCCTTCTGTGTGTGTTGTTTTCTAAACTTCCCCGTGCTTTGTTGGCATAGCCGGGCTGGCCTTGTGTACTTTTAGTGCGTTTTTGTGCATGTGACCATGCCACGTTGAGTCGTTGAGAGGCAATCGAAATGCTCCCAATCTCGTATCTTGCACCTTTAAGTGTAATGCTCAGTGAACTACTAATGCCTACCATATATAATGTTTATCGGAATTTCAACTTTTCGATCTGTTACGTGTTTCTCTCAGGTGAGAAGGTGTTGATCCTGGATGAATTAGAGGATGTTGAGTGTCTAGAAAGCGACACGGTCACATTCAGGTGTCGAATTTGTCCCAATGACTACATCGGGGTCAAGTGGTATCTAGACGAGACTCTGCTGTACACCAATGAGCTCAATGAGATCCAGATGGTGCCCGGAGGCTACCACACCCTCACATTTAGACAGCTTGCTCGCAAAGACACCGGCACTATCTCGTTTGCAGCAGGGGACAAAAGATCCTATGCATCCCTGTTGGTTAGAGGTGAGTTTTTAATCTGCCAGTGTTTTATTTTACATTTTCACTGACCATTCCTTATTTTGCGTTGACTTCTTCATGTTACCAGAGAGGCGTCCCACCATCATTAAAGCACTGGAGGACTGTGAGGCTTTTGAAGGAGGTGGTTTGGTTTTGTCTTGTTTGGCCTCCAAGCCATGTCACATCCTGTGGTACAAAGATGGCTGCCTGATGTGGAACTCCTCAAGGTATTTTGCCAGTCGTTCCGGCTGTGAGGCCCGGCTGACAATTCGGGAGGTCTGTAACAATGATGCCGGAGTGTACGAGTGCAGTGCTGGATCTGTTACAACTCGGGCCGTTGTAACTGTCAAAGGTATGAAAATAATTTTATTGACCTGTCATTACAGGACTGGTATTGCTTACTATTGCCCAATATTAAATACTAGAGGATGTGACTGATTATAATGGGTTGTACAGGTAGTATTTGTAATATTATACAATTTAGTATCATTCTATTTTTCCTGTTTGTTGTTGTTTTTAGCCATCCCAGCAGAGTTCACCCAGTTTTTAAAGTCTGTGGAGGCCAAAGAGGGGGAGATCGTGACCCTGACCTGTGAATACTCCCTGCCTGGGGTCCAGTTCCACTGGAGGAGAGGTTTTGAAAGTATCAGGTCTGGAGACAAGTACCTGATGAAACAGAGGAAGACAATCAATTCTCTGACCATAAAAGCCCTGAAGCCTGACGACTCAGGAGAATATACATGTCAGTGTAGAGATCACCGCACTACAGCAAGCCTCAAAGTACATGGTATGTCATTAACTTTTCCTCACCTTCATTTGCAAACCGAATTTTACCAATAACCTACACAGTGCACAGTTTCATCAAAGCACACTTTCACAGAAGTGTATTTGAAAGTCAATTCATCATTTACTGTGTCTGGTTCTCACAGATTTGCTGTTGTGCTCTGAAGTAATATTGATGCATGCACATTAAATCAGTCTATGGTTTATACTGTGGCTATTTGTCATGAACGGCAGCTAATGGAGCCAGTTCACAAGATTATTTCAACTAAAACCACCAGTGAAAAGTTTTTACCATCCAGAATAAAATACAATATTGTCACTATAATTGTGGATGCTTGATTCTCTTCTCGGGACTCTAGACTCGAGAGTCTGTATCATGAAACTACTTTGATTGATAAATATTTCTATTTCTATCCTGTATTATTTTCCAGCTATTCCCATCACATTCATACAGCAGTTAAAGAACATGCAAGCAGAGGAGGGAAGCAATCTCCTACTGCGCTGTGAGCTGTCTAAACCTGGAATTCCAGTGGAGTGGAGTAAGGGACATGAGCTGTTGAAGAATGGAGTTAAATACCAGATAAGGAAAAGGGAGACCACCCTGGAGCTCCTGATCTGGAAGCCTGTTTCTGAAGACAGTGGGGTCTACAGCTGCCAGTGTGCTGATCAAGTGACATCCGCCACCGTCAAAATCACTGGTAAGACATAATCAACTAATGGGCTAATAGGTTTTAGTGATGTAATGATTTTAAATCAATTTTGGCAATTAATGTTGATAATTATCAATAATTCATTCATGTCAATCTATACTCACCTGTGACTCCTCAGCTCTCCCAGTAGCCTTCAAGCAGAAGCTGAGGAACGTGCTGATTGAGGAGGGCAACACTGCGACTCTACGCTGTGAGCTGTCAAAGTCTGGTCACACCGTGGAGTGGAGGAAGAGCGGGAATGAACTCATCAAGAGTGGAGAGAAATATCACATGAGGCAGAGAGAAGTGCTAATTGAACTGAGGATCTCTGATGTTACACTTGAGGACAGTGACATCTATACATGCATCTGTGAAAGCATAGAGACCACTGCGACGCTGACTGTTAATGGTGGGTTTTTGCTGTTGAAAGAGTTTCATTATGTTCTACTTTTTATATGGAGACAGAATAATAACAGACAGAATTAGATCAGTAATGTTCCTTGTATGATAAGTAGGCTACTCACAAAACGTACATGGGAACTTCGATTGTCACATTATATTGTTTCACAATAAACAAAAGGATTTAAAAAAAATAGTTTTTGAACATCTGAACACCATTTGACAGTCTGCAAACATTGAAGAGAAAAAAGAGAATTAAAGTGTAAAAATAATCTGGTTTTGATATAGAAACATGCAGCGAGTAGCCTACAGATCTGAGCATTTAAGAAATGAAAATATGATAGTTGCTACAATTTAGCAAGATGCTAAGCTTTGTTTGCATTCTTCTCATCCAGGCAAAGCACACAATTATGTTCAAGCAAAATAGCATAATAATACACAAACATAGATTGCTGTTTATTCAATTCTTGTGATTATTAATTTCTTCATGACCTCACTTAATCTTTGCCTGTCAGCTCTTCCCATCACCTTCAAGCAAAAACTGAAGAACTTCCAAGTGGAGGAAGGACACAGCATCACGCTGGAATGTGAGATCTCTAAAGCGGGTGTCCCAGTGGAGTGGAGGCTTGGGGGAGATCTGCTGGAGAACGGAGAGAAGTACCACATTAAGCAGAGGGGCTCGGCCCTCGAGTTGATCATCAGAGATGCTGAACCAGAGGACAGCGGGGTTTACACCTGTGTGTGTAGAGAGCAGAGGACAAAGGCCACTGTTAAAGTCATTGGTATGTTCATTGTGTGAGATGAGTGAAGGGAAGCATACCTTCTTGTTTCTTTGTTTATTGTTAATTGATCCTTTTTTAGAAGTATATTGACCTACTTGTATTGCCGGCAATTAGGCCAAGACATACTGTCCTTAAGAGGCTATAGCGGGCTCTGATTTAAAGCTAGAATGAAGATATTGAATATGAAACTAGATGACTTAAGGCATCCAACCAACCAAGTCCTAGGTAACTCGCCGGGAAGGAGGCTAAATAACTTTTCAAAGTAAGGCTACATTTTAGCTTTACTAAGAGACATAACAGACATTTATGCTAATCCCACGCAATTTGGGACAAAAAACAAGAAGTTTTTTTTACATGTAGTGTACATGTATTATTTTTGTCTATTCTAAAAATTTGAATATTCCTAAACTAAACAGTCTTGAAATTGGAAAGAAAGTGGAAAAGCTAAGACTCTTGTGGATCCAATGAGCCCAATTGTATTCATATGTGATGATGTTAGTCCCCATAGTAGCCATCTCATTGAAGGAAGGTCATTTGTTTGACCGGTTATGACTTCTAACATAATCATAGCCTCATGGAACTTTACAACAACAAACTAGAGACCTTCAGCATTCAGAGGATGTATGGCTTTCCTAGGTATATTGGCAATAAGGGGGTTTCTGAGCTACTTCTAGAATAAAGACATAAAAGTGCAGGGGAATGGCCATCATGTTCTCAGCCCTTCAAGACTCAATCAAACACAGTGTTTATTACAGATTGATGACTTTAAAAGCTTGACACAGTGCTGAGCTGCATGTCAAATTAATCTTCAGGTTCCCAGCTTTCAGATGATGTAAACTTATCTGTGGCTCATACTGTTGACCTGCTATCCCCCCTAAAGGTCCCATGTCTCCCCCTAAAAAAGACAAAAATGGGTTAATTATCTTGCTTGTCTTCTAGTTTACATTATCAAATACTGTGTACAGTATCTGTGTTTGGCTCCACAGCTGTTCCCGCTACATTTAAAGGAAGTCTGAAGAGCCAGGAGGCTGAAGAAGGGAACAGTGTGAATTTACGCTGTGAGCTGTCAAAGAAGGGAGTCCCGGTGCAATGGCAGAGAGACACTCAGGTCATATCTGAGCAGATATATCGGGGGAAGTATCAGATGAAGTTTGAAGGAAAGACAGCTCAGATGACAATTCTCAATGTCCAACCAGAAGATGCAGGGAAATACAGCTGCATCACAGGAGATCAGAAAACCACCGCTGAAGTCAAAGTGAAACGTAAGTTTGAAGCAAAATAACTTGCAAAGACCAATGAGAACACATCTGTTGCCCATATTAGCAAATAATAACTCTATGGTTATAAACAAGTCATTTTGATAATATCTAAAAAGCCGTTATTATGGGTTTCTAGTCCATGACTCAGCTGTCTCAGTAGATCTGTTATTTACTGAAGTGACTTAGTGATACATAACTATGTACAGTTCGTTTAGCACAAAATCCCAAAACCCATACCTATGACACCAAAGTGTTTTTTTAATGGTGTCAAGGAGAGGTGGAACAGGAAAGTGGAAGAATGTGCTGCTTGTATTGCAACAAACAAAAAATCTAGGAGTGAGGGAAGAGCATGAGCCATGAGGGCAAGAGCATTTGATCAAGAGGAAACGGCAGGTATACCAAATCAATGCAATCGATGAATACAGGGTTTTCTACTTTACCCACAACAGCACTCCCTGTGACATTCAAACGAGAGCTCCAGCGCCTGGTGGTGAAGGAAGGGGACAGTGGAGTTTTCTGCTGTGAGCTCTCTAAACCCGGAGCTCCAGTGGAGTGGAGGAAAGGCAGGGCGATCCTAAAACCTGGAGACAAATATGAGATGAAGCAGGAGGGACCTTTCACTAAACTGGTCATCAACAACATAGAGGAGAGCGATGCTGGCAAATATATCTGCAAGACTAAAGACAGCCAATCGACTGCTGAGCTCACTGTCCAAGGTAAGAGAAATTAAAGTCAAAACTCCCCCATGTTGAATTCATTATTTTGTGAAGCACATTTTTTTTTTTTTAAATTCTCCCAATGTATTCAACAGAATCACCTGAGCGCAGACGCCAACGAGGTCAACTCTAACGTACTACAATAAAAAACAAAATAGACCCAGTGTGTATTAGCACTGTGTGAGCTCCATTGTGTAGATTAACTAAAACTCAATGGAGAGATTATTTCATATCTTGTCCTGCTTACGGCTTAATGTCACAGTACTTGGCGTGTATTGTACATTACTCATAAGCTGGGTGAAAAGATACAGTAGATGGGATGTGGATTCACGTCATGTGGGATGTGTAGGCAATAGTTTGCAATTACATACATCCCAAACTGTAACTAAATTTGAGCATCAGTATTAGCTTTAGTGTTTTTCATGTAAGTGATATTACATGTTTAATATGTAATATCATACCATATAATTCATTCCACTGTCCAGTTTGAAATGAATAGTTTAGTAAAAGCTGATTATGAGCATGACAGATTGTCTTGTGAACATACATGCTGTGTTGTTTACATCACTGCTACAATGTAACTTCCATGTAATATTGATTATGTTCCTTGTCATACTTAAGAAAATGAAATGTGTTATTGAATTGTGCATGATCATATGACTATTACCATGTTTACTTTTTAGCTGTTTTGGTCTGAATGAGATTAGCTCTCCGTCAATCTTTACTCGGCTCTAAATTTTCCTTCTTTTTAAAGCTTTAAGCTGTTCAGGCTGCAAAAACAATTTTCCTTTTGAGAATTAATTCTAATGTGATCATTAATTCTCAGTGTGGGAAATACTTTTTTTCCGCTTTTATTTCTTTTAGCCGATTTCCAATTTGATGTACTTTTTTAAAATAAGATTTGACTCTTATTGACAGATTTACCACCACGTTTTAAGATGCCACTCGTCAACCAGGAGGAGACGGAGGGCAACAGTATGTTTCTGCGCTGTGAGCTCAACAAACCTGCCCCTTCGGTGGAGTGGAGGAGAGGAGGAGAGCTGCTGAAAAATGGAGACAAATACCAGATGAGGAAGAAGGATCTGCAGGTGGAGATGAAGATTGCGGACCTTAGTCTGGATGACACTGGAGATTACACCTGTATATGTGGAGAAAAAAGTACAAAAGCTAGGATCATTGTGAACGGTGAGTACTGCATACACTACTGTACAATAAGTTGCATTGTTTTGCTTTAGTGCTTTTGAGTGCACTCAAACAGCTGATATATACATGTCAAAAGATAAAATATAAACATACAATTGAATCTATCAGTAAAGAGTAAAACAACACATAACTAAATGCAAAACGGACAAAATTGACATGAGCAATGCAGAGTCATTGTTGGTTTCAGTGGATTTCACAATTTGATGTGGATTTCCTAATATTTGATTGGTTGAAAGTTGTAATATATCAGTACAATAGGGTGATATGATAATGGATAGATATGTTTGCAATTATAGCACAGCTTCAAAAAAACTTTGGAAACTAATATAAAACACAAAGGTCTCTGAAAGTCCAGAAGATTGACTGGTATATTTTATTTTGGTAACATCTTTGCCGTTGTGCTTGCCAGAACTTCGAAAAACTGTGACTTGCATTATAAGCTCTGTCTTTGCATTTCTGTTGATGATAATGTTTCTGGTGTTTTCTTTTTCAGTCCACTTGTTTTTGTTTTGGCTAGCAACGTTACACATCCTTTTGTGTTTATTCCAAAGAAACCAACAACTAAACTGAGACCAGGTGACATCAATATGATGTTAATGCTAATGCTTTACTGGCCATGGTTGCGCTAAATTGAAATGTCAGCTGAGACAAGAGAGCAGCAAAACAGACATTCCTCCATATGGAAATGTTTCCAATCATTTTGATATTCATCCCCTGTGGTCTGTTCTAGAGCGGCCCATCAAATTCCTTCAAGAACTGAGGAATATTCAGGTGCAGGAAGGCAATGGAGTGACACTGTGCTGTGAGCTCTCCAAACCTGGCAGTCCAGTTCAATGGAAGAAGGGAAACAATGCGTTGACCAACGGAGAGAAGTACCAGATGAAGCAGAGTGGCTCCACCTTGGAGCTCATCATCAAAAAAAGCCAGCCTGAGGACAGTGGCACATACAGCTGTGTTTGTGATGACATAAAAACTATGGCCACCATCATCATCACTGGTGAGAACCATACACATTATGTCCCAGAAAACATGATTATGCTTTGTGAATTTGCACATCCTATTTTCGCGGTCATTCCTCAGCGATCCCGGTAACTTTCAAGCAAAAGTTGAAGAACCAGGAAGCCGTTGAGGAGGGCAGCGTGACACTACGCTGTGAGCTTTCTAAACCAGGAGTCCCAGTGGAGTGGAGGAAAGATGCTCAGCTTCTGAAGGAGGGAGACAAATATCAGATGAAACAGGAGGGCAGGATGGCTGAGTTGCTGATTAGAAATTTGACTCTCACAGATTTGGGGGAGTACAGCTGTTTTGTTGGCACTGTTGTGACTTCAGCCGACATCAAAGTAAGAGGTATGTTTTCCATGGAAAGACACTGTTCAGATGGTTATTTTGTTTCTTAACCACAGTGAAACTGACCCATGGACCCATGGCAGATGTATTAAGAAACAACTATTTTCTAGTAAAATGAAAGTAAGAGTGCACTGTTGCAATTTTGCTTAATTTGTTGATGTTTTTCCTCAGCAATTCCTGTAACATTTAAACAAGAGGTGGAGAATTTGGAGGTGAAGGAAGGGGACAGTGGAGTTTTCTGCTGTGAGCTCTCCAAACCTGGAGCTCCAGTGGACTGGAGGAAAGGCAGAGTCATCCTCAAACCTGGATACAAATATGAGATGAAACAGGCGGGACGTCTCACTAAACTGATCATCAACAACATGGAGGAGAGTGATGCAGGGAAATACACCTGCAAGACTAAAGACACACAATCAACTGCTGAGCTCACCGTCAAAGGTAAAGTCGAAACCCCACGCCGAAACCATGATATGTAAGCCTTTCTCAGATTGAAGTAAATTGAGAGCGATAGCAGGGCCGTCTTTCAATCAGAGGGTTGGCGGTTCGAACCCCGGCTCCAGCTCCGCTAGTCGCATGTCGATGTGTCCTTGAGCAAGACACTTAACCCCAAAATTGCTCCCGTAGCTGTGCCTACGGTGTAGAAATGTGATAGACTCTGAATTGTAAGTCGCTTTGGATAAAAGCGTCTGCTAAATGACTGTAATGTAATGTAATGAGAGAACTGACTAAAATAGAATCAAGTAAAATTATATAAATCAATAAAGGATGTTAAACGATTTAAAATTAGGAGTAAGAAATTCCCAATCAAGCAACTGCTACTAATTAACTGATCATTTTCAAATAAAATAACCAGTCCTTGGTTCTTCTGCTTACAGCTCCTCCCATCACATTCAAGACAAAGTTAAGGAACCAGCAGGTGGAGGAGGAGAACAGCGTGACGTTGAACTGTGAGCTGTCGAAGCCCGGCCTCGCTGTGGAGTGGAGGAAAGGACAAGAGCTGCTGAAGAATAATTTTAAGTACCAGATTAAAAATCGAAACAGCAGCATGGAGCTGACCATCAAAAACGCACAGCTGGAAGACAGCGGCCTTTACAGCTGTGTCTGCGGTGACGTCAAGACCACAGCCAACATCACCACTACACGTAAGCGAAGATTGTAAATGCAAGCGAGTGTGTTGAGTGTTTTTGCATTTAAAAAAAAAGATATTTGTGATTATGCAGGTTTTAAAGTTGTGCATTTGAATGAATGAGGGAGTACAAGAGTGAAAATATCTTTCAAGGAAAAAACTAACTCTTCATTTAGCTTATTTCATAAAATATTTTTTAGAACAATGGCTATTTTTTCTGCTCTCAAGAGTAAAGTGTTTTGCCCTCATGAAAGTCAAAAGCTATAACATAAAAACAAACAAAAAACAATACAACATGAACTTTTTCCACAGCTATCCCGCTCACCTTTAAAATGGGTCTGAAGAACCAGGAGGCCCCCGAAGGAGGCAACGTGTCCCTCCGCTGTGAGCTGTCCAGGGCCGGGGTGCCTGTGCAGTGGTGGAAGGCGGAGGACCAGCTCCATCATGGGGGAAGATATCAGATGACACTGAAGGATAAGACAGCTGAGATGCACATCAAAAACATCCAGCCCGAGGATGTCGGGGAGTACAGCTGTGTCTTGGGAGAGCAGAAGACTACGGCTGAAGTCAACGTGAGAGGTATTTGACATGCTGCCATTTATACATGCACTTAAAACTTTCATTGCGTTTCATAGTTGTTGTTGATGGAGTTATCTTTAATGATCCATCTTTGGCCAATGCAAATCTGTGTTCTGTGATAGCACAGCTATTTCACTATTTCTGTTGCTTTGACAAGCTGTTAACAGTGTGAGAACGAATCTGAAGATAATTACGTCAGTATTTTCCATTTATGGTGTAAATTCAGCATTTGTAACACAATGTTTCCTTACTTTCTGTTACCAGCGGCAGCATCAGTGTTCTTTGAAAAGGAACTGGAGAGCCAAGCGGTGATAGAGGGGAAATCTGTGCTGTTGTCTTGTGAAGTTTCCAGTGCTACTGTCCCCGTCACTTGGAAGAAGGACAACACTGTGGTGGAAGAAGGGGGACAATGCATTTTAAAGAAGAAAGGCCCCACACACACACTAGAGATCAAGAAACTTCACCTTGAGGATGCTGGAGAGTACTGCTGTATCACCAGAGGCAAGAGGAGCACTGCCAGGCTGATTGTGAGGGGTAGGTGGATGCTACAGCAGACGTTCATCCCTTGCAAACTGATATATTTAACTAACTCATTTACAGTAAAAGACATGTGCCATGAATAAAAGCAACAGGTCGCTCTCATCTAAGTTGTTGTAAATATTTCCCATTCCATCTCTAAAAAGCCAGCTGCATACAGCTTCCTCTTCCTCCACAGAGCGCGTGCGGATCGTCACAGAGCTGCAAGGTATAACGGTGACCGCGGGTGAAGATGCAGTGTTTGTGTGTGAGCTGAGCCATGCAGACGTGAGTGAGGGTGTCTGGTGGCTCGGCTCCAGCCCTCTGCAGAAGAACGAGATGAACCAGATGACGTGGCAGGGGCGCCAGCACCGACTGGTCCTCACCATGACAACACCTGAAGAGACGGGCATTGTGGCATTTGTGGTTGGGGAGGAGAGGACCTCCGCACGTCTGCTGGTTGTTCCTAAGGCCAAAGGTGAGCATGAGGCAAAGAGTGCAATGTAATATTTTGCAGAATTCAGTGCTGTGTTATTTCAGCTAAATGCTTTCCCCTGAGTCATTCTAAAGTTTGATTTCAAATTCTAGTTTCATTTGAGGAGAAGCCTAAAGATGTTGTGATCATGGAAGGAGAGACAGCCACTTTGTCCTGCACAACCTCGGATTTTACCTCGCCGGTTACGTGGAGGCGCAACCACATCCCCCTCCAAAACGGTGATAAATATGAGATACGCAAAGAGGGAAAAGTCAACATATTACTTATCCGTGATGTGGATCCCCTGGATACTGGCACATACTCCTGTGATACAGGAGATGTGCAGAGTAGTGCCAAACTTACTGTCACAGGTAAAAATGGAAGTTGCGTTGCTTTTAGATAGTGGATTGTTGATACACAATCTAATGAAAAAGAGGTAGAGTCTATAACACTTACCTTCCTCCTTGGAATGAGAAATGTTACGTTTGTTGTCTTTGAAAAGTAATTATATTTGTCAAACTATACCATACTATTACACTAAATTACTATATTATTATCTTTCTCTCCTATTTCCCAGAGCTCCCACCATTCTTCCAAGAAGAACTGCAAAGTGTGGAAGTCGAGGAGGGAGGTTCAGCCTCTCTGTACTGTGAGCTGTCTAAACTTGGAGTGCCGATTCAATGGATGAAGAACAGGCTGCCACTAAGAGCCAGCAGAAAGTACGAGATCAGGCAGGACGGCTGCCTCCTCCAGCTAAACATCAAGGAGCTCAAACTTGAGGATAGCGGCAATTACACCTGTCAAGCAGGAAGTGCAGAGACTACTGCTACTGTGTCAGTGAAAGGTGTGTGCATTTGGCAGTAAACAATTGCTGTTTCCTCTGTTTGCATTTAACCACACGACAAAATTCAATGTACTGCAAATTTTTACGACATCAGAAATACACTTAGTCAAAGAAAAGTAATGTATTTGTCAGTTACTCACTACTTTTTGGAACTCATTGCATTTTCCAACATAGCAATAGCCACACAAATGTTTCCAAATGGAATTTAATCAGTGTATATTGTTGACAGTAGTGAATGCAGTCCAGCCCACATATTTGTGACAGTGAACCTCTGGTTTTAAAACTCAAATGCTGCATGTACTATTATACTAAGCTAACACGCTAACCTAGATGTATTGTTTTATTCTTCCTAACCCTTTTTCTCAGAGCTCCCTCCATTCTTCAAGAAAGAATTAAGAAGTGTGGAGGCTGAAGAGGGAGGTACAGCCTGTCTGTGCTGCGAGCTGTCTAAAGCTGGAGTGTCAGTACAATGGAAGAAGAACAGGCTGCCACTGAGAGCCAGGGGGAAGTACGAGATGAAGCAGGATGGCTGCCTCCTGCAGCTCCACATCAATGATCTCAAACCTGAGGACAGAGGCAGCTACACATGTCAAGCAGAAAGTGCTGAGACCATTGCCACTGTGTCAGTAAAAGGTTGGCGCATTAAAGGATTTGAATGGCAATTTAATATTAGCATGATCTAAATCAGAAAACTAAACCTTGTTATTTTTCAACAATTTGTTTGATCATCAGAACTTTCTGAAAATCAATAATTTATCGTAATATGGAGCAAAGTCCACTGATCATAATCTATGACAGAAGTTAGCTACAAAAACATTCACGTAATTTCAACTGCTTATTTGGGTCTTCCTTGCTCGTGTCTTAGACGTTTCTTCCGTTACATTAAAACATTTTACATCATCATTCTCTTGCCTTCCTATTTCTCCCAGAGCTCCCAGCATTTTTCAAAGAGGAATTGCGGAACGTGAATGCTAAAGAAGGAGTTACAGCCTCCCTGTGTTGTGAGCTGTCTAAGCCTGGCGTACCAGTACAATGGAAGAAAAACAAGCTGCCACTGAGAGCCGACAGGAAGTATGAGATGAAGCAGGATGGCTGCCTCCTTCAGCTCCACATCAAAGAACTCAAACCTGAAGACAGTGGAAGCTACTCATGTCAAGCACAAAGTGCAGAAACCACTGCTACTGTGTCTGTAAAAGGTTTGTTCATTTGGAAATCTGCATGGTACATTTCACAGTAAAGCTCTACATCATGGAAAACTATTTTCAAATGATTAGTTGTTCACTTCTGAACTTGCTGAAACACAATATTTCCCAGTAGTGTAAATCTATTGTGTACATCTTTTTTAGCCTTAACTTGATTATGTCTTAAATTTAATTTCTGTTCTACAAAAACAGCCCACTGTGTTACTCCATTAACATTTTATATTTCACAGAACTCCCGCCATTTTTCAAAGAAGAATTGCAGAACATGAAGGTAGAGGAGGGAGGTACAGCCTCCCTGTGCTGTGAGCTGTCCAAACCTGGCGTATCTGCACAATGGAAGAAGAACAGGCTGCCATTGAGACCCAGCAGGAAGTATGAGATGACGCAAGATGGCTGCCTCCTTCAGTTCCACATCAAGGATCTCAAACCCGAGGACGGCGGCAGCTACACATGTCAAGCAGGAAGTGCTGAGACCACTGCTACTGTGTCAGTAAAAGGTGTGTGCATTTGGAGAATTCTGACTTTATCAGAACACTTTAGTCTCAGAACAAATGCTTTCCTGAACTCTCTCTGGTTGATCTGGCAGTCATTATGTTAGCCTACACTTTATGGTAAAACCACTCACTTAGAAAATAGGTTTTCCCAAAAAGAAAAAAAAAGGTACAAATTTTGTGCTGGTGAGTTTTGGAACACTTTTCCCATTGCATGTTTGATTCTGTTTTTCCTTGCTGATTTCCTCAGAGCTCCCACCATTCTTCAAGGAAGACTTAGAAAGTGTGGAGGCTGAAGAGGGAGGTACAGCCTCTCTGTGCTGTGAGCTGTCCAAAGCTGGAGTGTCGGTACAATGGAAGAAGAACAGGCTGCCACTGAGAGCAAACAGAAAGTATGAGATGAAACAAGATGGCTGCCTCCTCCAGCTGCACATCAAGGATCTCAAACCTGAGGACAGCGGCAGCTACACATGTCAAGCAGAAAGGACAGAGAGCACTGCTACCGTATCAGTGAAAGGTCTGTGCATTTGGCAATGAAAGAAATCTGTGTTAGCAATGCATGCATTCAACCTCATGCCAACATTTGAAGTAGGCTACTGATGTTTGTCTAAACTTTTTGGTATGTACTGAGCTGCTATTTCTACAGTTCCATCAATCTACATTGTACCTTTGCTGACAAGTCTTTATACTGTGTCCATCACCAAAGACAATTTGGTCCTCTTCCATTTAGGTTTCAAGCATTCTCCCATTACACTAAAGTTTTTCCAATCCTTACCTTTTTCCTAGAGCTCCCACCACTCTTCAAGAAAGACTTACTAAGTGTAAAGGCTGAGGAGGGAGGTACAGCCTGTCTGTGCTGTGAGCTGTCTAAAGCTGGAGTGTCAGTACAATGGAAGAAGAACAAGCTGCCACTGAGAGCGAACAAGAAGTATGAGATGAAGCAAGATGGCTGCCTCCTCCAGCTGCACATCAATGAGCTCAAACCTGAAGACAGTGGCAGCTACACATGCCAAGCAGGAACGGCAGAGACAACTGCTACAGTGTCAGTGAAAGGTGTGTATATTTAGCAATTTACTCATATTGCAAACCCAACAACATTATAGGTTGACAGAAAGGTCATGATATTGTATACATTAAAAAAAAGTTTGTCCTATTCTGGTATTAAACATTTTCCCATTACACTGAAGATGTATGATGTTTACAATCTGCACCCATTTCCCAGAGCTCCCACCATTCTTCAAGGAAGACTTAGAAAGTGTGGAGGCTGAAGAGGGAGGTACAGCCTCTCTGTACTGTGAGCTGTCTAAGCCTGGAGAGTCAGTGCAATGGAGGAAAAACAGGGTCCCACTAACAGCCAGCAGGAAGTATGAGATGAAGCAGGATGGCTGCCTCCATCAGCTGCACATCAAGGAGCTCAAACCTGAAGACAGTGACAGCTACACGTGTCAAGCAGGAAGTGCAGAGACCACTGCTACTGTGAAAGGTGCGTGCATCTTTATATCTAATTGGCAACGTTACAGGAACAAGATAAGTTTACTCATGTTCTTTTTCTGTCCAATCTCCACCACGCATAAAGTAGTTGTCAACAAAATATGTTTAACTCTCTTGTCCAGCACTGCAACCGACTCCACCAAAAGTAAAGCCTCCAACGATACTGCCTCAGGCAAAGGGCACTGTTCTCAAACCAACTCCTCCTCCATTGGACCAGAAGCCTGCACTCCAAGAGCCCAAACCTGTTCCTCCAGAGCCAAAAAAGAGAATGAATAGGAAAGCATCTATTACAAGTTTAGAAAAAGATGTGGAGCCATTGTTTGACCAAAAGCAGAGCATCCAACCTGCAAGGTCTACAGAGAAATATTTTGATGTTGCAAAGAATGAAACACAACTGGAGAGGCATAAGGAGAAAGACAGTGAGGTGTACAAGGATGTTGACAAGCCAATACGACTACTGGGGAAGGAGGATGATGTAGACAGTCAGGTGGAAAAGACAGCAAGACCTTTGGAAACAGAAAAAGACGTTTTCATGGAGAAGAAACAACCAGGATGGAATGCAAAGAAATTAGTCAAGGTTGACCATAATGAAAGTCAGTCAGACAGGGTTCCAGGAGACACTGTGTTTGAACAGAAGAAAAATGAAAATGAAGTTGAACAGAGTTCAAAACACGCAGGAAAGCCTTCAGAGAAAACAAGTGAAGTTGAGAGGAAGGAAAGCCATCCAGGAAAAGTCCTGTGGAAGAACAGTGAGGATGAGAAACAGCCTGTAAAACCATCAGAAAAGTTTATTGGGAATACGACAATACGAGAAGAGAAGTCTACCGTTGAGGAGGGAAAAGTAGAAGAAGAGGAACCTTTTAAACCACCAGTAAGGTCTAAAGGAAAGGTAACAGGGGTAAAGGAACCACCAAAGGAAACTGAGGAGATCATTGTCCAATCAGTAAAGCCTACTGTAAATGATTCTGACGGAGACAATGTACAGAGAGAGCATGTGAAAATGCATGTGTCCACAGAGGCAGAGAGAGAGAAAAAGCCACTGAAAGCAGTGCCATCTGTAAATCATCTGGACAAACAGTCAGTAGAACAACCTGTGAAGACTTTAGAGAAAGAGGCTGAATTTGCCCCTCCAAAACCACCTGTGAGGATAAAAAGCAAAGCAAAGGGGGCAATGGAAAAACAATCATCAAGGGACACAGAGACAGATCAAGATGATCAACAGATGACAAGAGTTTTGGTGAAAACAATAGATGATCCGCCAATTAAACAGTCAATAGGGTCTTTGAAAAAAGAGGTTGAAGAAAAACCAAGATTCCAGAGGAAACAATCTGTAACATCAGACACTGAGATAATTGAGAAAATTAAGAAACCTGTGAAAGCTGCGGAGAAGGACGCAAACACAAAACAGGCGATCAAACAACCAGTAAAACCCATGAGACAAGAACCTGGACTGGATCAGGAAATGAAACTAGCAGTCGAGCCAATGAGAAGGGAGGAAGAACAACAAACAGCAAAGTTGACAGAAGACATTCCTCTCCTCTACATTTCTGAAGATGAAACTTTCTCAGAGGCTTTGACTGAGATCACTGCAAACCACAGAAATGTCCAGCCCCCTGCCTCTTCTGTTGAGGGGTTGACCCAACCCGCTACTCTTCCTCCAATTAATGTACAACAGAAGGTACAACTGCCAAATGAAGCTACACCGGAGATAGACACCAGCGTTGAGGATGAACCACAAATGCAAGAGGCTGCAGTCAAGATCCAGGCTGCATTCAAAGGCTACAAAACCCGCAAAGACATGCGACCTGTCTTTAAAGAGGTGTTTAAAAACCAGAGTGCAGATCTTCGTGGTACAGTCACTCTAGTGTGTATTGCAGAGGGAAAACCTAGCTCAGCACGCTGGCTGAGAAACGGCCAACAAATCATTAATGACCAGCGATGCCGCGTTCAGACTACAGAGAACGGTGTGTGCACACTGGTGATCAGAGAACTGACCGCCATTGACAGTGGAATCTATACATGTGAGGTGGTGAATAAGTTTGGTATGACCTCCTACAATGGAAACATAACAGTAGTACAGCCTCAAAAGCCCGCCCCGATAGTCCAGAAGCCTGTATACACGCCACTTGCGGCCATAACTCCTCTGCAACTCGCCCCGTCGATGCCTGAATCCCAGGCCAAAACACAGACTCAGGATCTGCCTCAGACTGATACCCAGATACCCACTTCAGCTACAGATTCAGCAAACTATGTAGAAAATGTGAGTGTTTCTCTGTGGGAGGCCTACACCCTGACAGAGCAGGACACTCAGATGACAAGCTTACAAGAGAGGAGAGGATCCTCAGTCATTGCTGCCAGCTCCAGTGAGTTACACGTTTATTCCCCTAACTGTAATTACAACAAATATCGATTTACTCTACAATATATCTAGAGTAAAGTACTAAATGGTTTCTGCTTCCAACAGTGTCGAGTCCCTCGGATTATGACACAGCTCCGGATATGATGGAGCCTGATGAAACTGGCCCAGCTGTATCAAGGTCAGACAGCAGATAGAAGATCTGTTTTGTTATCTGACATTTATTGCTAATCTGTTAACTTTTAACTCATGAAGATACACAAAATATCTATGAATTTTGTTACAGGGAAGAAATAGAAGCAGCAGACCAAGTGCCTCCAAACGATGACAAAGAACAGATGGCTCCTCCACAACCTGCTAAAAAACTACTAAAGGTCAAAGGTAAGCAATGTTATGATCTTTAATTGCTGTGTTTCATTGTTCCTCTTCCCAGCAAGTTTCCCATCAGGTATATTATAGCTAATTTTTCTCTGTCGTTCGTAGGAGGGGCTCATGAAGGTAGAATGAGGACGCCATCCCCTAAGCACCACCGCACTCACACACCCTTAACAAGTACCATCTCTGGATCAGAGTCAGAAGGAGACGAGGATAGACGAGAGGTACTTTTATCAAATTTTGTTCGATTTTGGACGTATGCACTATATTAGTAATAGTAGTAGCGATAGAAGTAGTAGTAGTAATAATCATATTGCTTATTTGATTGTATGAGCCGTAAATGATGTAATATATTTTCTTTTTTTACCTCAGACATTTGAAATGTACGTGGCTCGTGCTGATTGTAGTCCAAACAGTGGAAATAAGGACAGTTTTGTTCTGAAGGAGGGCCAGTTTGTAGAGGTCCTGGACTCTGTTCATCCTGACAGGTGGCTGGTGAGAACCAAACCCACCAAAACCAACCCTGCTAGACAGGGATGGGTGTGTCCAGCCTACTTGGAGAAGAAGAGGAAGGTATGGTGTATAAATCCAAGTTTCTACACTAATACTGTAAACATGTTGTATTCTGAAACATGAATCATATAGTTTGTGAGGTGTGCTGTCAGCAGAGACAATTTCTTCAAGTAATAAGAAGAGAAAAGGCTTTTTGTTAACAACAGTCTTTTGAATAGGAGACCTTCCCGCAACTGAGAGCACCTCAAGAGGATCTTGATGGAATTGGGTCTACAGGAGAAGAGTACAGGAGAGCTCTGAGGTCCGTCATTTTACTGCCAGGTTACATAAACCGAGAGGAACGTAACAGGACACTGTTGTTATTGGATACATGTATTGCTTAATTGCGTTTACGTTTATTATTATTTCTACTTTTTGGTTATTCTTGCACTTATTCCTTCCAGCATGTTAATAACTTGGCTTTTGTGATGATGGAGAACTTATTTGTTCTAATAACAAATAGTAAAAACACATCACATCTAATCTGCCTCAAATTCCCTTCATCTTTAGCCAACTGATCCAAGGCCTGATTGATGGAGAGGAGGAGTTTGTAAAGGAGATGAAGATGTTCACGTCTCACCAGCTAAATTATTTGGATTCCAGCCGCCACGTCCCCATTAACATCCTCAACCAGAAAGAGATAATTTTCAGGAATGTCAAGGACATTGTATTTCTACATGAGAGGTAACACATTGTACTTCGTAATAGAGAGATATTATTGGAGGTTTCATATGGAGATTTGTGTGGACAGCTGTCTGCATGATGTTTTCCAATGTCCTTTGAACTGTGTTCCTTTTCTACTATCAAGACTGATGTTGACATTATTGTATCAGGTCCATCCTTCCCGGGCTGAGAGAATGTGCCACAGACGACGACGTGGCCATGCATCTGATCAAGTACGCTGAGGGCTTTGAGAAATACCTTCACTACATGGTGGGACAAGCGCAAGCAGAGGCCTGCGTCACTGACAAGGCTGTCCAGCAGTACTTCAAAGTAGTCACACAATCAGTTTGCATTTAAATATCAACATTTAACATGAACATTGTGGAAACTCAGGTGCTGAAGAGCAACATTATTACACTGATCTACTGTTGTTTGTCGCTCATTACACCTCAGGAGTTACCGAAATCTGGTAAATCTGACGCACCGGTCATGGATGTCCTCATCTTCCTTCAGCGACCAGTGGAAAGGATACAAACCTACCAGGCTTTACTGAAGGTCAGCATACAGTTATATTTTTTACAAATACATGTTTGCAACCTTGATCAATAATGTCAGCGTGATAGTGGCAATGCTTGGCATATATTATTCATGGTCTGAATAGTACATTTTGGCTTGTTTCCATATCTTGCAACTCTCAATCAAACAGGAATATTGTAGAGACATTTTGTTATTTCTATACAGGATTCATATTTAATCTACGCATGTAATCTTGTTCTGCTGTTACACAAATTGCAGTCAGCGTAACGCCTGTGATGTAAATAAAAATGTTATTGGCAGGAGCTGATCAAGAACAAAGCCAAAAGTGGCCAGAGCAGCTGTCTTTTGGAGGATACCTTCTCCATGGTGTCCTGTCTACCCTGGAGGTCTGACAACCTGCACCAGGTGTCCCTCATTGAGAACTACCCAGCTCCTCTAATCGCCCTGGGCGAGCCTGTGCGACAGGTAACTATATGACTGACATGGGTTCATTATGAACATAAAAACCTAACCCACGGTTTGTTTAAGCAAAAAAATAATAGTGCCACAGAAAAATAAGCAAAAAGTTTTTGCCACAACTTGCTGTGAGCCTTCTATGTGCACTCTGATAAAAATAATGTCCTCACTTGCCTCCCCTTTAGGGAGTCTTCACAGTGTGGGAGGAATCTCCAGACATTAAGACGGCCTCTAGAGGGCATCAAAGGCAAGTCTTTCTCTTCAAGGAATGCATTGTACTGTGTAAACTGAAAAGAGACACCAGTATGAACAGTGACACCTACACCTTCAAGAACAAAATGAAGGTAAGATCTGTTCCCATGCTTTTTTTTTTTTTTTTTTTTTACATATTCTACTTTCTGACAGTAGGTAAAGCAATACAGACAAAATTGTTGTTCAATACACAGATGTGATGACAATTCCTCTTCCCAATCTCACTTTTCAATCTACCCAGCTGAACGATGTGGAAATAAAGGAGGCTGTGGGTGGAGATGAAAAGTCTTGGGGGTTGTGGCATGAGCACAGGGGTTCAGTGCGGAGGTACACTCTGCAGGGCCGCTCCACCCTGGTGAAACTCTCCTGGCTCAAAGACCTGAAGGAGCTACAGCAACGTTCCAGCCTGCCCACTAACAGTAAGTTTGTGAATCATATGACTATCAACTCATTTTGTATCTGTTAATATGCTATTTTCTTAAAATTACAATAGCAGCTGATGCATTACATTGATCTCTGATATTCGGATATAAAGGTTTAGTCTCTGTCTTATCCTGTGTTTGGGAATTTATATGGCGTAATATTTTCAATGCTTGGTGAGTGATTTCTGTATTTGCTTTTTTGTCCATCAACAGACCCACCAGTGTTTGAGTCACTGTTGTCTGACTGCACAACAAAGATAGGACAAACGATCAAACTGACCTGTAAGGTCACAGGATCGCCAAAACCATTGGTCAGCTGGCTCAAAGGTCAGAAATAGCTTGTTAAGATATGTAGATACTGTATTGTAGATACTGTATATGTAGATACTGTATTGTACTAAGTTGTTTTTACAACGATGGTTGCACACTATAAATCGGATATCCGTCTCTTAGACGGCCTTCCTTTAGAGGACGACCCCTGTCACATCATCACAGCAGACCGGTCAGGTATCTGCAGTCTAATCCTGGATAGCATGACTGCAGAGGACTCTGGACAGTATGCTTGCTATGCTACCAGCTCCATGGGCAGTGCTGGTACTCTGGCTAAAGTTGTGGTGCGCGGTGAGTCTGCGGCTGCAACTAAACCACTTGAGCCATGTCTGTGTTTTATAGGTGAACATTGTACATACATGTACTGTCACAGAGAAACACAGAACATCTATACAACAATTACCAATACTAACACTAGAACTCATACTGCCACTACTACTATTATTACTTGTGCTACTACTACTACTGCCACAGTTACAACTACTACTATTGCCAATACTTCTGCAACTACTATTTTGCACTCTGAGGCTCATGTTACTACAGTGGTTGCTTGACAAAAAAACTAAAACAAAAATACCCTACAAGTTTGTAGTCTCGGAAATTTGTGACTTTAATCTCAGGTTTTTGTTAAAAATGAATGATTTCATAATCCCAGAGAATATCCCAGTTTTTTTCTCTTAAATTTGTTTTAAATGTATTGCCGTTTCAATACTACTAAATTACTATACTGCTAATTACATTTACTATAACTGCCACTATTGGTCTATTCCTCATCATATTTCTTCTTCTCTCCAGCTCCACCCAGATTTGTGAGTCGGCTGGAGAGTGCTTGTCTGCTGGAAGGAGAGGATATACAGTTTACCTGCTCCACACTTACTACTCCTTTACCACGAATCAGGTATGGCAACGCAGAGCAAAAGTAGCCACAGTAGTTACTACATACTATTTTGGTCATTGTGTGTTTCAAACACATCCACCTTTGGGTTGTGAAGGTGGTTGAAAGATGGAAGAGAGTTGACTGACCAGCAAAACTACTTCATCCTGAATGATGCTCGGAGTGGAATCTTGTGTTTGACGGTCATCAGTGCAACAGAGGCAGATATTGGACAGTATGAGTGTGAGGTATGAAACTCCTATCCATAAAATCAGATCAGAGATCTCCCTGTAAGATACATAACGTCAAATGTTTTGTGTCGTTTAGCTTTCGAATGAGTTTGGCTGCATCAAGTGCAAAGCAGGGCTGTGCCCCGCTTATGTACCAACGATCGACATCGAGGACGGCCAACCACAGGACTTGCCTCCTAAAGGTAGGACAGCCAGAGCCACTGAAGGTAAATATTCTCCACACAGGATGGAAACCCAAGACGGGGTTGTCACGTGGCTGCTCCTCACTCTCACTAGTTTAGCTGTGTTTGAGAAGGGATGAAGCACATGCCATTGTCCAGTTTCACTCCAGTTCACCTCACATCTGATCCTGTCACCATTTTTACTCCACATCATATGACATCTCTTCACTTTCCAACAAACTGCAACAATGTGCATCAATTTCCACTTTCAACCACTACCACTATCCATTCTACCCAGTTGATGCCATTTTCCTTTTTTCCATTTCACACACTCACACCATATGAAACTCCAACTACCATATCAGTGGTCACTTGATCCCCAGGGATTATGGCATAGACTTTATGTTTATCATGTGAAATGCATGAGCTAAAAGCATCCCTCTAAATGCTTTTTTCTTGCCATTTCTAGTATTGCTATTCAAAAGATTATCGACGTTACTTAACTTAAAAGGCAGCATGTGATGACTAATGCACACTTCATACTGTAAGTGCAAGTTGTCTGTCTCTGTTGAATGCAAAAATCAGTGGCTACCCTTGTGCCAATCTACTACATTAAATTTAGCTACATAAAACCCATACCTAACCATCTCTGACCGGATACCTGTGCATTACAATGTTAATCTCTCCTCTTTGGTCTAATGTGTTTCATGGCTCACTCCATCTGTTCCTCTGTGGTGTCTGCCAAGCACTTTCACTTCTGTGTGTCTTTCACTTTGCGAGTTGTTACAGTCAGTCTTGGTGATAGAAACTCCCTCAAACGTAATACCTAACAATAACTGTTTCTAACAACCTTCTATTGCCATTACCCAGCGGGATCTAGTGGCTACCATTCAACATAGACACCATACTGTACTTCTCAGCATCCTCACCCATGAAAAGACGTTAATACATTTATTGTATGGAATGTTTTTGTGTTTTTCATCATGTTTCCACTTTCCACAGGGGGGTATGGGTTGAAACAGATTAGACTGACATTAGGATACATAAGTGAGACGAACCTCGAGGTGCCAGAAACTAACTGCAGTAATTGGAATACAGAGAGAGCAAGTAGCACTATTACTGTCCAATATAATATGTAGTGATTTTCCAACTGTAATATATATCAAGGTACCACTGTTACTATCACATAAGGGCAAAAATAAAATGTGTAGACTACAGCAGAATATTATTAGATGTTGATGAAAAGAACTGTAAGTTTGACGATATTCTTTATACAGAATATAAAGTTATCTCACTTACAGTATATACATTATTCTTTTTGTATTTTTTGACACCAGTTCACCATGTTTGCCCTTCCATTGTCCATAACCTACATGATTTTCCATCTTCCCTCTACTATTCCTAAAGCAGGAACTTCCTCACATGGACCCTTCCATGTAAGTCATCATTGTCATGATAACAACAAATCACCACTCAACATTCCCCTTTCTCCTCTTGCCAATGCATGCCCAGCTAACTCCTACGAACACAAGATGGTCATGTGCTGGGCAGGTGTTCCCTTTACCTCCACGCAGGAGTGGGCATACGCTCATGTCCTGTTGATGTGTTGGGTTAGTGGGTTTAAACCCTCACATACTGAGGTAAGAAATGCATTATTACTATTCCCGGTATGTAAGGTAATGTATTTTCTTCACATTTCCAATGATTTAGTAAAGTACAGCCAGTGTGACATAATTATTACAAAAAAATATATTTAAAAAATACATAATCATGTTGTGTCTGCACCTTAAATGGTTAAATGGTTTTCATAGATGCAGACTCAGAGGGTTGGTCAACTGCCTTTGTGAAGACATGGCTACAGACGGATTTCAGCCCCACCTCTATTGCTAAGATGCTTTTCCCTCCTGGACACCCTGAACAGTACGTTTAGTGCCACTCACATTACTTCATTAACAGTCCTTTAAACTGGCATCAGCCTCGACCTGGTAAACTTTGTCTGTGGTTGGTTGATTTAATAGTGTCACTATTGTAAGATTAGAATTAGGTGGTTAAAGAGTAAAAAAGTAAAATCGTAGAATCCAATAAGTAGTTTTGTGAATAGATAGTGAGGTTTTTTTTCCTTGAATGATCAGTCGTACTTTATTCTTACCTTTTCTTTGTCTCCAGAGCTGAATGTAGCACTGAAGAGGCTGTTCCTGCCTCAACATCCATGGATCAGGTGGTACAGCAGCCTCTGTGTTACCTAGAGGAAGAAGAGGAGCTCTTCATCTCTGAGCAAATGCAGGAAATTACAGATGGTATCGTTGTCTCTTTAACATAAGTATGACTTCTATCAAACTCTGTGTGAATACTAACTGATCTTTTCTCCTGCTCAGCTCCTCCCTCCATCCAGGTAGCCACTGAGGACCTGTGTGTAGAGCCTGGCCAACCGGCCACATTTACTGCCATCATTACAGGAAGACCTACTCCTAATATACAGTGGTACAAGGTAGGAGCACTGTAGATCAGTGGATGTACCTGAAGGGTTGGTTGCAGGGAAATTTTGGAGTGGCTGGGTTCTTACATGAAAAAAAATATTGTATTCCTACTATGCAAACTTTTTATTTTTATGTGCCTATATGTATGGGTACCATACAGATAATAATTATATATTGCACCCTTTTTCTTTTATTTCAAGTCTATATTTTCTTCTTGTTAAATACTAAATAGTTTACAGTCACACTGACAATGAAAAATAGCATATTTTTGGGGTTAGACTTCCATCCTTGTAGGTCACAGATGTCATAGGGGGAGGACATTATGTTGTTTGTTTTGTCACAAGACAAAGTTTGACCAGATTTGGTAGACCTTCCCTATTAAAACTTAACTCTTTCCTCTCTGATTGGAGGATGGAGAGGAGCTTGCAGCCAATGAGAATGTAGAGGTATCACAGCATGGAGCCCGCTGCTCAGTGACCATAGTGTGCCCCGAGGGTGAGGACAGTGGCATATACACCTGCTTCGCCTACAATGACTCTGGCCATGCCTCATGCCAGGCTGAGCTGACAGTGGAGGAAGGTGAGACAACAGAAATGCATCATTATTTTACTTCTAAAGACATATATTGATTCATCAGATCTAACTGCAATGGCCTAAAGCATATCACAAAATGATATTGTTGTAAGGAAGTTAAGGAATCTATTGTGATCGATGTTGGTCCAAGTGGTGAACCTGTTTTATTCAAAGGTTTTGTTTTCTCTGCAGGTCCACTGGAGTGTCAGGAGCGAGAGGTGGAGCTGGGGAAGAGAAGGAAGTTATTCTCCGTCTATGATGTCCATGAGGAAATTGGAAGGTGAGCCTTTAGTTTAAATTGATGCAAGTCCAATCTGCCCACGAGCCCTGTGAAGATTTGATACGATCAACATCATCTCCTCGCGTTTTAGGGGAACCTTCGGGGTCGTGAAGCGTGTGGTCCACAGACGAACAGGTGAGGTGTTTGCTGCCAAGTTCCTGCCTCTGCGGAGCAGCACTCGGACCAGGTCCTTCCAGGAGAGGGACTTGCTATCCCGTCTGGCTCACCCCAGAGTGGCCTGTCTGCTGGACTTCTTTTGTACCAGACGCACTCTGGTGCTGATCACAGAAATGTATCCTTTCTGTTCAATGCCACAATATAATCACTTTTCTTCCCCTCACAGTGGGTTCAGTTTGTCGAGTTTGATTTATATTCAATTAAGAGTTCTTTAACACCATTTCTAGCTGCTGTTCTCATGGACTACTTGAGCATTTATTACTGAAAGGATCAGTTACAGAGAAAGAGGTGAATCTTCCTGACGAAATTATTTTTATCTTCCAAATATTATGAATGGCTCTTGGCTAATATGCTACACTTTCTTTCAGATCCAGTCATACATCCAGCAAATCCTTGAAGGAGTTGGTCACATTCACAGCATGAACATGTTGCACCTGGACATTAAAGTGAGATTCCGTGGTCCAACATTGCATTATTGACTGTCATTATTTGTATGTGGTTCTTAACTTTTACATTTTTATTTATACTCCCTTCAGCCGGAAAATATCCTCATGGTGTATCCGCCCAGAGATGAGATCAAGATCTGTGACTTTGGCTTCTGCCAAGAAATAGACACATCCAGACACCAATACAGCACGTTTGGTACACCAGAGTTTGTTGCGCCGGAGATTGTTCACCAAGAACCAGTCACTGTGGCCACTGATATTTGGTAAATAAAATAACTGTTAATCTGGCTAATTGAGACTTGCATCAGATAGTATTTGTGTGAAACAAGGAGATTTAAATAAAACCGTGTACAATTTAAAACGGTAAAATAAGACAACATTACATTGATACCTCTTTCTCTCTTTGCTAGGTCTGTAGGTGTTGTAGCCTATATATGGTATGTATCACTGCACTTTTGATAATATTCTAAAAATCATCACAAAATATAATATTCAATTATCAAAAACCTGTGCATATGACCCGAGTTTCTTTTGACTATTTACATCACGCTTTATCTTTTTCTTGATAGTTTGGTGTGCCGATGTCCTTTCGTGGGTGAGACGGACCGTGCAACACTGCTAAGGGTGGGGGAGGGGACCCAAAACTGGGATGCCCCCGACGTTACGAACAGGAGCCCTGAAGCCCAGAACTTTCTCCACATGCTCCTACAGCCAGATCCAGAGTAGGGAACCAGTTTTTGTATTGCTTGCACTGCCACATCCAGTCACTCGAAGTCATCAAACATATTTTCTAAACTTAATGAAAAAAAAGGCCCATTTCATGTGACAAATGAGCATACAGTGATAAGCATCAGTGATGCCATTTATGATTTAACAAATCAAACCCATTCCTGTAAAAGCTACATTTAGCTAATTTTGAACCCTCACTGATCAAAAGTAAGATCTTGTGAGGCTCAACCACAAATCTGCAAAACAAAAAATAAATTGGAAAGTGACCGAATGCTGCATTAAGTAGACTCATCATTCTTTGTGACTATAGTATCGCCCCTTTCACATTACTGACAGGCATTTGATCCAATGCCAATATAAGAATATCACTCTTAGAATAAGATAACATTTGCAACCACCTCTATTGGTAAGTTCTCACACAGCTGCAGGTTGCCAGCACACCCTGACAACACCGATAGGTGTGGTTTCATGGTGCAACATAACACAATTCTGACTCTTCCCGATTTTCCTCTACCCAGGAAGCGACCATCTGCGTTTGAGTGCTTGAGCCACGAATGGCTCCAGGTGAGAGGAAATACAGCACAATCTGTGTTTTAATCAAGCTTCACTGGATAAAAAAAAAAAGATACTACTCTAACTTAGGAACACAACTAAAACACACAAATCTTGTGTCCACAGGACGAATATGCAGGTGAAGACACGGATGAAATCAACACAAAGACTTTGAAAAGCTTCATCTCAAAAAGGAAATGGCAGGTGAGTTACCAGTCTTCTTCGAAACCACAACTTCTGGGCATAGCAGGAAGTACCAACTGGTTTCTTGTAATGTTGATAATCTTGAGTGTGAACATGATTATATATTGTCCTGAAAAGGAAAGCTGCTGTCTAAGTCTGTCTTCACCAATATCTCTTCCATCTATTTCGCCAGCGTTCTTTGACTTGCATTGGGTCAGTTCTCACACTGAGGCTCATCCCTGAGCTGCTGGACGCTCCTCTCAGAGAGACTGCGGTGACAGTGCCCCGCGAGCCCCAGGAACACAGCAGCACCTCTCCGAGCAGTGGCTCCTCTTCTGAGTATGATGAAGCTGACTCTTTGGACTTTTTCCAGTACTGCAGCCCGACTGAGGAGGAGGAAGACACTGAGGAGGAGTATGATCCTTCAATGGAGAGAGCGCAAATCCCTGAGCATTTTGCCAAACTCCACCTTGAAGCAGAAGAGGAAATTACATTAGAGGAGGAAGAGGATGGGGAGCTGGTAGGAAGGAGGAGCGTACTAGAGCGAAGTATGAGTAGGCAGTCAGTTGCGTCGTCAGATGTATCCGGTCAACAGACACCTCAGGGGGAGCGTAGGATCAGCAGAGACAGTAGTCAATCTCTCTACCTATCTGATGGGGATGAGGGTTCAGGGAGTGACGGAGGTCGTATCCCTCGTGGCAGTGTCATCCGAAGCACTTTCTACAGCACCTCTCATCAGCTTTCACCCATGTCCGCGAGACACATGACATTACGGGACAAGTTCCAGGCCAAAAAGCAGGAGAGAGGCCGCAAGCCACTCCGGAGAAGCTTTTCAGGACGTCTCAACGAGCCTCTTATTGAATATGTGGAGGATGAGACGGAGACCAATCGTGGCCAGAGACGGGGATCTGTCCAGCCTACAATGCAGAAGTCCTGTTCCTTTGACAGTGGTGTTGGCCTCGCCCACACCAACGTACCCCCTCACAGGAGGAGCAGGTCTCTTGATGAGTATTCTCGGCGATCTCCCAGCTCACCCAAGCGCACAATGTCAGGTGAGGAAGAAGGCTCTCAAAGTCTGAAGGAAGATTTGACAGATGATGAAGTGGCAGGAAGAAACTTGTTAGCCATCCCGAGCCCACGGCGACCCACAAGAAGAAGAGGCTCCGTCGCTCCAACACAAGGGGCCGCCATGCGTATTGGATCATCTGTTCCCTCAAACCTCCTTGCTGGAGACAGAGTTAGCCTCAGGCTGGATCAGGAGCAGGCAGCGAGCGACACCTTCGCTGGTTCACAGGGGTCTCTGGCTGAGTCGTCTATTTTGGAGCATGGTGGCTCTGAGTCGTCAAGTAGACTCGGCTCTTATGAGGAGCTGAGTCACGGTCATCTCAGAGGGAGATCCAGATCAGGAGAGAGTGAAGGGTATGATGATCGAGGGGAGCCTCTGATTTCAGCATCCCCGTGCTCATTCCAAGAAGTTAAACCTAGGAGCTTGTTACCTCAGGCACCGCCGCGTAACCGCTCCAACCCCAATTTATCGAGCAGAGGTCAGCTGGGGACATCACTTACAGCGAGCCCTAGTCCCAGCCTCTCTTCTCTGCAGGCTCCAGAGAGGCCTCCCAGGGCCAGGGACAAGAAGGAGGGATGTGGCCTCCAAAGGCATGCATCCGCTCCAGCCCTCGAAGCCCGGCCACCTACAGGAAAGTCACCCAAGCTGGGACTGCTGAAGATCTTCCGCAGGCAGTCCTGGACTGGCCATTCATATTCCCAGCTGGACAGCACAGAGCTAGGACCCACGCTAGGAGATATCATGCAGCCAGATACTCCCACCATGTCTCTGAGGAAGAAAATGAGAGCTTCAGCCTCCAGCTTGACCAAGCTGTTTTCCAGGTCTTCCAGTAAGGAGGATGTGAGTAAAGGAGGTGAGCTATTGCAAATGATGCACATTTTTCAATAAACAGAAAATTATGCTAAGCAGCATCCATATTAAGAAAAAAAAGCTAAAAATATATCATAGACATTTGGATATGGGCATTATTTCTATCTTTTTTGCTCGTCTCAGTTATGTTATAATATACATCTAAACTGTCTTTTTATCAAAATGTAACGTTTTGTTTTTCCTTTTGGTCTTTTGTCTTTTACAACAGGGCCAATAGTAAAGGGATCAGCTCCCGTCCCACCTGAAAGACAGCAGAGAACTGGTCTTGAGAGTCCAAAAAAGAGGACCTCCAAACTATTGCCTTCATTTAAAATACCTGCTTTCAAAAAGACAAAAGGTAATGAATACGCTACATTCTGTGTATTATGTATTTCCACTCCGAAATGGCCTGAAAACCTGGTATTGTCATTTTGCTATAAGTCTGGCTGTGTATGTTCGATCTACTCCGTAATTTCCAGATCTGCTGGTCCGTCCCAACAAGGCTGATGTGCTCCAGTTAGATGGAGGTGGAGTCCTGCTAGTTTGGAAACCAGTCCAGTCCAGTGACCCTGTCACCTACTGTGTGCAGTACTGTACAGACGGTGGGTTCTCAGAGTTGATGCAGCAGCACAGGAATTCAATTTTGCTGTTTTTGAACACTAGTCTTCTAAGACTAGACTAGTGTGTGCTTGCAACACAGTGTTGGATATTATTTTTAGCCTGACATAGTTATAGATAAAAACTTCTTTGTTTTTTTTTGTTTATTGTTTTCACTTACCAGCGATATCATTTTGTTACAGCAGCAACTGACGACATAACTAAAGAATCGTGAACATAATGGGCTACGATTAAAAAAACATGCAAGCTAACGTCAGCTAAAGTTACGTCGTTAACTTACCATACATTGCTGGTGTAGTTTGTACGCTTTGGACAGAGATACTACTTTGGACTGGGCGGCAGCAACGCCAGGTAACGTTATCCCAGGTAGCGACAGAACTACGTGAGTTCGGTAAAGTTGGAGAGATTTTACAGACTCCAAATTCCTGGATCAATAACTCATAAGCGAAACGTCTTACAACACAAACGACTAACCGGTAATAAGGCAGACAAACTCTTCAATTTTTCTCTCTCATTTATTATTATTGATTGGCGCAGTGATATTCGGCGGAGATGATATTTCTATCTCATTGATGCCATTACTTTCCACTAACTCTTAAGTAAATTTTGTATACTTCTTTTCTTCTTTCAAATTGACCTCAACAATCATTGTATATCCTACAGTGCAATATTACAAATGTCACTGTTGCATTAATCTAGTGAGAGCGCATTACTATTTGCAGTAGGTGTGGATTTCAGAGTAAATCTCTCGTGTCATGCACCTTCTCAGGTGCGGGGTGGACGGTCCTGTCGGAGGAGGTGACTGAAAGCTGCTATGTGGTGAAGGAGTTACCCAGAGGAGCCTCTTATGTGTTCAGGATGGGTTGCATCACCAAGACAGGAGCAGGACCCTTCAGCGATGCTTCAGCACCCGTTGTTATGGCTACTCATCCTGAAGGCAAGAAAAATGCTCTGATTCATGTTTGCTGTCACTGGTTTGGTATTTTCAATATTTATAGCAATCATATACACATCAACTGTGAAATGTGCAAACAGCTACGACATGAAAGGTTGCAATGTTTTCACCTGTATTTATTCTGCTGTACAGAAATTCACATTCCTCTAATCCGGACTGAGTCACTGGGGTCAAAGGTGACTGGGTCAGAACAACACAAGAACTACAATTTCCTCTCTGAGATCAACAGGTAGGGATTTTAAGTAACTTATCTTTGATAAAAAAAAAATTAAAAAAAATGTACTTACTGTATTTAGTTTGTTTGCTCATGATCTGATTTTCTTCATTTGGGTATTATTTTGAAATGTAGGTGTGACTTTTAAGTTTCCCGAGTCTGTAACAGATTATGTTGGGGAAGAGAAGGAAACTTTGTGCTGATATTAATTATTTTTCATCTTGTTCCCCTTTATATGTCAAAGAAAATCAATTTCCCAACAGACTTCAATTCAATTCAATTTATTTTTGTATAGCCCAAAATCACAAATTACAGATTTGCCTCAGAGGGCTTTACAATCTGTACACATGCCACATCATCTGTCCCGGAACCCTCACATCGGAACAGGAAATGTGAGACTGTAGTTCTTAGCGTTAGCATTAGTGTTTTAAGTAAGAAAAACACTTCGGTAGCATATAGACCATCATCAATTCTTAACACCAGACCAGGATAGTAAAAGGATGGTCTGATCTTGTTCCTCCCACTTTCTCTTATAGGCACTACTATGCCATACTGATGTTATATTCATCTTTTGTTTTGTTCTCTCCTACAGGGGTCGTTTCAGCGTGGTCAGCCTGTGCAGGGATGCTGAGACCAGCCAAGTGTTTGTTGCCAAGATCACCCCTTACCAGGCAGAGCAGAGGCAGTTGGTGCTGAGGGAGTACCAGCTGCTAAAGAGGCTTCATCACACTCACCTGGTGCAGCTGCACACTGCCTATTTCACCTCCTTGTACGTGGTGTTAGTGGAGGAGCTCTGTCCGGGCAAGGAGCTGCTCTACAGTCTGGCATCGAGGTAAAGCAAAGGCTTGAGAAACATACGCCTGCAACCAAATCGTCTGAGTATGGCTTTATAAGCTGAGTAACATTATCAAGTAATCCATACAGCGGAAAGCCTACATATTACTTCTTTAAAACCTTTTAAAACTCTTTATTTTGTCCTAAAAGGTCTGTAGGAGAGATGTTTCAGGCAGAACTGATCACCATTTGATTCCAAAATAAGACGCTCTAGTTAGTCTAAGAAAACTGGGAAAAAAATAAGCAACGGATTTCCTGAGAAATCTGTTGCTTCCGGCAAAAAGTTTATTTTTGTTCAACCAATTTTCTGTCTGTGTTTTACCCTCTCAGAGATCTGTACGCAGAGACTCACGTCGCCGAGCTGCTGGTTCAGGTCCTGAGTGCCGTTGACTACCTGCACAGCCGTCGAGTCGTCCACCTGGACCTGAAGTCTGACAACATGCTGGTGGATGACTGTAACCACCTGAAGATAGTCGACTTGGGCTCTGCTCAGTCATTCACGCCCGGTCAGCCTCTCCACATTGAGCACATCCATGGCCTATCGGAGAGCAAAGGTACTGAAGTATTTCTAGTTTAATATCAAAAGGCAAACTAAATTGTGTAAGATTGTGATGCGTGCATTGTTGTGGATTCTCCTACTAAACCTTTGACTGTCATGGCCTCCAACAGACTGCCGCAGCAAAGGTACACTTTCTTTAAGGGAGGATGGGTTGATGGAAGGAAATAATTCAGCCTAACTTCATCCACCTCAGCTGATCCTATCTACCATAGCCTAACAAATCCAAGTCCATGTTCTTATTTTTTTTAATCCATTTCTTTCTAGTTTGAGTCATTTTCCTAATTCAGAAAATGAATATTGTGAGTGAATGTGGCATTGCCAGTAACAGCACAACTCTTTATGGACAATATCCTGTGTCTGTCTGTTTTGTCAGTTTATATTGTCCTTCCTAAAGCTCCGGAAATCCTGGAAGGTCAGGGTGTTGGGCCTGAAACTGACATCTGGGCTATTGGAGTTCTGTCCTTCATCATGTAAGTTTAGACATATACCTGTAGGTGAATTGTTGCATTCAATATTTTGTTGAAAGAAAATATTCCGTATATCTTTCTTATGTTATGTAATAAATGTGGCTCCCACAAAGTCTGACATTTGTCTAAAAAGCAGGTATGATAATGGACAAAATGACAATTCTAAAGAATGAATCATCCACATTCTCTTTCTTTAGAAAATATTATTTTTCATTGTGTAAGACTTAATTATGAAGGCTGATTAGTTCAGTCCAACGGTTGTCCTACTACTGCTACTGACTGAATCTTCTGTAGTTCTAAGATGCTGAATTTACTAATATACTATATTGTTTGTATTTTTGTAAAATGTACGTGTGTTTTTCCCTTTCTTCAATAGGTTGAGCGCCGACAGCCCGTTCCATGCAGAGCACAGCTGGGAGGAAGACCGAAACATCAAGAAAGGGAAGATCCAGTTTGGACTCTGTTACCCCGGTTTGTCAGAGGGAGCCTTAAACTTCATGAAGAGCAGCCTGAACAACAAATCCTGGTGAGCATCTATCTGAAAATGCAGTTTACATCAGAGTGTTTATTTGTGTGAAAAGCCGTACGAGTGAATTAGGAATGTGTAAATCCTAATATGATAAAAAAAAACTTTGTAGGGGGAGACCCACTGCACCCGAGTGTCTGCAGAACCAATGGCTGCGTGCCCATCGTGCCCCACACAAAGGCCGACACGCCAAAGTATGTTTCTCCACGGACAAGCTTAAAGATTACCTCAAGCAGAAGGAGGAGAAACGAGACCAGGTTCGCACCAAGCTTCAAGGCCCCTTCTTCCAGTGAGGCACCGCTGTGGAGGCTTCTAGAAACTATGCAGCCTCATAATCAGCACATTTCATGTTGCCAGGCCAGATCTCTAAAATCATTTTAGTATCCTCTGATTTTGAAAATGTGATGCGTCTTAATGAGTTTTCAAAGTGTTTCAAAGTGTATTTATCCATTGTATATGTTAGTGTGCTTTGGTTCAGTATATGGAAACAAATCAGGGAGAAGGTTTAGTCTAAGAGTGCATGGGATTTTTGTGACACGAGAAACTGTTGTTTTGCTCTGAAGCATCAGACAGATGCACGTGTTTGGCCTTAAAGTAAAAACAGTTTTCTGTGCTATTCTTCTTCATACAGAAGCAGATGTTTTTTTCTGAGTGATGTATTGTATTTAATTAAAAATGTTCACGTTTTGCCTTAAAATTAAATGTACAAATGGCAAGTTGATTAGATTTGTAGGTTTTACCTAAGTTTCATAATACTTAAATATTGGGTCAGTCACCCACCAGAATGAGTTGATGGATGAAATATGAATTAAATGGCACAAAAGTGGTGAGTCATTGAAGTCATTGTCCTCACGTTCTTTATTCAGTCTCATGTGCACACAAACACACACAAGTACATGCAAATGATTGAAATGTAATATATGCAAGATTTTATATTAGATGCATAGACCTCCTTAACAATGTTTAAATTATATGCAGCAATTATATACTGTTATACTGTTAGTCAAAGTAATCATACACTTAACTAGTAGGGAATTTATTTCTACTGTATCAGAATTCAACAACAACTATTCTGCGATGAGGTACTGAGGTGGACTCCACATTTGGCCAGTGTCACACTTTGGTTTATGAAAACCAAATGTAGCACTGAATTTGGCAGTTGTACCTTTTATTTTTATTTTCAACTGGCACTGACCTATGGGTCAGGATGTTCACACCTAGATATCAACCACTGGTTTTACTAAATCTAACATAACCCCCATCAGTCAACTATACAAACATCTGGAGTTTCTTTTCCATCTGAGCATCAGTGAGCATGAAACTGTACTGAGCAATCTTCCAACCATATAACATAGAGGGTAAAAAAACAAAAAATCGTTTCTCAAGATGAAAGTCTATTTTAGATGCGGCCATTTGCAGTCAGTGAGGACGGAGTTATTCAGGCCAGAGTTACACATTTTGGTTCTTCTGTCCAGCAGATCAGAGACTGGCTACTGTTTCCTTCTTATGATTTTGCCTCCTGAATTTTCTGGATTTCCTGTTTAAAGGGAGATGACGATAGTTTTTGTGCGTTCAACCAATGTTCTTGTCCAGAGTGTCATGAATAATCAATGATCTATGCAACAGAGAATATCTGCAAAGTATTTGTGAAATAAGTAAGAGAAAGGATCATTTACAGTTTTACTTACATCATTGAGGATATCTTTCAGCTCCTCGTAAGCCTTCTCTAAGTCATCATTGATGATAATAACATCAAACACTCCAGGCTCGTTACCTAGAGAAAAGAATAGGATCAGCTGCAATGGTTGTCTTTATTTCAGCATCATATCCACAAAGAACAGCTGAGGAACTTACTGAGCTCCATATCGATGCGTGCGGCCTCCAGGCGTTTCTGTAAACTCTCTTCTGTCTCCGTCTGTCTGTCTCTCAGACGGCTTTCCTGAGAAAGACAATAAAACAATCACATCATCTTTGAACCAAGAGCTGCTCAACCAAGTAACGCAACAGCTGTCATGTCTGCAGTTCACACATTTCACAAAGTTGTCTTTGTTTTACATTTGAATTTGACTCAGACCAACTTGTACCTCACTATTTAGGAGTTTTTTGAATGGAAATCTTGGTATGAATTTATTATGATGATCAAAGTATACAGCCAAAAAAATAACATAAATGTCAGAAATGAGCATATATATGATTCATTGATAGCCCACTTTGCACAATCACGAACAGAATTTAATGGATACAAAATTACATTGAAATATAGCATTATATTACATTAATGCAGTTATATAAAGTTGGATATTTACCAGGATCTCCATGGAGGGAGGCTGGATGGAGATGTAGATGGGGTTCAGGTCAGTCTCTTTAATCCTCTTCACCCCCTGGAGTTCCACATCTAAGATGCAGATTTTGTTCATGGCCAGCACATCTTCTATGGCAGCTTTACTAGAGAATCAATGCGTTGTTAAATTATAAAAAACGTATAAAACAAGAGGTTCTTTAAACTACTAGCACTATACATCTGAACATGGATGGGACTTGGCGATGTTCAACCAGGTATGGAGAGTGTAATAGTCACTAAAGAAAGAGGATCGCTGCATTGATCCAAGCTGCTCACACTCGCACATGGAGCGTGTATTATCTTCAGAATAAGAGGGAGAGATTAAACGTGACACCCTGTCACTGTGCTGAGCCGCAGCGTTGCTCTTTTTGAACTGGGGGGGGGTTGAAGATCCGCCATCTGCCACCAGGCTATTACATATCCTCTTGATCCCTGTGGCAAAGCCTGATTGTAGTCTTTTATGTAATACAACAGTCTTAGTTTCTATTGAAACAATATCGCTGACACTGATACTTTTCACTGATATTAACTCAACGTTCCTTCCATCCTGTGGGTGGAAAAGCTACTGAAACAGCATTTAGAACAAAAACAAAAAAACAACCACTGGAAACATTCAGATGATGATCTTTTTTACCCATTAAATGGTTATTGAAAGTGGTATAACTTTGGTCTTCAAAATGCATTCTTTTTCAGAAAAGTACATAAATAAATAAAATGTTTACCAAAAGCGATCGTGCATCTAAATCATTAGATATTTTCTGAGGTTTCTCTTGATGACATGGTGAAAAATATGGTGGCATTCGTGCAGGGATTCAAAAATGTACCTCGTTCCATACATGTTTCCTGAAAACTCAGTGTTTTCAATGAAGTCTCCATTGTCGATTCCCTCCTGCATGGCCTCTCTCATTGTGAAGTGGTAGTCTGTAAGATGCATCATTAATATTCAATATAACTCTGCCATGAAAACTTGAAAAATGGAAAGAAATGATTAAAGAGAGGTGATGCAAATCAAATGAATGCTGACTACAGTTTTTAGTGAAAGATGCGTCCAGTTTCATCACAGTGATCTCAGGCAAAATGAAAGAACATCCAGGCACAAAGCTAAACTTGTTCACATTTTTTTGTTAGCTGACAGTGTGTCTTCAAGTGTATGATGTTCTCCTCTAAGCCAGCTTTGAGACTCTGTGTACATAGGAAAAGCCTGGAAAGATGAGAAATATGTATTTTGTCAAATACTTTGTAAAAACTGTTACCATATCCATAGGCTTAAATCTTCACAAAATCAAAACCTCTGGGGATCTAAAACTGCATAGTTTTAGAAACAAACACGTTACTACTTCTAACACTGATGTACACCTCGATAGCACACAATCATTAGCATGAGAACATGAAGGAGTAACAATCTGAAGGGAAACGCTGGATATAATAGGAATTGGCTGTGCTGTAAACAAATAGATAATAAGCCTGAAAACATGGGAGACAGTGCTTTTAAACAGCACTCAAGAAAACTGCATAAAATATTCCGATGCAAGATCAAAACCTCAGTTTGACCCAAAGGAAGCAAAATCCACTGTTGTGTTATAGATTAATAAAAATGATAATCAGCGTCTGATATTGTCACTACAAAAAACAACATAAACAGCATCTTACAGAAGAACAGTTATCTTTTCCAGAGTATTTTAACACAATAATTAAATAGACATGACGGCAGTGGTTGGAAGGCTCAGACGGATCCTCCATTTACCGAAACAACTCTACGTTATGAATCTTTCTCCCATGATGCTAATGGTTGCTTGCAAATCATCAATACTCCACCAGCCACAGTGGGAAATGGGAATCACTACCGAGGCATCGGGGGGGGCTATTTTCAAAAGCTTTTTACTCCAAAGTGTGAACTGTTTGCTCCAAATTCCTTTGATTATCATTTTTTGTCTTTTCTACTTTTGTTTGTCACATGACTAGTTCCTATACAAGTCCAATGGCAGCGTGCCAGGATGATGAAAGTAACCCCTCTGCCTTAAAAACTGTGATCAGGAATCACACTGTGGTCACCTTTATCTGTGATTTCTGATTCGTTTGGACACGAAAAAGAGGTAGACTCTGCTAAGTCTTTAACGGAGAAGACGGCTGCTACGGGCAGTAAAGTAGCCCCCAGAAGCATTGGGAGCGTGTTCAGCCCTATGGAGAAAGCAAAAAAAGGCACAGAAAGAGGTTGATCTCTTTATATCAAGTGAGCCATACAGCGGAGACAAAGCCATTTGTGCAGTTCACTTGGGAGTAAGAAGTGTTGTGAGCGTTATTTTAGAATGGGCAGGTAGGGGGACGCTGGGAAACATGGTACAGAAACAAAAAGCAAAGAGGTGTAAAATACTATTTTATCAAAGATTTAAAATTCAAGTCCAGGACTCATGTATGGTGAGTCACAGAGCATGATGGTCCTATTGCCCTGTGAGGGTGAGCAGAACAACACCCACTTGTAACACTTGTGCAGATGCTAAAAAGTCTGTTTCGACTGTACCTTTGCCATCTTCCTCTCCCGGTCGAGGATTTCTTGTTGTGTCTGTGAGGAGAGGATTTCATCATTAAAACCCATCCAGAAATAAGGTAATGAATCATCATTTATGTTGCTTTTGATAGATATGAAAGTGGAATTCCTGCAAAGTCTCAGCATTAAAATATTTACTGATTCAACATCTATTGGCATGTTCAGAATTTAAGCTTCATTCAAGCAGAGAGACCGTCACTCCTGTCCTACTTCATCCTCAGACAGGAGGCTGCGACGGACGCCAATTACCAGTTGGCACACAAACGTACGTGACACGCTGAATCCGAAGACGCCCTCGTGATCCTTCATCAGCCTCTTCATCAGAGTACTCTTCCCTGCTCCAGAGGGGCCGCTCAGCACCACAGGCCTCGGTCCGGACATTGTTCTGCGACGGACGGACAGATGGGGGAAAGACAGAAACAGAGGAAGCTGAGATTTATGCCAAGAGCAGATTAAAATCTGTTGAGCCAGCGTAAATCTACAGCGTAAAAGGTTTGGCAACCATTTCTACAAGAACGGGATACAAGACATTTTAGTGTGAATCATTTTATACAGAAAATGGTTTGGAATGAATGTCTTTTGACCAAAACACCATTTCTATTATAAGTAATTAAGGTCTCCAACTATCCTGTCAAGGTTGAAGGTACAGTCAGGTTAATCCTTTGATCCAAGCTCTTAACCACACTGTCAGGAAGAAACACCCCAGAAATATTTCAACACGTCCATGTCCTAATTGTTGACTTGTTAGACAGCCGGACGCCCTGATTATAATGTTAAGAGTGCCTGTTAATGAAGTCACAGCAGGTCAGCCACCAGGATTAATTGGATCTGGGCCAGGCGGCACAAAGGGTCCAGGACAGGTGACCCATTTACCTGCTGTGCTAAAGAAAGGGTGATATTTGAGGGACACCGCTGCTGAATCAAGTCATTTATAATCCCCATTAACACAACTACTTAATAATACAGTCAAAGTATGTAACAGTCAAAAAATACCCAACCTCACCCTTCAACATCTTGTTACTACAAACAATTCACTGGCTTCACCTGCAGTTTTTGATAAGAACTGTGACAGAGATCAATGAAATCACAAAACAATTCTTTTTTATTGCCCTTTTTCTAAAGCTTGTTGAACTTTTGAGTTGTTAAAGGAGCCTCTGTAAAATGCTGCCCTTAATGCAAGATTTCCTCAGTGGTATTAATTGCACACAAATTCAGAGCATTTCAAATATCTAAGCAGCAAAACAAATACTGTATATTTATTATGAATGTGCAGTATGACAGCACAATACAATTCTAACGCAGCTTTCCTTTGGCTTTAGTTGAGGTTTGCACCTGAACTCAAACTCACATTAATCACATTAGTAATTGAATATGTTTATTATGTAGTTCCTTACCTTTCCTCACAGTCTGTGTCGTAGAAACGTTCAATAGCAGATGAGTCTTCAGCCGTGTGTCTTAATGGACTACAATGAAGGTGTGTGTGTGCGTGTGTGTTTGTTAGTATGATTTACGGAAGCAGCTCACTGTCAGTCTGAATTACCACCACCTCCCTTCAGCTCAATCGCCAATCAAATGTGTGCACGCTGGCTTGTTTTTATCCACGCCGTCCACACAGGAGCAGGTCACAAGACCGTGTGGGCAAGGTCGAAGGTTTTAATTAACAAATGATGGCGTACACTGCAGCAAAAGCTGAAGTTTGTACTTATTTGTGAATTTGTTTCTGCTGTCAATCCAGAGACTTGTTGCTTAAGCACCAGAGTTTGGCTTTGAAAGGAAAAGACAGGTTAAAATGTGCAAATATGCTTAAATTATTTCAAACCTTTCCTTGTATGATCGCAAAAATCAAACAAAACTACACAAAGTTGGTCTGGAAGAAGCATTTTGTACCTTTATTTATCCAGGATTGTTTCAGCAAGGCCCTGTTCACACTCATAAAGTTCAACATATTCGTACCTGGAAGCTGCCCAGTGCAACCACAGTCTATTCAGCGGCTCCACCAGAGCAAGTCGCTGGTTAAATGGTGGGAATGAGAGAAGCATATGCTCTGCTATTTCACTTTTCCCACTACAATGGATGTACATTGTAACATATTTCAATAATGAAACCATGGAATTTAAAAAAGCTGACTGCTGATGACTCTAAATTACATCATCCTGTTATTAACTATAAAGAATTTAGGATTTTTGTGGTGTTTTCCTTCTCTGTGATTGGACCTTGTAGTCTTCTGTCTCACACAGTAAAAGCTCAGAATAGCAGGGTTTAGTGTCCCTCAACTCCAAATGAGCTGTGATGCGCTCTGCCTGACTAATCCTGCACCGACCCACTTCTTAAAGGGTGACTACGCCACATGGAGTCATCATAACAAAGCTGTCACCAGGCCTAAACAACGCACGGTGCCTCCTGTCCATTCGCGCCTATGATCCACACACTCAACAGGTGAATATATAAAATACCTTGTGAAACGACAACGTTTTAGACACACGTTTTATTGTAGTAACATTGATAAAATTAGATTTAATGACCCTATACAAAGAAACACATCAATGAGAAAGACAAAATGAGCCTGAATGTAACGAGATTATTGTGAATGTTTCCAACCTACAGGAGCTAAACAAATAATAAATGATCTAATCAAAGACAAACTCTGTACAGTAAATACAGTTGGGTTGCTAGTCAACATCATATACGCACACACATCGATCCAAACATACACAAAACTATGTACATGTGCTTTGCATGTGATTCAATTTTTTTTTTCTTCATAAAACAGAAAAAAGGGTTACAAAATCGATAAATATTGTCCCAAAGTGTTGTTTTTGTTCTATTCGTTTTTCAGTGCCTGAGCTCTCAGTTGGTTTTAGAAGCTTCTTCTGCTCTGTTTGATGTTGCAGCAGGAACACGGATATTGTACAGGGCTGTAAAGGAAGGTCAAAGGTCACACTTGCTGATCTTCAAATTGTCAGGGGTTAGTGGTTGTTAGGAGTACACTGACAGGTAGGACAAGGAAGGTGTGAGGAGGAGGAGGAGGAGGAGGAGGAGGATGACGGAGGAAGTCTGTGACAGGCCAGCTGCCCACAAATCCACCCCTGATTGGTTAAAACAGAAGAAGCCCCTCTCCTCATTGTGTGAGTAGCTGCATCACAGGTAGACCCGCCTCAGGTCTCCAGGTGAGGTGATAGTGTTGCACTGAGGACACAGCTTCTTTGCTCCCTAAATAAAAATGTAAGACAAAACAAATTGTCACATACTCTGATTATTTTACTTCATGTTTATGTGAATCAACACAAATATGATGCTTTACCAGCGTTCGAAGCCAACACTCCTCACAGTGAACATGCCAGCACTGGATGGAGGTGAGAGGGGTTGTGTACGTGTCCTGCAAAAAGAAAAAGACAGGTGATGATTCCTTTCATGTAGTACATAAAGCTGCCACTAGATGTCCATGTGAAACTACAATAAGAGCGTTAAAAGACTCTTCAGTCAAATCAGCATTTATTGAAGCCCTTTCAACAACAGGAAAGGTCCAGCAGGGGTGTTTAGCGATTAATTACACTATGCTTTTTCAGTTTGAATACATGGTTAATATACATATTGTTGCAACTATCTCCATAAGTTCAAATCAAAAAGACTAAGGTAAGTCCATCACTTTAAAATCGCACCGACTTGCCTCCCTCTACACACGCTTGCATTTGAATAACCACAATATACATTTTGTTGTATATAAAAGGGCTGTAACAACAAATTATTTTCATTACAGATGACATTAATAATAAAATAATAACATTACAGACTTTTTATCGGCTAATCATTTGCTCTTTCAAATGTGAATTAAGCTGTGAATAATATTCTTCATAAATCAGCGATACAGTCAGATTTTTATACAGTTTACTTTTTCAGTCAACTGCCCAAAATAAAACAGAGCAATGGGATGAGCAAACATGTGGCATTTTTGCTCAATAAATTACTCAAATGATTACTTACTCACTATTTGATCAATTGACTAATCGTTATAGCATTAGGGCAAAATTGTTTTGAAAAGATCATATTGTTGTCAGAGCTAGAACTCAAGATTAAGATTAATCTATATCAGCATAATGCAGAATTGCCAATATAACATACATCATAATTTCATGTCAAACCGATTTAGATTTTTATTTGAGACTTTAAAAAAAAAGACTTAAAGTGTCTTACATGTTTACAAAAAACAAAAAGAGAATAATACAAATATGTGTCATATCATATCATCATCACCACAATTACAGTAAATTCCATTAAAAGAGCAGGACTGATTTTATTGACTTATTGCCCCAAAACACAGGTCCCTACAGGAATATCAGCAGTTTCTGCATCACTGCGCTGTGATCTCTATCTTGTGTGTCTGCTCTGTTGATTTGATTCGGCTTCGTACTCACCATGCAGATGAGGCATTTAAATCTGTCTCCTTTAGACAACTGTTTCTCCAAATCCCGTATCCGAGCTTTAAGTGCATCCAGAGTTGTCAGTGTGGAATCCTCTGAGAGTCTGCATGCGCGCACACACACACACACAAACACAAACACACACACACACACACACACACACACACACACACACACACACACACGGATGGACAGTAACAGGAGGGGAGATGGGAGGGTGCGTGAGTTAGGCAGGCACTGGAGAGTCATTTATAAATCGAAGACAGATTAAATTATTCGCTGGCCAACATGGACACTGAGCATGAAATTTAGCAGCAATCACATTGCCTGCATTCGCTGTCTCATTTATCATAGGCACAGGGTGTGTGTGTGTGTGTGTGTGAGAGAGAGAGGTGAGAGGGGGGGGGGGTGAAGTGTCAGGGTCCTCACAGAGATAGACGTACACATAGAAACACGTGCAATTACAGGACAGACTATATGTGCAAGCATACTGTACAAGCGAGGCAGACAGGCTGCGATGAATTAAGTGTGATGAAATGTGTGTACACGCCTGCTGTGACCTTGATTGATGATATCATCACATTGATATAGTATTGTTGTGTATCAGGCTGGTGGGAGCTGGGTAGTCTGAACTGATACCACACAGAGAGCCCGGCTCCCAAAATACACTTTACAGTAAGACGCGGTATGTCTTCCTCAGCTCTGATTGGCTGATTCACACCTGATTTTACACGCAACCTGCCACTTAGTTTTCGGTTCTGAAGTCCAAACCGCGTGAGTTTACACCCAAATAAAATCTTCTACAACAAACTTATTACACAATGAGACAACAGCTTGAACAGTGTGTGCTGATGTTGTAGCAGACATCCAAACTGAATGACAAAGAGGACTATTTTACTCAAACAAAGGAAGGTACTGTGTGGAAGAACTTTATTCATTGGGAGAAGAACATCAGTCTTTATTGCCTTGTTATGATATTACAGATGAATGCTTCCTTAAGTCAAACAACCTTAAAACAATAAGTCACTCAACCCTTTTAACCATTTGTTCTGCATGTTCGTCTCTTGTTCTGTTGTTGTTTTCCCCGATGCTGTTGTCTGCTACTGTCCGTGCTAGCTTGCGTGTCTTTTATGTAATGCGTGTTGTAATGCGTGTTGTGATTGCATGCCAGTAACAGGTTTGTTGGAAATTGTTGATGGTGCGTTGCTGTCTTTTGAATTTTTTATATTTCTTTTAGCCTCTTTCCCTCATGAGGCTTTGCCTTTTTCCAGACCACCTTTGTAAATAAGAATTTGTTCTTAATGACTTGTAAAGGTTGAATAAAAACGAAATTGGGATTATTGGCAGTGATGCTATCTCTGGCGCCGAGAGATGCGACACAAACATGTCTGCTGAGTATTGTAGGCTCTGAGTGACAAACTTACGTTTCTATCACAGAGTTTTTGCAGGTTTTGGGGAGACCAGCTATGCTGCTGTCCGCTTTCTCTCCACTGCTGGTAGATGGACTCCCTGAGTAAACAAACAAATAAAATGAATAAATAACAGAGAGGCATCGACCTCACATCCCGCTCTTATACAATATTTTCTTTTTTCATTATTCAAACAATTCATTTAAAGTTTTATTAACTCACCATCATTTGACCATTTGGAAAATTCTAGGCTTACTCTGGAGTCAGGCAACGCACTGCTGCTGCTGCAAGAACACAACAAAAAACAACATTTAAAATCCAAAAAACAGCTTAATCAGCTGTGATAAATCATAAGGAATAGATGGTATGATGATTTTCACATCTAATTGAAAATCCACTGTCAATGAGATCCCATCAGGACGGATACATACTTCACTCTTGTCTCCTTGGAGCTTTCTCCTGAGCACGGGATGACGTCTGTCTCTGTGTATCTGAGAACAAAGGTCAGGAAACATAGAACAACACAAGGACAACAGCGAGTGAGACACATATCTAGCTTCAGAATGCTGAAAAAAATAAATAGTTTGACTTGATTTTGGATTTTGTAAGAAATAATCCATGAGTTAGTCACATTTTCTCCAAGTAAAT